GCTGTCTTATGTGGAACTCTGATATTACGTTATGTTGGTTTATTATTACTTGATGATAGTTTGTCTTTACATAATATGGTTTTGACATTACGTAATGATGTTTTGATATAACTCAATATGGAATAGTCATTACTTATTGATGTTTCGATATTACATGATATGGTTTCGTATTGACTTGATATAGTTTTGTCATTACTTAAGATGGTTTTGTCATTACTCGATGTGGTTTCACCATTATTTAATGTGGTTGTGTCATTAGGCAATGTGGTTTTAACATTACTTGATGTTTATGTAATGTAGTTGTTTCATTACATGATGTGGTTTTGTTATTTTGATATGATGATTTGCCAATTCTTTATATGGCTTTATCATTACGTAATGATGTTTCAAAATTTGCCGATTTTACACTACATGATGTGTTTGTTTCAGTATTTGATGTGATCCTGTCATTCTTTGATGTGGTTATCCCATTACTTGATGAGGTAAACCCACGTGACCATTTCGGAAAAATATGTTCTATTTTTAGACCGATTTCCATTTTTTGTTTGTGTAATGCGCTTTGGACGAGTACCGCTAACCATTCAGTTAAAGTTCAAATAAAAGTTCAAGTTGTTGTTCAGAGTTATTTGGTATGAACAAGGGGAACGACAGACAAAATTAAGAAAAACGTACTAAAACATTTACAGTAATTCGGACATAAGAGGGATATCCCAAAACCACACTTGGTCCTGTCGTTTTTTCCTTAGTTCTCAAATGGAAGCAGTATTATAATAAGTTCGTAAAAGATTCCAAGGAACCCTGCTATATCTTGATCTTGAAGAATAACTCCTATGTTATACAAGTTTTAGAACAATTCATGGAGGTTTACACATTTATCATGTCAAAATAGATTAATTCGGTAATATTTAATGCAAAAAAAAACCTTATATAGAAATAAAAAAATGTGGTATGATTGCCAATGAGACAACGCTCAACCACATACCAAATGATGAAGAAGTTAATAACTATATGTGACTGTATGGTCTTCAACAATGAGCAAAACCCATACCACATAGTAAGCTTAAAAAGGTCCCGAAATGAAAAATGTAAAAACAATTCATACGAGAAACTTAACGTCGCTACATTAATGTCGCAGACTCGACACAAATCAAAAGACTTGTACTGTAGTTTCAACAAATGAGACACTTTAAATCAACTCACACTAAAGTTAAAGGGGGGGCGTGTGAGCGACTAAGCGACAAAACATCAATTCTATATAATAAGAATTCTCCGATTTTTTTAGCGTGTATGATCATTTGAACATATATGAATATTAAACTTTTATTTTTATTAATTGCATTCTATGATATACCACGCACTAGTTGGGAAAAAAAACTTTTTGGAATATCTGTTTCACAGGTGACGACGAATATGTTCCAGTTGTCGTAACCACAATCCCGTCATCTTTTCCTCGAATGTAAACTACCAAATAAAACCAAATCACTGGGTTTGTACTTTCACGAATAACACGACGGGTTCCACACATTGAGCAGAATCCACTTACCCTTCCGAAGCACCTCTAAGAATTTATATTACCCAGTCATACTCATCTATTGAGTTGAGCCAATCAAAACTGTCTTTACATTTTCTTCTTCTGTTGTGCTGTTACACTAAAGTCCGAGGTTATGTTATGGTTTAGCGCTTACACACATGTTAAACTCTGCCGCGTGCACTTTCTTTATATGCCTGCCCCAAGTCAGGAGCCTGTAGTTCAATGGTTGTCGTTGTTTCATGTGTGTCATATTTGTTTTTCGTAGATTGGTTAGTTATAAAATAGACCGTTAGTTTTCTCGTTTGAATTGCTTCACATTTTCACGTGGTGGTCTTTTGTAGCCGACTATACAGTGTGTTGAAGGCTGTTCGGTTGCCTATGATTGCCTACATCCACTACATTTAAACTCTGGTGGATAATTGTCTCATTGGCAATCACCACATCTAACTTTATTTCAATTTCTGTGTTGTGTTTTGTATGCTGTAACATTGATTATCTTTTGTACGCATACCTACCACTGAGCCCTCTTTTCAGAAGCTCGAGCAAAAGCCCTTGATCCGAGATATAAAAAAAAATAGAACTCATATGAGATAACTCGAATTTCAACTCCAAATCTTAATCTAAATGAGACTCAAATAAGGGTCTAACTCGAACTCTACGTCAAAAGGTGACTCAAATTCAAAGTTGAAGTCGAATTGTAACTCAGAAATCTACTAGTACCTTTAAATGTGACTCAAACTCGAAGTTCAACTCGAAAAAAGAGGGACGAAAGATACCAGAGGGACAGTCAAACTCATAGATCGAAAACAAACTGACAACGCCATGGCCAAAAATAAAAAGACAAACAGACAAATAATAGTACAGATGACACAACATAGAAAACTAAAGACTAAGCAACACGAACCCCACCAAAAACTGGGGGTGATCTCAGGTGCTCCGGAAGGGTAAGCAGATCTTGCTCCACATGTGGCACCCGTCGTGTTGCTTATGTTATTACAAATCCGGTAAATAGTCTTAATTCGGTAAGTCACATTCGTGAAAAGGGAAGGGTATTGTAGTTACGACATAAGGAACATATCCGATATCATCTGTGAAACGGTTATTCCATAACGGTCAACCAACTCGTGATGGCGTCCGTAAAATTTACGAAGGGATGACTTCAACTTCACCATTTGGAACTCTTGGTTTAATAGCTTCCTTGTGAGCAGCAATCCTCTATCAAGGAAATCATGATAGGAAACACAAGCCCGGGAATATCGTATCAATTGGGAGATATATACTCCGTATGCAGGCGCTGCTGGAATGTTGCTACATAGAAATGGAAAGTTCACAATTGGGAAGCTGAAATCATCTCTTTTGTCGTAAAGTTTTGTTTTCAACAGACCCTCATTGTCAATTTCTAGATGTAAGTCAAGATATGAGGCAGACTTAACTGTATCTGTAGTATCCTTTATCTCTAGTTCGATGGTATGTGGTTGAGAGTTGTCTCATTGGCAATCAAATCACATTTTTTTTTTATTTCTATATAAGATACTTTTTTGCATTAAATATGACCGAATTAAACTGTTTTGACATGATAAATTTTTAAACCTCCATGAATTGTTATAAAACTTGTATGGGAATTATTCTTCAAGATCAATATAAAAGCATCTACAGAAAAACATTTTTTTTTTATTTTTTTTTACCGATAAATTTACCGATTAATGTACAGTCAACATTACGCTTTTACACTGACAGCAGAATTATCAGGCGAGACACAGGGTCCCTTAGAATCTTTAACGAATTTATTATGATACTGCTTCTATTTGAGAACTAAGGAAAAAACGACAGGACCAAGTGGTTTGGGGATATCCCCCTTATGCCCGATTTACTGTTAATTTTTTAGTACTTTTTTCTTATTTTTGTCTGTCGTTCCCCTTGTTCATACCAAATAACTCTGAACAACAACTTGAACTTTAATTTGAACTTTAACCGAATGGAGGGGACTCAGTACTCATCCAAAGCGCATTACACAAACGACAAATGGAAATCGGTCTAAAAATAGAACATATTTTTTTTCCGAAATGGTCACGTGGTTTAACCTCATTAGGTAATGGGATAACCACATCAAAGAATGACAGGATCACATCAAATACTGAAACAAACACATCATGTAGTGTAAAATCGAAAAATTTTGAAGCATCATTACGTAATGATAAAGCCATATAAAGAATTGGCAAGTCATCATTACAAAATAACAAAACCACATCATGTAATGAAACAACTACATTACGTTAAGTCACATACACATCAAGTAATGTTAAAACCACATTGCCTAATGTCACAACCACATTAAATAATGGTGAAACCACATCGAGTAATGACAAAACCATATTAAGTAATGACAAAACTATATCAAGTCATACGAAACCATATCATGTAATATCGAAATATCAATAAGTAATGACTATTCCATATTGAGTTATATCAAAACATCATTACTTAATGTCAAAACCATATTATGTAAAGACAAACTATTATCAAGTAATAATAAACCAACAAAACGTAATATCAGAGTTCCATATAAGACAGCTGTGGCGTTCCATACAATAGAATACTTGTAGTAGATTTAAAACAGGAAATAATGAACTCTTTTAGTAAAAGAACGATTGGAACGGGGTTCTTTGTTTTCAAAAGATTTGTATTTTTCTCTCTACTCTTGAATTTTCTGGTGGTACTTTCCGACCCAAATGGTTCACCACAACATTTATTTATATATATAATAATAATTACGTGCACCATAATTAACCTTTAATGGAACAAAACTCCGAGGCATTGATTAAACGAAATAAGTACTAGTATGCTGATTAAAATAATAAAAAAAAGAAAAGGCAAAAATGGGAAAGATGATCCCACCGTTTCAGAATCTAATGTACTCTGGGTAATATTTTCAAAGCTGTATACCAAAGCGTCGTGATTGGTTAAAAACAATAAAAACAATTGAGATTCAACCAATGACGTGACGTTATTTTCATTTTGGGGTACGAACAATAAAATTACCCATAGTCATTTAATTAGATTCTGCCTATTCTACGTTCACATGTCCTATGTTTTCTCATACTATTTCACATAGTATTTAACATATTTAGACAGTTTTCTGATAGTTAGCCCGTACACAATGTGTCTCATTTGTCATCCTGTAGAATTCATAATGATATATTTTCTGAAATGATTATAAGTATGTAACCGGAGAGCATGATTCTACTTGCAAAATCGTATGTCTCCACCGGGACTCGAAGGCAGCGCGTATACCGACTGAGCTAAAGAAGTACTTCCTTAGCTCAACCGCTTACGGCTGACTAAGTATCTACTAATGAAGGGAAGCAATCCCGTCACAAGTGGATTCAGTATAGAGTACTGATTTTCCGGAAACAGATAAGTAGGTTGTGTTCATTTGTTATTCAAGTATTTCACTTAACGCCGAGTCTATTTCACATGTCCTTGGCTATCTCCCAAATTCTTTGGTTTATTTACCTGCTAAACACGGTAAGTAATACATTAATGATTCACGGAATTAGGGGGGGGGGATTTCCTGTTATATCATCATTTTTACATGATAGTACTTCTTGTCTGTTTCAACCTCCAGGAAATTGTTATTGACGAGTGATGCCGGGTTGCTTATGTGTTCTCCGCAAATTGTGCCTCAAATAGAGCTAACTTTCAACTCGGAGGCACACTGAGAATGTTATAAAGGGGTGGGGACGTAAATTCTGAAAATAGTATAAATATAAAAAAACATTTTTTTGAACGATTTTATGCTAAAAAATGATATATTTTCCAATCAAAGGGGGTGGGGCAAACGCTTATGATGTTCAAAGTTGGGGTAAGGCGACCCTTCACCCCCACCCCACCCCAGTGAATCCGTCACTGCACTACACAAATGACACCATTTATCCATTTTGATTAATATCTGATTAAAGCAATATACGGAAAAACTTAATTATTTTAATTTCTTTGTAATAATTTTGATATCTGGGATAATAAGCAGTAGATAAATTACATGAGGTATATTTGATCATATTTGGTTTGTGATATAAGGGACTAGTATTGAGGAGCGGAACACCATACCTAGGTCAGTTTTATAACAGAGACAGTACCGGTAGGTAACCGACATTAGAGAAATCTGAAATCTGATAGTTATATAGATCACAAAATAAAAAGCTAATTAAAATTTTATCAATTTACATCACTGAATAAAGACCGAGAACCACACAGACAAGTATGCGTTGGCAATGAACTAGATTTTATACTTGGTAGCCTAACTGTCCCAAAAAAATATAAAAAAATTGCCCATCAATCAATTGTTTGGGAGAAAATTAAATATATTTAACATTCATTTGAAGTGAACACATATCATGAGCAATCATTTATGATGTGCGGATTTGGTCAAAATTATTGTATTTTTGGAGATTCTGAAATATTTCAGGACCTTCATAACTCAAATTCAGGATATCCATCAATCATTGATGACCTCCCAAAATATTACAGGCATTCCATAATTTGATTCCAGGACCTCCACAATTATATTTCAGGAAAAATGGAGGTTCTGAATCGAATTGTAGAGGTCCTTAGATATTGCAGGATATCATGAAATCGAATTATGGAGATCCTGAAATCGAATTATGGAGGTTCTGAAATATTTCAAGATAATGTCTGATTTTTTGGGGTATATTTTGATATTTGCAACAGCAACTCAGGATCTCCTTAAATAAAATAATTTTGGTTAAATCCGCCCTTCATAATCATTATGATAGAGAGGAAGAAGTTACTAAAGGGATATTTCAACTCATAAATCGAAAAAAACTAACAATGCCATGGCAAAAATAGAAAAACAACCAAAAGACAAACAAGTTTACAAAACACAACGTATACAACTAAAGACTGAGCAACACAAAACCCAACAAAACCGGTGGTGATCTCATGTGCTCCGGAAAGGGTAAGCAGTCTTTCTTCCATATCATTATATGACACTTGAAATACTCCGAAACAAGTCGGTCAGAAGCAATTGAAGTTATACATTAAATAAAGAAAAGATTATTACCAAAGCGTCAGTCCAGGAGACAATAAATTTGCATTTGAAAGAGGTTCAAAATCGTGATAAGTAAGATATGTTGAAAAAAGTTAAATAACAAAAATACAGAACTCCAAGGAAAATTCAAAACGGAAAGTCCCTTATCAAATGACAAAATCAAAATCTCAAACACATCAAACGAATAGAAAACAACTGTCATATTCCTGACTTGGTACAGGCATTTCCTTGTGTAGAAATTGGTTATTTGATGTTATTTCTATACATTTATAGGAGGGGGCTTAAAGTTTTACCCTTGTCCGTCTGTACGTCCGTACGTCCGTCCGTCCGTCCGTACGTCCGTCCGGACCAACTAAATGTTATGAAACTTATACACAATGCTTATTACCACAAAACACAGATCAAGTTTGAATTTTGGTGGCGTCACTATAACCGTTCTATAGTTATGCCCCTTTACAAATGGAAAAATTGCTGAATTTTTCGTTTCCGTTTTCTAACTTTAGTTTGCCTCAACCAAATGTTATGAAACGTATACACAATGCTTATTACCACATAATACAGATCAAGTTCGAAATTGGGTGGCGTCGCTTTTACAATTCTTGAGTTATGCCCCTTTATAAACATAAAACTACTGAATTTTTCGTTTCCGTTCTCTAACCTTAGTTTGCCTCAACCAAATGTTATGAAACTTATACACAATGCTTATTACCACATAATATAGATCAAGTATGAAATTGGGTGGCATCACTTGTACTTTTCTTGAGTTATGCCCCTTTATAAACATAAAAATTGCTGAATTTTTCGTTTCCGTTCTCTAACTTTGGTTTGCCTCAACCAAATATTATGAAACTTATACACAATGCTAATTACAACAAAATACAGATCAAGTTTGAATTTTGGTGGTGTCACTTTTACCGTTCTAGAGTTATGCCTGTTTACAAATGGAAAAATTGCTGACAACTACCTCTATACAAATGAATCTGGACGTTAGACACGTTTGAGGCGATAACATTTGGGATGGCAACAATTTCGAATGCCTTTCTAGAACTTATGTGATTATATATCAATGTGTACATGAGCTAATTGGTAGTTTATCTAATCTCTTATAATGTTGTTGCAAGTTTCAAACTTTGTATAGAACGTTGGATAAAACTACTAGATGCAAAACGCACAGGAATGGTGCGATTTTCTATATTTCATGAGGTAAACAATGTTCAAACATTATAAGAGATTAGAGGTAGTTGTCTCTGATTTTTCAAAGAAATCGATTTAAACACGGACCGCGAAGAGAACCCCAAAATGAACTGTTATCCAAAGAGAAATATTCACATTATCGTTTGCCCAACATGGAAGCGATGTAACAGGAGACTTCATTGGTACAAGTACAAATAAAGTAGGACAAATATGTAGAGGCTGCTGGGAGGTTTCCGCATAACGATTGAAGGTTCACGGTGGGAAAATCAGGCATTTCGTCTGTCGTTACTATAATATTAGTACTAATTTTTTTTTAGCGTTATTGTCGATTTCTAAGTGTGAGTAAGTATAGGCTTCTTTATGCTTGTAGTTCTGGGCCTATAAAATTTAAAATTTCTTGTGACCGTCTATTATGGTTTCTTGATATATGATATCGTATAATTTAGCTGGGACTTTTTGTTATGTCCCAGGAATTAGTCACAGACACATTATAATTGTCTCTTTGATAACATTCCCCATTTCCATTCTCAATTTTACATTGTATCGGCCTACTTATCCGTGATGGGGAAGGTAATTATTGCAAAGTGTCGGTTTCAGTCTTTCTTCCTCATAATCTTGCTGTTTAAGTTTTTGCGTTAGTACTCATCGATGCTCTTGTTGAATTTGTCCATGGAATCTGAACAAGCACGCACGAAACGTATCAGTTGAGATATGTAAATGGCATACGTTGGGCTAGTTCATGTTACTACACAGAAATGGAAAATTGACAAACTGAAATCATCACGTTTGTCATGGAACCTGATTTGAATTCGTCTATAATTTAAGAGAAGACAATCATTTGAAGCAGATTAATCATTTTTTAGTTATTGTACTGTCATTAAGGGCTTGGAATATGTGATTTGTAAGCACTCACTAAATTTAAAGTTATTGAGTAACATAACATCATCAATTCATCTAAATTAAGAACTTGGCAACTTGTTTTTGTTTTCTTTTTATAATAATGCTACTTCATATTTATACAAAACTGATCCATATCAGCCAGTAGGGTGCAGAAATAGTATCGATTTGAGTGCCAACTAGTTCTTGAAATATGAATCTACCAATCTCTTTGAAACTTAAAACTTTTTGAAAGCTCAATTATTTAACAAGTCTTAACATTTTTTTAGGCATGCAGAACTAGTGCGGGTGAAGGCATTAGATTGGATATTGGTCATGATGTATCGAAATCAGATCGAATGGTGACAGATGAAATTTTCAAAACCACACATCAGTTGCCACATAATCAGATAATAGATGTGGAATGTCCTGCAGATACTTTGCTTATGTTTGCTTCCTTATCAAGTAAGTATGAATGATTTAAGTTGAAACATATAGTCAATTATTTTAAAAAAAACTAATAATATATAATTAAGAAAATTTTGTATGAATGCCAATGAGAAAACTCTCAAGCAGAGACAAAATTACGTAGAAGGTTAGCATCTATAGGTCATCGTAGTACGGTCTTCAACAATGAGCAAAACCGAAAACGTATATTAACGTGTTTACTAGTATATCTAAGTATGTGTTAACTAATTACGGACGCCTATTTATGACCTCTCAAAAATATAATTTGGATTTGCGATCACGAACTTAAAAAAAAAATCGTGATCACACATATGTCGAAAGAATTAATTCAGTGATATTTCAGAAAATAAAAAATAAAAATGCATTATTTTTTCGATTTTCAGTTTTCAGTTCAAAGTTGTATGCAAAGTTTTAACAAAAATGGTGACATAGCTAAGCATACTGTACCCTGACCATAAGCTGACCATAAGCTGACCATAAGCGATTGTTGCTTTTGAAAAAATAAGTAACACAAATACTAGTAATAAGGATTTATATTTACATTTTTGTATATTTATAAATATAGTGTTGTTCTAATCGTGCAAAAATAGAAATTGTTTAATCGAACCTTGTGTTCTGAATACATTAGTTGCAAAAAATGGAATTGCAAATTTCTTTTAAATCTATATGTATGAACTTTTTTTTTAAAGTAAACTGTTACAGGTGTTGAAGACAGAATTTTCTGTTGAAATTGTTGTGAATATTTTTTAATCAAATCATATTTTAAAAGACAGAACATAATATTATATATTTTACATAAAACGAGACCACAGTTAATCATTTGTATGTATTATAAACATATTACGTTTAACCTTCATGTAGAGCTCTGACCTTCATGTTACTTTTGTAGGTAACTCTGCAGTACGAAGTTCTGTTACTGGCGGATGGTTGTTATCTAGTCTATACAATCAAATTAGGGAATACATAAAAAATGGCAAAATATGGTCGACAGAATTTACTCAGGTGCTCAATAGTACTTTGAAAGAAATGGCCACAAAGTACTTCAAACCATCTGACGAAACCTCAAAACTGTATGGAGAATTTTCTCCTGGTTGTTATAGTCATGTTTTGTCTGCTGATATTTTATTTAATAAGAAACAGTGAAAATTAACTTTAACCTTGGAGAAAAAAGAAGGATATCGTTTTTTGTTTCTATTATCTATTTAGAATTTTTAGTAAAATGGTGGAGAACATTTTGAGCCAAATAGAAAATGTTTGGAAGTGTAGGCAAACAATGATACATGCAAAAGCGATGTAGGCGACCTTTGAAGGTCAATATATATATGAAAAGTTAAATTTTAAAAGGAGAAGGTATGGTGATGCCACTTTTTATTATCACACGAATTCGAAAATCATAAAATATATGCTTTAGATGTTCGTAAGACATTAGTTTGTGAGATAAAAGTATTTATATTTTTGCTACAAATTATTTTTACATAGATTTAAACATTTGTAAAAACTATTTTTTTGGATAAGCCTTGATCCTATTTTGTCCAACAACTTTGTATAAATTGCAATTTTGGGTCAAATATGTAAATTTCTATATATTTATAACATTATAGTGACATAACAACGGATCTTTCTGCACTAAAGAGTCCATAGTATATTAATACATCTGTCCATTTTTCAATAAAATTGACATACTTTTGAAAAGCTTAAAGGTTTGACTATTTTTGCAATTTCAGGGGTTAAAAATAGCTCTTATCATACTTTTTTATGGAAAATTCTAGGAGAACACATTGTTAAATGCATATATAGTCTTGTCCCTTTTCAATGTGTTAGCTATGTAAGCTCCTTGACTTAATGCTTTATTAGACCGCCAACGTTTATGTTGGTATTTTCAAATGATTTGAAATACACTAAAATGATCAATGTATAAAACGTGAATTTCATTGCGCATTTTTCATTAATTATATTTATCCAGTCATTTAGAAGTTAATTTCAGCTGGTAAATAGAACAGTTAAATAAATGTGTGTATCATGTTTATGAGTTCATGAAATAAAAGAATATTTAACATATTTATAGTTTCATTTATAAGAACATGTCTTTTATGTAGATTTAATAATCTAAAGGAGTAAGTGGAGCAGGTTTTCGATTGACTTAATTTATTATAAAGTATGACCACACTTCTTGGAGTGGATATCTTTCTTAATTGTCATACATGACGAAAAATGGATGAAAATCAGAAGGTTACATTGATTTCTAGTTATTTTGTTCGTTTCAGTGCATCTAAACTCCAACTCTTTTCAGCAGAAACAGAACAACCGTATTTTCCAGATACCTTATGTGACGGGTGTCACATGTGGAGCAGGATCTGCTTTTAATTTTATTATTGATTTGTGTCTTTTGTTGGCTACAATGTAAAGGTGGTTTCTGGCCGTAACAGTATACATCAATGAGACATTAACGTCAAGCTCCAAATCGTCCCCGAGTCATGTTGTGAATAATTAACAGGCTATATATCAAAGATCTGTCATTAACACCAAGTTCATCAAATAACAAAACAAAATATGAAGACATGACATAAAACAACCACTGACGAGGTTCCTGTCTCGGGACAGTCACATGAAGACATGACATAAAACAACCACTGACGAGGTTCCTGTCTCGGGACAGTCACATGAAGAAATGACATAAAACAACCACTGACGAGGTTCCTGTCTCGGGACAGTCACATGAAGATGGTTCAAGGTTAAACCAGTTGACCCTCCTCGTTTTAATCTTTACCAGTTAATACTCTAGACTTTCACAGTGTATAGAAAAGGTAAATAAAAGGAAGAAAATCGGTACAAGAACAGCCCTTTACTATAACAAGAGTGCAAACGCTGAAATGTCTCGACAGCTTTACTGACCATTGATCTTATGTTGAAAGTCTTAAAGATAAATGTTTACTGAAATCACATAAACCAGCGTTACATTTTTAAAGATCCATGACAAAACCATGAAAATGAGGTCAAGGTCAGATGAAACCTGCTAGACAGACATGTACCCCTTACAATCATTCCATACACCACACATAGTTGATCTAGTGATTATAGTGTCTGAGAAACTGACCTAATAATGATCACTGATTCATGAAATGAGGTCCAGGTCAGGTGAACTCTGTCTAACGGACACGTGGACACTACAAGGAACCCATATACCAAATATAGTTATAATATTACTCATAATAAGTGAGAAATTCACATGACAAAAAAACTATTTTTTTTTACAAGCAGACGCTGAGCCATGAAATGAGGTCAAGGACAATGGCCATATGACAGACAGAAACTTCGTAACATAAGGTATCTGCATACAAGATATGAAGCATCCAGGTTTTCTTCCTTCATAAATATAAACTGCTTTGAACAAATAGTTTACGCCGCCGCCGCGCCGGATAGTAATACATTGTACCTATGTCTCGGATACTGCGACTTTCGTAGCAGGCGAGACAAAAATGATGTAATTTTAAAACAAAAACACACAACAAACAAACCTATCATATTATATCCTATAAAAGAATGCTACATAAAAGTTCTACATTCTAGTATCAGTGACTGCATGTATTTCATAGTTCAAACTCATAAATACTAAAAGAAGACACGATTTTTCTAATGTTCAAAAAAACTATAAATTTCAAATACATTTGGATCTTGTCTAAAACTATTTTAGTTAATTGGTGTTTATTCTAAAAATATAAGAAGCCTAAAAGTAAGATTTGAAGGATAATTCCTTAACTGTTACGCCTTTTGTTAAATTCGGGAATTTCCTGCAACTGGAATCATACTTCCAACTAATTTCTATAGTTGCGTTAAATTGTATTTATAGTTTTCACCCATTAACGATATCGTTATCCTTTTTGTATAAATCAGACGACACTGCAAACACGCACATATCGAACCAAATTAGCTAGAAATATAAGATTCATATTTTTATTTGAAATACCCTGGTTAACTCAAGGTGTAAAATATTCTCTCATTCTCCAGGAAGTGCATGAATATGCACTCAATACAAAACAATTACATTGCATGTGTGTATGTTCCATTAGAATCCGTACTTTTAATTGGCTGAAAGCAATCGCTAAACATTCCAATATCAAATTCTATTCATGACAGCACGAGGTTTTCATGACAACGTCACAAAAATGCATTTTAAAACACGAAAAAATTTGCTAGAACTCGTAATTTCACGGTTGTTGATAGCGCAGAATTCTGTAACGAAAGAGACAATGCCAATTTTCCCTGTATTGTTTTACTCTCACAGGGTAAAAATCAGTATTAAGAAAAAAAGTACTGGCATATAATATATTCATATAACTTTTTTTTAAATTTTGTTTTGAGTTAAAAATACTCAGTAATCAGAGCAACATTTTGAAAATATTTTTTTTCGCATTTTACAGATCAAAGGACTTCGTTTTTTTTTGTAATTTACATAAAGTTACAGTTTTTTGTAAACATCAATAACTTTGTCAAACCTTTATAGAATTTAATGAAACTATGATAGACGCTTTTATGATTAAAGAGATGATGTCTGAAGCAAAATTTTGAAAAGAAAGTTCTTCATTTGTCCGTATTTTATTGATAATTGGCTTAGTGTTTTGGCAGTTAAAAGTCGGTACATACAGTCTGGGATTTATTATTTTCGACAATAATAACCTTCATGTAATGTTATGAAACTAGGACAGAAGCTTCCTCGAGATCAAGAATTGAAGTCTGAAAAAAAATCCTTCGATTTTTTTTCACCGTTTTTTACTGATAAATGGACAGTATTTTACACTTTTAAAGGAGCACCAGAGATCACCCCCGTTTTTTGGTTGGGTTCATGTTGTTCATCCTTTGGTTTACCAGGTTTAATCCACCATTTTCTACATAAGGAAATGCCTGTACCAACTCAGGAATATGACAGTTGTTTTCCATTCGTTTGGTGTGTTTGAGATTTTGATTTTGTCATTTGATAAGAGACTTCCGTTTTGAATTTCCTTGAGGTTCGGTATTTTTTTTTTATTTTACCTTTTTTATGTTGTGTGTTTGTTTACTGTTATTTATCTTTCGATCTTTTTTCGATTTTAACCATGACATTGTCAATTTATTTTCGACTTATTGAGTTTAGATATGCCTTTGGTTTCGCCTTCAGTTTTACACAGAAAGTAGTTATCGCAGGCAATACACAGGGTTCCGCAGAACCATTTACGATATTGTTTTAATAAATACTCAAAATTGCAGTTTTGTTGGCCATCATACAGTGGCGGATTCAGAAATTTTCATAAGAGGGGGCCCACTGACTGCTTATGAGGGGGCCCGCTCCAGTCATGCTTCAGTGATTTCCTATATAATCAACCAAATTTTTCCCACAAAAGGGGGGGGGGCCTGAAAAACCCTCTAAATCCGCCTCTGATCATATGTCATTCATACTTTGGTCATATGTTTAGAATTAAGCCATACTATTGTTAGAAACCCAATTTCATCAACAGGTTCAGAAATATGTCATCTTATACTGTTGTTCCAACTTATGGAGCTAGCTGTGTACTGTGAATTTAAGTACAGAATGGCTTTAAAAATGACTATAGTGTGAAATAATTGAATGGAAAGTGGCCCTAGCTCTTTGTTCTGATTTAGCTTACCAGTATTCTTAAATCTTAATTGTATCTAAACATATAATCTTCAATTAATATTTTACATACTGCTGTAATTACATCCTAAATGTTCACTTTTGTCCATTAGAAGTTTGCCTTTATTTTACAGGGGGACTTAACCATAAGGTATATATGCCTTTCTACCTCAAACGAATCTGGTTGATCTTGGTGAAAGCAAGGACAAAAATACAAATATACATTATCTAAGGGGTTAAGTCACTCCTCATAGTTGAAGGCTTAATTCATGATAATAATGTAATAATACGTAGTTATTTATTCTCTCATCCATATTGTCACATTGATAGTCATACTAAGTCACCTTAATAAGACTTAAAATGAAAATGTTCTACTCCTCTGCTAAACAAGTGACATGTAATAGTATAGATAGTCATTTAGAGTTATTATCATATGCTCAGGTAAGAAGATGTCATCTTGTGGACATTTGCCTTGTAAGCTAGCACATTTAAAATCTGACTTAGTAATTCAAAGCACGTGTATTCCATTGATGTGCTGAAGATGCATGTCATGTTTAATAGCTGACTATACAGTATGGGTTTTACTCATTGTAGAAAGCTGTATGGTGGTTTATAATTGCTTTTATCCTGCAATCGACCTTTCTACTATACAAATACATGGTGGCAGATAACATGAACCCATAAACATATACTAGACATTTATAGTCTCCTAGTATCCTGCTTCTGTTGTGAATGATGGTTATATTCAAATTACTGTTTAAGTAACAGCTTAATATGGGGTCCTCATTGTGGTCCATGTTTAAATCATGTTGATTTCTTTGAACAATGATTTGGAAGGGAAAAACTATAAGTTTAAACTCAATGTTAAATTATAGGATATTAACAATATATTCGTACAGTGTAGGAAAATATAAAATTTATTTGACAAGCTTTAGAAACAGAGAAAAGCGAGGCTCACCGGGTATTGTAATATATATCCACTTCATTTGAACTCTGGTGGATAGTTGTCTCATTGGCAATCATACCACATCTCCTTGTTTTTTTATATATCTGCAGCTGGACATTAAGCATCCATCAATATCCCTCCATACATTCTCCAAAGAAAGACAATGCAACTGTATAAGGTAAATAGTTCCACTTTCAATAAAATTTCTCAATGATTTCAAAAATATATTTGAACAACATATGGCACTTAATTTTAATAAATATTTTTTTTCAAATAAATAATCACACATGCCATGGACTAGCATGGACTGTTCACTGGTATAGCACTAACCAATACACATTGTATAAATCATTTAAAATAATCCAGGATGCTTCAGAGCATCATGTCATAAGATAAAATCATTCACATTCAGCTGCATCTTCAACTCAAAACAAATTCTTGAAACCATCAGATCATTACACAGATAAAAATACATGGCCTTTAAGCACAAACCATCATATGCTATACCTGAACTCAGATATTTAGGTTAATATTGATTACTCTCTTAAGTTCTTAATTTTTTCAAACATGTACTCTATTGAATAACTGAGTGAAAAATAGGACTTAAAAAAAAGGAAAATAATACTTAATAAAGGTGGGGGATCTAAATTCAAAGGAGTAGGTCCAGTAAGACCCTTTTTTGGACCCAAAATATAGCAGTTTTACAAAATTGTTAAAATGTAAACTTTTAGCTATTTATTTGAAAGTAGAATACTTATGTTACATAACTATAGGCTGTTTTTGACAATACAATGCACATATATCGGGCACTAGCATCAATAAGTCGTGCTAAATTACTGAAATCTTCACAATTTAAGCATTTGAGTTAAATTTTAGACAGTTTCCGTCTTAAATGGAAGTGGCCGCATTCGTGTTCATTCTTAATATTTAAATGTATGTTGTATTTTATGATAATACATAACATATATGAAGGTTGAGAGTGAACACGGATGCGGCCACTTTCATTTTTGACAAAAAACATCTGAAAAGTGACCTATTATGGCATATTTGACAGATTTTTCATATTTAAGCTTGAATTTGAGCGTCTTTAATGACTGAATCAGTTCAAATCTTTCACATAAACTACATGAATCGACTCAAGTAGACACTTAAGTGTTTAAAAAGTGTCCAAAATTTTTCATCAAATGAACCTGAAATTTGAGGCCAAAATCGGTCCTTACCGGACCTACTCCTTTATACAATTTTCTAATAATTTGGCAAAATGTAAATTATTTCATGCTTTTTTCAAAAATAAAATAAAAAGTATGAGTCACAGGGCTTTCTTTCACACTACAGGATGTGCAAAATTGCCAGATTTTGTATAGAATATGCATGGAAAACCAAATTTTGTGTGATAAAAAGAAAACTTAATGATAGAATTTTAAGATAAAATATGAGAACATAGCTCTCATAATGTGCTTTCAGAAAAGAAAAAGTAAAAATTGGGGTCACAGGACTCGTTTTCTTGCTACAAAACAAAATAGGTAAATTCCTTCTACATCTTACATAATCTGAGTTATCTCCCCTTGTATGGCAAAGTTGAAAAAATTGAAATTTGTTATTGTAAAAAACAGTCCTAAAACTATGATAAAACACATAATTTTCTATATTAACAAGAACAGTTTTACAAATGAACTACATTCTTCTCTCTTAAATTTCACATTTCATTATTTTACAATCCAAGATGGAAGAAGACACCAGGAGAACCTTATTCAGTTTTTGCAACACCTTATGTAATACAATGAATATAATTTATATCCAAATCTCTTCATATATTCAATCTGTAACAATGTTTATTGCCTAATGTTTTAAATTAGACAAACTTTTAAAGTATAAATAGTTAAAAGTTAAAGATGCCACTGTAATAATATTGATACCATACAGACAGTATAACTCCTTTTGAGAAATATAAAAAAAATATATATTAAAAAAGTCAGTTGAGAAAATCAAACATGGCCTTCCCATTTCTACCACCATTTAATCAGGCAAATTATTAATGAGTGGATGGGGGACTCTTAATTTTCTTTCATGATTTGCAATGATATAAAGGAAAGTTTTTAACAAACTATATTTGTCTTTTTAGAGTAATATAATATTTTTTCTTTATTTCCCTAAAGCATGAGAATATCAGATCCTGATGAAAGGTATATCTTTTTTTCACATAAGTACACCTTATAAACAGAAATTAATATAACTTGCAATTTGACTCACAAGTTTCTTGTCATCCTGGATATGCATGAAATATTTGCCACTGAAAAACAAACAATAACAAGTTGATAAGCTACATGATGGTGAAAATACTGTCATATTACAGAAAGTGTTAGCTAAGCTTGATGGAAAAAATATATACTGTACATTCATAATTATAAGTTGCATGCAAATTTTCATTGGTTTAGGTAAACCATGTTTAAATATTGAACGAAGTATATATTTTCTGAAGGCTTGTATGCAGACTTTGGCAAAATCACGAAATCAAATATCCACCAAAATACAGGCATTCCTCAATCCACAAAAAACAAATTAATCAACAGTAATTAAAGTTTGTAAGTATTTATGCTATGGCTTTCCATTCTTGTTGAAAATATCTATGTAATGCATACTCAATACATTTTGATAAATAAGCACCTTCAGCAAAAATTGGTACCTAGAAAATCTTTGTTATGACCAGTTGATTAAAAATTCTGACAAAGATTAAAAATGTCAAGGTTCAATTCCGGATTCTTTAGACACTAAAGATGCTCCATCTATTTCCCTTGCACCAACACTGTGTGGGATATCATTGTGAGTTTCTGTGTGGGACGGGTTGAATGTGTCATTTGCTGGAACACTATGAAACTTGTATACAGTTTGTACAGTTTGTTTGGGAGCTATTTCCATAGCACTAGGATCTGATTCTGTTCTGTTTCTATTGTTACTGGAATCAACGTATTCATGTAGAGGAGAAAATGAAGCACCTGTAAGCAAATTTTAAAATGCTGTATTAAAACTTAGAAGTATCTATTAGACCATTTTTGTTATTTTTGACCAGTAAATAAGTTAACGTTTTACATACTCAAAGTTGTTTAAATGAAATATAAATTTATTTTACTTCAATAATACAATGCAAAAATTCTCAATTACTGGGTAAACTTGTAAAGTAGAATTTACACCTAACAAGTTTGAAATTTCTTAGAATATTTCTATGGTCAATTTTTCTGCATAAACTTGAACACTTATACATTTTATCCTTAATGACTTCCACTTGGTACTCAAAATACTTTTGATGAGCATACAAGGTTAAATAATTGGTGTTGCCCTTGCATTTAATGAAAAGTCAAGAAGCTTCCACACAGATCTAAATGCAAAACTTATAAGAAGTCAGACATAAATTTTGCAGTGGTGAAATATCATTGATATATTATCATCATTTAAAAGAAATATAAATAATACAAAACAACAACATCTGTATATCCTGTTGTATAACATCTGGTTGTAAATATTACATGCACACAGTCCTGCAGTCTGTTGATACCTATATTTTGGCATTGCACCAGGTCATGTTTTTCTCTGACTGTTACTGACATCTTTATACTAAATCTTTTGGATGTTGGATGTGCACTGATTGATACTTTAGTCTTAGATACAGATTTTTTTATTAGTTGTTATTGGCTTTGAACTAGCTTTCAGTAACTGCGAGTAATCTCAGATCTGTACTTTTTATGTTTTTGTTAGTTTTCTTGTGTTATCGATCTGATGAGTTAAGCCCTTTTCAACTGATATTTATAGTTTGTTCTGTATGCTGTACTGATACATCACTGTCCTAGGTTAGGGGGATGGTTTGGAAGCTGAAAACATGTTAAACTCCTTGTAGCCTGTCTTTCAGTGGTTGTTGCTGTATATCATATTTGTTTTTTCATCTATTGTTTTGTTTGTACATAAATCAGGTCATCAGTTTTTTTCGTTTGAATTGTTTTACGTTTGTCATTTCGGGGCTGTTATAGCTTACAATGCGATAGAAGTTTTTATTGAAGGCTGTTGGGTTTTTCTAATTGTTGAAAGCCATATGTTGACATACAGTTGTTAACTTCTAAGTCATTTAGTCTCTGGTGGACAGTTGTCTCATTGGCAATCATATCTTCTTATTTGTATATTCCTGTACGTATCTATATAGGAAGGCAAGTGTAATTCTCTATGACATATCACTATTCATGGAATTGGCGAAAAGGAAAATGATGTTTACCTTTGGTTTGTGTGGGACGTCTCAGTTCATCCACTTGACTGTATAACTGTAACAATTTTCCTTCAAGTCCTTGGTTAATCTTCATTACAGACTGGTATTTATCTTCTATTGACTTTAAATAAAAATTACACATACATTGTACATAAACAGCCAATGACACATTAGTAAAACCTTATTTAATATGGGATTTGTTTCAAATATCTAGACCATAATTGACGACATGGTTATCTAAATAGATCCCGATGTTCTATTCAAAGAAAATGTAGTGAGTTCAGTCAAACTTTGAAAATTAAGGATACACTATCCCTTTTGTAAATTCCTTTGGAGGATTTAAAATAGGTTTTTATCATTCTCATAACAAAGACAATATCTTTGAAAAACAGAGAAAAACTTTTTGATTTATTTAAAAATAAAAGAAGAATGTGTCTGAGGACACGAATGCCGCCGCTCAAGCTTTGCTATTTTCCAGTTAAAAAGGGGCTCAACTCTAGAATGGAAAATGACTCAATGCCACAATTCGAACTCTGTTTGTGTGTTGCAGTTCTTAGCATTGAGTATGAGTTTCATAAAATTTGGATGAGACAAACTTAAGTTGTAATGTGGAAACTGAAAAATTAGAAATTTTCCAAGTTGTAAAGGAGCATAACTCTAGAACAGTTAATGATAAACAGCCAACATTTATAATCTGTCTGCCTGTTGTGGTTGCTAGCATTGTGTATGAGTTTCATAAAATTTGGATGAAGCAAACTTAAGTTAGAGTGTGATAACGCAATAAAAAATGTCCAATTTTCCAAGTTATAAAGGGCCATAACTCGAGAACAGAAAGTGACTCACTGCCCAAATTCAAACTCTGTCTGCAAGTTTTGGTTCTTAGCATTGTGAATGTGTTTCATAAAATTTGGATTAGGAAAACTTGTCAGAGTGCAGAAACAAAAATGGGACGGCTGGACGGAAGGACAGACAAGGGTAACACTTAATGCACCTGTTGCCTACGGCGGGGGCATAAAAAACAATATCTATCAGGTATTTTGATTATGATGCCGATACCTTAAATGAATACTTCATAAACATTTATAAAAAAACAGGTTAAAGATTTTGAATTTTCACCAATTTTTTGGGCATTTTTACAGAAATATTGAAGCAGGAAACTTGTACCATCCATACCTTTATTTCATCTTCCTGACTGATCTTCACATCTTCTAACTTCTTTTTTAATTCTGTTACCCATACATCCTGCATTTACAAATAAGATGACTTTACCATTTTTATAATAAAATATATACAAGATATCTGATATGTCAAGGCACTGCTGGGGAATAGAGGCAATATCACAATTATCTTTAGTTGTACCTCAGTGTACCCTAAGGATGTTTAGGGTATAGAAATATGGTCACCTTGGTCTTCTTAAGACCGACAATAAACCCTTGTCAAGGTGGGGTGTCTATATGGCTGTACAGGATGTATAAATTCACATCCATGTTAAGAAAAAATGAAGCTGTTAAATCTGTTGCCTCATGCAGAAAGAGTGCCACACTCTCTGCAAGTTAAAGAACCCAGATGGCCTGTTGCTAAGAGTTAATTTGTGTCCCTATCTGATATACCCTAGTTTTCCAGTGGCATTCAGAATTTCCTGTCCTTCAACCCAGGCGATCCCTATTTCAGGACCTATTCATTGTATTAATTGTAAATTTGTTCATTTCCTGAACATGCAAAAAATATTTGCCACTGGAAGAAAAGCAAAAACAATCAATCAATCAATCAATCAGTTGTATCTCAGTATCCATCTTTATATTTTTATCCTGCAAACTCTGTATTCCCCTGAGAAAGCATACTAAATAAAGCTACTTTTGATTTAGTTTTAACAGACTGGACACATATAGAGGCACAGACCTGCAGTGTTCTCCCCAGGGACTTTTAGCACCATGGTAATGTGATGCTATCTGAATTGGTTTTCTTATAGATTATGTTATGGCTGTGATGCTATAATTTTTAGAAACAAGATGGTATTTCAAATTTTCCTGTTTACAAGGATGCTAAATGAAACATCTGGGGAGAACACTGACCTGTATGATGACTCTACAAAATGAAGAGATATGGTTAATATCTATATTTAGCAAATTACCTTACAAACTTTCAAACTAAAAACTGCTATTGAAACAACTGAAACTTTCAAAGATTTAATTGAAAATATATCTGCTAATAATTACCTTATTTTTGACATTTTCTTCTAGTTCTACAATCCTTTGCTGACAAGCTGTTAATTGTAAGGAATCACGATCCAGCTGGGCTTGTAAAACTGTAAATAACAAATGGTAAACTATGAGTATTTATAATCAGGATCGAGCTGGGCTAGTAAAAATGTAAATTCTCTGCCCATCAAACAATCATAAGTGGAAGGCAAAGGATCCTTTATTGAATGAACATTAGAACAGAGGACAGGGAACTTTTGTTTATTCAAATACTATTTGAACAGACTAATAGGTTTTTCTCTCTCTGTTAATGATAATTTTGTCACAAATCTTTATGATTTACAAGACAATAAAGTATGTGTTTGTTTGTAAGACAGAAGTTTATATAATACACTTGAAGTATCAATAAAGAATTCCTATCCAACTAGATGGTCTCATGATTCACTGCACTTGTAATACTGTTAAAATAATCAGTTCTTGAAATTGCTTTCAGCTTATCATGCATTGCATGGACAGAATCCAGTATTTTACCTGTTTAGAACAAGTCTATAATTGGCAAGAGGAAACAGCTGATGTTAAAAGTGTGAAATAACAGAATCAAAATCGACAAACCAATTTGTCCTATTTGGGACCAGTCTAGAATTGGCAAAGGGAAACAACTTGTGTTAAAAGTGTGTAATAACAATCAAAAATGACAAATAGACAAATGGATAGAATGCATAAGAGGATTAACCTGTATACTGACCTTTAATTTCAGCCTTAAGTGTAGAGACTACCATATCATGTTCAGGTTGTTTGTTATTCCTGTATTTATTGATGTTGATATTTTCCTGGTATTTTTGTTGCAGTTCTCCCATCAACATCAATTCTTTATGGGTCTGCAGCATCTATAAAACAAAAGATTTCAATATGGACTGTTCAATAAAAAGTTATCCATGGCTCTTTGAAGGCAACTGCATCTAAATTTCTATAGGTGATTCAGTCTTGATTATATTCTAGCATTGTCTAAGGTAAACATTCTATGGGCCGTGATCCCATTCTATATATGTTGATAAACATTTCCATAACATGTATGTTATTCTCCAATAAATGTAACAGCAGAAAGAAAATTGACTGTACTTGATGATGCAATAAGAAGTGTCCACACGCTGAAATGTCACACCTGCTTTACCTATCAGGATTGATTTGTATGTTGAAAAGTCTTTAAGTCAAGGTATTATATAAACTTTATAAAGATTTTACTACAGGTATTATATAAACTTTATAAAGATTTTACTAAAGGTATGATATAAACTTAACATTATCCCTTTTCCATAAAAGATGAAGCCTTCCAGACCGACAAGTTCACCTTGTAATTATTCACATGGATACAATAATTGAACCTTATAGTTTCAGTGTCACATGGACACAATATTTGATATTACACAGACACAATAGCCAACCTTTTGTTTTCTTTATGACTCAGATACATTACCTGATCTTTGAGTTTCTGTGCTATTTCTCCTTGCTCTTTTAAGTGAGAAATTTCCTGCTGATTGTGAAATAGTTTGTTCTCAGATTCTTGTAATTTCTGAAAAGAATGTATGTGCAATTGTGAAACTTTTGAGTTTTAAAAAATTGATAACAAGAATGTGTCCATAGTACACAGATGCCCCACTCACACTATCATTTTCTATGTTCAGTGGACTGTGAAATTGGGGTCAAAACTCTAATTTGGCATTAAAATTAGAAAGATCATAAGGAACATGTGAACTAAGTTTCAAGTTGATTGGACATCAACTTCATCAAAAACTACCTTGACCAAAACCTTTAACCTGAAGCGGGACAGACGGACGAACGAACGGACGCACAGACCAGAAAAGATAATGCTCCTACTACTATCGTAGGTGGGACATAAAAAAAATGACAATTACCACATGGATCTCTGTTCACATTTTGCTCGGAAGAAATTGTTCCGAGTATTCTTTATTTTGATTGGTTAGCTGGTTACCTGCATACAGGACACTCATATATATTTCTCTGATTCAGGATTCGTGGCACATTTGAAATTTATTGTTGAGAAAATTATTAACATTACTTTCATAAAAAAATGCCAAAAAACAACCATTGACTAGGGACAGGTACAAGTTTTTATCTATTTACTGTATATAGCTAGCAGGTACTACAAAATAATCTAAAGTTCACATTCTATCCTGACTCCTGAACAATGAATTTTAATATTCTTTCGCACCTGCTGCATATTGTTGACTGCAGCAGAAGAAGTGACAGGAACACAGTTCAGTCTATTTTGCATTGATGTACCGTATATTGCTGCTAGATCCAAATATGCAATTCCAGTTTTGGAAGGAATTATACATTTGGAGACCACTAACAACAATATCTTTTGTACTGGGATACACTGCAATGTTGCAATAAAATAACATTTCAAAATAATCTAATTAAAAGAGCCATATTTCTGCTTTACTTTTTTCTTGGTTTTTCAGCCTCCTTACCAGATGTTTTGGTTTTACTCAAAATGAGTAAGTTATGCTAGTGAAATTTCGTAAAAATTTGCAAGTTACTGTCAGGATTAGCAATAATTCTGTATGCACAGATGATTCATGTCCCATTATGCATGAACAGAAACAACAGATTATAATCTATCAGTATTAGACAAACAAAGGCAGGTGGAGAACTGATGGTATTGAACATAGGGTTTAACAATACTGATTTAACTGATGAAGATAGTACTACCTTTTTTAAAGCATCTTGTTCTTCTCTCTGTCTTACTAGTAAAGTGTTAAGTTCAGTTTTAGTGGACTTCAGATCGGAGTTCTCTTGCAAACAACTTCTGTAAAAACATATAATAACATTTTCTTTGACATTTTTCTGTCCTTTCTGTGTGATAAATTTCAACCCAAGCTACCTTTGTACTATACTAAGATGGGTTTTCTCAGTTACTGTAAATTCAGAAATTATTGCATGCATTTATTATTGAGATGTTTGAAAAACGGATAAAAATGCGAGATTAATTATTGTGATTTCAGGAAAACCTGCATACAGATATATGAATCAGATATCAGATTGTGAGTTCTTATTATTGCGATATTCAACCAGTCGCATTATTCGCATTGATAAAAACCTAGCAATAATTTCTGAATTTACACTAAGTGAATTAAAAATGTTATGACGTCATGAGCTAATGTTAGAACAGTACCTAGGAAAATAGTGATAAACAGATTATCTTTATGGTCTTTCAAACTCAAAATAAGTTTCTCAGCTACATCTCATCTTGGGCTTTAGCTTTTCAATGAGTTTGTAGCCGAGAATCTCCCTTTAGTTTCAGAATCATACATGATCTTTAAGTCTATTGTCAAGAGTAAAGGCTCAGACTTAAAAATTGAATTGTTTTGGATTTTTTATGTAACAAAAGGTAAGAGCTACAACAAAACTTGCAACAGCCTATGAAACTTCACTGACATTTTCTTATTCATGAGATAAAAATCTAATTGTTTACATTGTATACCGGTAGGTCAGAAATGGCCCATGATTGGTTTTAATACAGTATTCTAATATTCTATTCTATATATAAGCAGATTTTGTTTAAAGCTGACGATGTGACAAAGGTTAACAATTACGCCCTTATAACGTTTCAAAGTTATTAGATTGTAACTTACATGTTGGGTTTTCCTAACACACACAAAAACATGCATACTATATATCAATGAGCTCATTTAAAATATCAAAACATGGCTGAACATTTTGAAACTCTGCATCAATTCAAATTTAACATAACAAAAGTTTCAAACAGAAAATCAATATGCATTAAATTCTGCATGTTTACATTCAACGTCCCAACCCTTTCATGTACGTTTTTCTTACAAAGCTGAGAATTGAGTTTTGGTAAATGAATGGCAGCCTTCATTATAAACTGGTCACAATATCTGAGTGACTTGATCATGTATAAATTTACCTGAGTTTGACTAGCATCTCATACTCATTACTCTCTTGTAGGTCTTTTAACTTTCTGTTTTCATCTTGTAATAATTTTGTTGAAATCTTAAAATTTTGTATTTCTGTCTCAAGTATGTTGATTTGTCCTGCCTGTAATTCAAGAATAGATTATTTATAAATGGATGTCTTTATGCAAAGATTTTTAGTCATTAGACCCAATTCAAATAACTTGATTTTTTCCTAAGTTCGTTTGGCTTTTGTAGAAAAAGCTGGACTGTTGTATGATTCACCTGAGCTGAGAAATCTTTCAAAAATAAGGGGAAGACACCAAAAAACAGACAATCAAAAATCATGGCAAAAAAAGACAAAAAAAACGAGAAAAAAAACATCAGTCCACAGAACACTATATAGAAAACTGAAGACTGATCCACTTCCTACATGACCCTTTTTTCATTGTAAGATCAAAGATGAGTACATACATGTACATATGCATCTCCCATCAATGTCCAATCAAACTACTATAACATGAAGTAGACCATTAAGGTAACCCTTAGCACAATTTATATTGGAACAATTACAAGAGCATCTTTAAAGTTGGATATCAGTAAAAAAACATACTAGCTAGATGTATAAGTAGATATTTTGCTGCAGCATATTTTGAGGATTTATCTATTTCGTGGGTTGAGGAAAAGTTGAGTATTTGTGGATTTGCCAAAGTCTGCATACAAGCCTATAGAAAATTGATACTTGGCTGAACATTTAAATTAATATTTCACCTAGGCCTTTAACCACAAAATCCACAAGAAATGGTCCCCACAAAAAACATGAATCCACAGCATACTTATAACATGCTTTTTCTGAGGTTTATGGAGGAAATCCAAAACATGGAGAGTTTTATTATAAATTTCCTGTTTTTAAAATCGAAATTATCCTAAATAATCCTTTAATAACATTAATTTTTAAATATTTGAATGTAATTACTATATAGGTCGTAACCTAAGATATCTTTTTCTTAATTGGTAGACTATACTAACCATAACATTATTATTTTCCTCTAGAGTTTCAGCATTAGCAATCTTTCTCAGTAGCCTACGATTCCTTTTATTATGCAGTTCTCGTTTATGTCTTTCATACATTAATTGGTTCTCCATCATAATTATCTGGCCTCGTAAAATGTTGATTTCATCAGCTGGTGGGGCACCTGTAAATGTTAATTAATACATACTCAATGTGTTATCAATTTTATACTCAATCAATATTTCATCTGAAAGGATTTGTGAAGAAAAAACTTATTTTGAGAACTAAAACTGTACAGATTTTATAAATTAATGCATACATCTTGTTTAAATTTTCTTTCCGATAACCAAGTTTTTTTTAACACTGAAGTTTTTCATTAAAAGGCAGTGTTTTTTTGGTGCCTATCAACCTTGAGAGTCAAAATATTTTTTGGTGTTCATAAATATTTCAACCAATCCAACATTACTTGGTTACTTGAATTACTCATACATGTTTATCTATCTTTAATGTACAAATATATAATATTGTACATGTATTTGTGTCCCAGACCATACCAGTATTTGAACCAGACATGTATGGTCATGACTATGTGCATATACTCATATGGTCCAGTCATACTCATATGGATGATATAATGATCAGTTTATTTGAAACATTTCAGTACATCATAAATTTAATCAACAGTCACAGTACTCACCTCCAAAATGTGTCCAGTTTATAGCATCTTGACTAGTTATAGGAATTTTACTCAATTCTTTGGCATGAATTTCTCGTCCCATAGTTAAATGTTTATCTAGTAGTTCTAATGGTGACAGGGATTGAAACAATGGCACTTCTTTACCTTAAATTAGAAATAAAATTGAATAAATTGCTTCGCTGAGCGCAGCTGGATACGACCGCAGAGGTCCAACCCTGAACAGTTGGGGCAAAAATGGACACAATATTCGCGCTTGATACAGGTCTGAATTTGGATTGTAATTAAATATTTGACACATAATAGGTTTCTGACACAGAATAACTGTAGTCAAAGAACTTAGAATTGGTCATATGATTTGAATTTATATTCAATTTTTTGCTTTTGTGCAATACACTACGCTGTTGTGAATTGACCCCCCCCCCCCCTCAAAAAAAAATTTACCCCCCTTTTTTTTGCTTTTGTGCAATACACTATGCTGTTGCGAATTGACCCCCCCCCCCCCCCCCCCCCCCCCCCCAAAAAAAATTTTCTTTTTAATTTCTGAAATCTGAAATGAGAAAAAATTGTCCCCCCCCCCCCAATTCTTTTTACCCCCCCCCCCCTTTTTCCCCACAAAAAAAATTCCTTCCCTCAAGATATGGTCATAATCTCAATTGAAATTTTCAATGGAGTTTGCAACCATAATTACCTATTTAAAAACACCATAAAAGTCTTAAAATAGAAAATGACATACATAATCATGGCTAAAATTAATATATAAAATATTCCTTAATCAGCATTTTTAAATAGTAACTTCTAAAAACAAATTGACAGCTAATCACCTAACGACAATACAACATTTCTTTATACATAATTTAAAAGCAGTGTAAGGGAGGCAATCCAAACATAGCATTGTACTTTTTTTTAATTGTCCATTAACCAGGAAACCCTTGTTTTTCCCCCTTTTTTGCCCCTAATTCCTAAATGGTTTGAGCCATAACCCCTCAAAGCCAATCATAACCATCGCTTTGTGGTATAATTTCAGAGAGATCCATACACCGTTCCACAAGTTTTTGTCTGGAAACTGGAAAAATGCTTATTTGGGCCCCTTTTTAGCCCCTTATTCCTAAACTGTTAGGACTATAACCCCCAAAATCAATCCCAACCTACCTTTTGTGGTTATAAACCTTGTATTTAAATTTCATAGATTTCTATTTACATTTACTAAAGTTATTGTCTGGAAACCAAATGTCTTCGGACGACGACGTGATACCAATATAAGACCGCAAAAATTTTGCTGTCGTTTAAAAATACATGTGCTTTCTTTCAATTCTAAGAAATGAATATGAAAGTACCAGTGCCTTTTCCTAATTGGATGAAATTAAATCTTATGTTGAGACAAATGCATGCTATGTATTGTCCTTGTACTCATCATCATGATCATCATGCATAAAAGATATTTGGTAAAGACAACAACATTTTAAGCAATCATTTCTGCAATAGTCTCATACTAATTTTTAAGTCATTTCAAGAAAATCTTTACTATAAATATCACTGCTTTGATGCATATATACATCATACAGGATATGCCTACTCTTTCGAAAGCAATCCAAATTTTGTATAAGTGGTCATATTGCCTAAAGCCTAAGTGTTATGCAAATTTTGTATAAGTGGTCATATTGCCTAAAGCCTAAGTGTTATGCAATCAATGTTAGCATGGTTAGTCCTCATACCTATCTTTTTTGTTTTTTTACTTGCAAATTGTTCATATCTTTTCCTCTGAATATCAATTTTTATTCCAATTTGACCGCAATTGGTTAGGCTATCTACCACATGTTATATACCAGTTGCTATTCAAGTACACAGTGCAATATTACTGTACAATCTTTTCACTTTTTCTTTTTTTTCCCAAAGATATGTTTAGATTATTGTGTTAATTGTACATAGAATATGGTAAATATATCAGAAAAGAGATAAAATGTGAACCTTTTTGGCAATTGAGTGTAGGGAATAAGCACAAACCTTCATAGTCGGACATTTTACAATATCAATTTGCAGCAAATCAAATAAATAATCTATTTTTATCATTTATTCTTGTAATATTTCTTTGCCTCCCTTAAACATGTTTAGGCTTGGTTGTCCTACCAAAATCAAGCCCTCGCAATGTGATGTCCCTGATAAGTTCTCTAGTATCAGACAAAGAGAAGTACAATAATCTATTATAAGAATTACCCTGGTTTTTATCTGACACCATATAAGTTTTGCATCTTTGGCACAGGTGCATTGAATTTGGCAGCAAAGAATTTTTTATCACATCCATAAAACTGTTCTGAGATTGTGGAACGGGTTGATTGTCTGACTGTGTAAACACTGGACATGATGTAATACTGATGTGTGATGATGTTGTCATAGTTACAGAACTTGTTTCTGTAGTAACTGTTGTAACAACAGGTAATGATGATTGTGGACTATCTTGTTGACTAGTTTGTGAGATTTGCCGTTTTAAGTTAGATACCATGGAAGTAGATCGTGACAATTCCTCCTCGTTTTCATCTTCACTATCCTCATTATCCACGGAGGACAATTTCGGTAAACTGGGACAAGAATTTGACCTAGTTTTTTTGTATCTTTCTTGTTTGTATAAGTCTAAATTGTTGGTTGCTGTTAAACTGTTGAATCGTATTCGATTAACACTTTTCATGAACTGTGCCACCGATTCAGCTGTTAAATGTACCCTTGATTCGGATTGGTTCTGTGTGATTTCAGATACTTCATCATCTGAAAAAGATACCCATTCTGTGAGTAAGTTATATCACAAAGTATTTGGAAAATTTAAGGTTTATCTATACACATGATACATACAACCATAAAATGTTCATGATCCAATTTTGAACAACATATACTTAAGAAAAACTTATTAATTTAAATTTGACATGACTTTTGATGTGTTTTGCATCACTGTATCAGACACTTTATTTCCTGTAGATTTTTCATCAACAAATTATAAATCAATATGCATACTGAATTTTACTTTGAGTTTTGCTGTGTGTTTGTTTATACCACATTGGATAGAGGTAAAGTGGGAGGGTTGAGATCTCACAAAACATGTTTGACTGTGCCACGATTTTGCATCTGTCCCAAGTCAGGAACCTCTAGACTTATGTGTTTTGGTTCATTTGTATGTTTCAGACTTTAGTGTGGCGTCCTTTTCACTGAACTAGTATACATTATGGTTTAGGGGCCAGCTGAAGCCCACCTCCAGATGCAGGATTTTCACACTGCATTGAAGACCCATAGGTTTCTTTGGGCTGATTTCTGTTCTTTAGTCGGGTTGTTGTCTATTTGACACATTCCCTGTTTCCATTCTCTATTCTATATGAACTTCAACCCTCAATGAAGGATATCAATTTTTCTAATCCTGAACTAATTCTTAGTGTTCCTAATCTAAGTTCATTTTTTTAATATCAACGTATATATGTGTATTCAGCTCTACATTGATCTAAACTGAAATACAATTGCCTTATTGTTCAATATGAAAATACATTTCCTCAAAAAAAAGTTATGATATAAAAGTCTTCTTTGAATAGATCTCTTTAGGCAATGTTTTATAATTAACAAGAACTTTTGTGTGTTTCTGGCTAGCTGGCTTGTCTGAAAATCTGAAATTCTGATTCTGATGTTAAGGAAACATGAAAACCAGAATGGAAGCTATAGAAAAGTATACTCTAAAATATCTAAGAGTTCAACAAAATGTCTTAACTCACAAAATGTTGGTAAATTCTAAATTGAAAACTTTACTCTGTGTGCACAACTAACTATCCATTTAGATATATATAAAACAAACACTTAAAACTATTTTATACAAAAAATATTTTTTGTAAATTTAACCCCCATTTTACTTTGGATTTCTGTCTCCTATAAACATTCAAGGTTCCATCATATGTTTTAAACCACCTGAAAATCTGATTTCAAACATCATTGTTTCAAAACACTGTCAACAAAATGCATAAGCAGAGACAATAAATGATCCTCCATAATAAATACAATAGATCTGTGCCAGGAAATGTTACAATCCATTATTATCATATTATCTCAATTACTAGGTGTCTTAATCATCTATTCAACCTGGATGATCATTCACAATAGTTTTTGAAGTATGGTGTGGGAAAAGAAAGGTGAATTAATAACACCGAATCCCTACACTAACTTGACAAAACCAAAGGCAACAAGCCAGTGGCTTTTTTCTACTGTTATTGATCTCAAAGTGAAAGTACAATCTTAACTTTGGTGCCAAAGATCCCATCTCCCTTAAAGTTTAAGATCACCATGGTGAGCTGAATATTTACACAAGTAAGTATATATATATCAAATAATAAACTATTGTGCCATTTACATGTATAAATATCAATCTTAAACTATTACCTTCATCACTCCCATGTAAATCCTCCATCATTTTGGGTAGTGTCTCCATGGAGAATGACTCCATGAGATCTGGCCTTTCTAAGCTGTCTTTTCTTTCTATAGTTACATGCTCTATCCCATCATCCTTTTCTTCCTTAGTATTACTTGGGTGATACATCATCCCATGATCCACAAATGACGCAATTGGAGATTCTGGAACAATGTCAAATTTCAATTCTCTAGCTGTTGTTCTAATGGGTAGAGATTTAAACATTCCTGTTGGAGGTTCTGCCGTGAATTCTGTTTTAATAGGAGATGGTGGCACCGATGATTTTACATCACTTCCTGGTTGAGATTTCGTAACAATGGTTAGTGATGCACGTTTATCGGAGCCTTTAGTAAACAAAGATCCTCTGCTACTGTTTCTACTAAGACCCTGAAATTACAATGTATGACATTAACATTGGAACTACAGTCAATTAACAGTGTACAATAGTTATCAAAGGTACCAGGATTATAATTTAATTACAACTTGAACACTGGAACTACAGTCAATTATAATATATGACTTTAACATTGGAACTACAGTCAGTTACAATTTATGACTTTAACACTGGAACTAGTCAATTACAGTGTTTAAGAGAGAGGCAAAGGATACCAAAGGGACACTGGAACTACAGTCAATTACAATATATGACTAACACTGGAACTAAAGTCAATGACAATGTATGACTAACGCTAGAACTGCAGTCAATTACAATGTATGACTAACACTGGAACTACAGTCAATTACAATATATGATTAACACTAGAACTACAGTCAGATTACAATGTATGAATTTAACACTTGAACTACAGAGAAGTAGTGAAACAACTTTTACATTATTAATACTGTAAATTCAGAAATTATTGTGTGCATTTATTATTGCGATTTTTAAAGAATGGAAGAAAAATGCGAGATAAATTATTGTAATTTCAGGAAACGATGCAAATAGATATATGTACCAGATATTCAAATGTGTGTTATTATTATTGTGATAATTACCCAAACTCATTATAAACCTCACAATAATTTCTGAATTAACAGTAATGGTAAAGTTTCTATACAACTGAAATAATATAACCTATCATTAAACAGTCAGATTTTAGAATTTTTAAGAACATTTCAAATTGTAAAAACTATCTGAAATATCTGAGGCTCTTTGCACAAAAAAATGTGATTGATCATTTTAATGTCAGCAGACTAATCATCCTTATGTTTTGTGTTGGAGCTGTTTTATTGGCAATTCCAGATTATCTCCTTATTTTCAGATGTATTTTTTTTCTACCTTTTCAGCATCTTCAAAAATAGGAGGTGTAGCTCTGGGAGTTATCACTGGTGTATTTCCATGAGTTCCAGGAGCTGGAATAAAAAAATCACGAAGTATGATCAAATCTATACATAGACAAAAATGTAGTAAATAGAAATTAACACAAACTACAAAAACTAACTCACTTGATAGTTTTTTTCTCTTGACCTATGCACATTTTCAATTACGAATGTTTCAAAATTTTGGGGGTGGAGGGACGGGGCTCTGAAATGAAATAAATATGGGTGTTTGCATTTCCATTTGAATTTTGTAACAATTATAAGTAAAATGAAAATTTCTATTTAATGGGTGGTCAGTGTCCGAATAAAATGCCTCCCATGCTTTAATTCTGGAAAAGCCCTTAAGTTTTAATACTTTTTCTAGACACCCAATGAACTTTGGTTTGGAAATGCTTTATGAAGTCCAAAAGCAGAAATTCAATATGTTAGATATGGCTAATATTTAAAATACTGTTTCACTACTACTAGCTAATAAAAAGTACAGTTATATCTTTTTTTTGTCATTTTATAATTTTGGTGTAGATGTTAAATCTTAAATAGCTCTGCTAATGTTTTTTTAAATTTTTATAGACTCATGGTTATTTTGAGCTTAATATATTGTATGGACGCCAATCTATTGTTTAAGATCATATGCTGACCTTAAGAAGTCTTTTGTTTTTTTGTGTTGTGGCTTTGTGTCTCATTGATGTATATCCCACATCTTCCATACTTATTAATGTTTTTCCCAGGATAACATGAAACTTAAATCAACATATATTCATTGATGAACCTAAAAAACATCCTTTTTCAGAAACTGAATTAAGTAAAAATAATGCAACATTATTATTTCCCAGACTTTTGATCACACTATAGAAAGGTAACTTTCCATTTCCTTGCTTTATTCATTTTATTGTGGTTAACAGCAATTTTTCCATTTGTAAAGGAGCATAACTCTAGAACGGTTTAAGTGACGCCACCAAAATTCAAACTTGATCTGTATTTTGTAGTAATAAGCATTGTGTATAAGTTTCATAACATTTCTTTGAGGCAAACTTAAGTTAGAGAACGGAAAGGAAAAATTCAGCAATTTTTCCATTTGTAAAGGGGCATAACTCTAGAATGGTTAAAGTGATGCCACCAAAATTCGAACTTGATCTGTGTTTTGTGGTAATAAGCATTGTGTATAAGTTTCAAATCATTTGGTTGAGGCAAAACTAAAGTTAAAGAACGGAAACTAACTATGGGACGTACGTATGGAAGTACAGACAGACAAGGGTAAAACTTAATGCCTCCTCCGCTACAGCGGGGGCATAAAAACAACTCACTTCGAAAGTTACAAATGAAAACCGTAAATTTACAAAAAAAATTAGTTCCTGGATGTAATTTAACAAGCATTCTGTGAGTATTGCATGGCAATACATACTCCCCTACAGGTTAAAAATTCGTTGTATTGGAACTAAATTCTTACTTGATCTATAACTTGTCATGGTGTAAACTATATAACAAATATCAAGTCAATGTCTTCAAGCATGACGAAAAAAAGTGTTGAGAACTGATTATTTAAGTGAATTTTCTAAGTCCAAGGACCATTACTCTGCACAAAATCATCAGACCTGAACAAAATTTGATCTTGATCTGTAACTTGTCATGATAAAACTATATACCAATTATCAAATCAATATCTTCATGAATGAAAAAAAAAAGCGTGGAAAACTGATTATTGTAGTGAATTTTCAAAGTCAAAGGACCATAACTCTGCACAAAATCATCAGACCGGAACAAAATTCGAACTTGATCTGTAACTTGTCATAATAATACAATACACCAAATATCAAGTCAATATCTTCAAGCATGAAGTCAAAAAGTGTGGAAAACTGATTTGCCTGACTGACGGATGGACAGACAGACAGACAGACAGACAGACAGATGGATGGATGGAGTGCAAACTTAAAGTCCCCTTCGACTTTGTCAGTAGGGGACTAAAAAACTAAATTTTAGTTGAGAAAAAATGCTGTCAGAATTTAAACCATTTAACCCATCTAGGACACCTTTTAAAAGATGACTGGTGCTTTACAATCGTGATAATTTCTGTGACATGGTACATTCTGTTTAGGTAGTGAAATACCTTGACATTTTTGGGTATTACAGCGGAACTTGTATATTACCTGTATATGCCAAGGGACCGTCCCATGACGTCTCATGTATAATTATACAGGTTTATAAATTATATTTATATTGGCTTTCAATACCTATTTATGATAATAACATTTTATGACATTCACAATTCTGCATGTTCTGTATACCAAATTCATATTTTATTTTCAGACCGAATGAGAATATGTTTATTTTCAAGGAAACATATTGAGTATCAAATTAATTTCGGTGTTTTTTTTTACTTGGTATTAAATCACAGAATTTTTAAAATACTACTGCATGTCCGCTATTACTGAGTATTATTGTCTGTTTAGAGTGGGAATAATGTGTCCTACTGAAGAATATGAATGACAAGTCTTGCAAAGGTACAAGATATAAAGTACAAAAAAACCTGATTCCTCCAGTCGATCTTAAATACAAATCACAAACGTTTTCTTGCACTGAATAACACAATTCAGCCAAACTTAAAACATTTATAATTACCCCCACCTTTACAGTTTTATTTCCTATTTATATTTGAGACTTAGAATTGAATAAATATAAAAAATATAACTCTTTCGAATCATGAAAACTTCAGTTTTTATTACCAAAGTTAACTCCTCATTTTTAAGTTGATTGTAATACAGTTACAGTGGTTTTTTTTCATAGACAATGAATATCTAAGAGTTTTGAATCATAATAGATTTCTGAAATCAAAAACATTTTGTTCTATAAAAAAAGGCTCTAAAGAGCCTGTGTCGCTCACCTTGGTCTATGTGCATATTAAACAAAGGACACAGATGGATTCATGACAAAATTGTGTTTTGGTGATGGTGATGTGTTTGTAGATCTTACTTTACTGAACATTCTTGATGCTTACAATTATCTCTATCTATAATGAACTTGGCCTAGTAGTTTCAGTGGAAATTATTTTGTGAAAATTTACAAAATTTATGAAAATTGTTAAAAATTGATTATAAAGGGCAATAACTCCTTAAGGGGTCAATTGACCATTTTGGTCATGTTGACTTATTTGTAGGTCTTACTTTGCTGTACATTATTGCTGTTTACAGTTTATCTCTATCTATAATAATATTCAAGATAACCAAAAGCTGACAAAATTTCTAAAAATTACCAATTCAGGGGCAGCAACCCAACAACGGGTTGCCTGAATGGTCTGAAAATTTAAGGGCAGATAGATCTTGACCTAATGAACAATTTGTTCTTGAAAGATTTGCTCAAAATGCTTTGGGTTTAGATATATGAGCCAAAAACTGCATTTTATCCTATGTACTATTATTAGCCATGTCGGCCATCTTGGTTCACGGGCGGGGTCATCAGACACAATTTTTAAACTACATACCCTAATGATGATTGTTTACAACTTTGGTTAAATTCATCATAGTAGTTTCTTCAGAGAAGATTTTTGTAAAAGATAACAAAAATTTACGAAAAATTGTTAAAAATTGACTATAAAAGGGCTATAACTCCTTAAGGGGTCTACTGACCATTTTAGTCATGTTGACTTATTTGTAGAACTTACTTTGCTGAACAGGGGCAGCAACCTAACAACAGGTTGACCGATTCATCTGAAAATTTCAGGGCAGATAGATCTTGACCTGATAAACATTTTTACCCCATGTCAGATTTGCTCTCAATGCTTTGGTTTCAGAGATACAAACCAAAATCTACATTTTACCCCTATGTTCTATTTTTAGCCATGGCGGCCATCTTGGTTAGTTGGCCGGGTCACCGGACACATTTTTTAAACTAGATACCCTAATGATGATTGTGGCCAAGTTTGGTTAAATTTGGCCCAGTAGTTTCAGAGGAGAAAATTTTGTAAAAGTTTACGGACGACGGACGCGGTACGACGGACGCCAAGTGATGAGAAAAGCTCACTTGGCCCTTTGAGCTAAAAAAGGAAGATTGTTAGCTGTAGTAGCCTGAAAAACGGACAGATATAGCCACATTCCACCAAAAGAGCTCACGTTAATTATCTAAAACTTACTTCTGTGTTAAATGATTTCATTTTTTTTCACCGTGTGAACTAGGTTTTATACATGTTTAATGGTTTACTTTTATAAATTTTGACTTGGATTGAGATTTGTCTCATTGGCACTCATACCACATCTTCTTATATCTATATATTATATATGAATATTTTATATGTGTGAATATTTACATTGAAGCAAAAGTATTAAAAATTTTCCATGGTGAACTATGTATTTTTTTGGTTCCATTCTTCATAGGCAAAGTTGACTTTAGGGCTATTCCATTAAAATGTATGTGGGAGGGTAGGAAGGGAAGTTTAATTATTGAAAGTGGGTCATGGGTCTTTTTTCAGTATGCATCTATTACCATTATGCAAAAATATCTAAAAAATGGTTCTTGGTTGTAGGGATATTTTGAAAGTCCCTTCCTACCCTCCCACATACATTTTAATGGAATAGCCCTTAGATGGTTTCTGGTATTGCTTAAACACCTTTTGACCAGGTACAGTAACACATACCAAGATTTCAAATATTTAGAATAGAGTGTTTCTTACATTTTTTAACTGTATAAGGTAAATCAAACGAGCTGTCGATACATCAATTTAATAAAATTTAGTTTTTTTCCATTTTGATCAGTCAAATGATATACTCTTATTATAACAGTTGATTATTAGTTTCCCAAAGATTATTTCTTTGTTTTTAAACTGATCAAATAAAAAAATCATTTTGATTTTAACAATTTCTCCTTTAGATTTAATTTGAACATTTTTTATAACATCAGATTTATTCATCCTACATATATATGAAATACATGTTCAATATCATGATTTGACTTACAACGGACCTAACCCCTAAACATAATTTAATATTCCACGGCGATCCTTTTGTATTTGCCACCACCTTTAATATGTATTTTAACTTTGTGTATTAACTCAACCTTCTGTCTTATAATCCATTCGAAATGACATTCACACCTGGCACGGTGTGCCCTGGAGATGCAGCTAAATACTGATCTGCAATTACCTTGATTTTATATCAAGCCATCCACAACGGGTATTGCCAGGGAATAATACACATTGTATTAACATATTCCTAGCATAGAAAGGTTCGCTTGAATTAAGGGTCAAAACGTACTGTGACTCATTGTCCTTGTCACAGTTAAAGTTATATTCTCTAATTTTTTTCACCATATTTGTTGGAAGAGAAAATTTAAAAAAGAAATAAAAGATTTACTTTTTGTGCTGTCAACATGTCAAAAATCGAAATATATACGGTAAACATAGAAAATTTTATTCCATGAATGTAAAAAGTTGCATGTTTGTACTTTTTATTTTCTTACTATTGGATGGTAATTAGCTATCAAAATTAGTCATTGGTGCGCATATGATTATGTTAAAATATGATTAAAGACCAAGACTTTTAATGATTTTACTTTAAATCCCGGCATGCAATACCAGGAGAAAACGTCACGTACTACAAGAAGTAGTCAATAAATTTTTTATTAATTATTGATTTTCTTCTTTATTACTGCACATATAGCGATAAAACTTTGTGAATATGTATTTTATTTTATAATGAACATATCTAAACTTTAAGTAAAAAATTGCAAATTTTCCCTTTAATGTAATGGTTTTGATGTGTAGTTTTGAAACGTTTTGAGCTAGCAAGATGTTATTTTCATTTTAACAAGTCTATAAAAAATTATAACCTCCATTGAACATTGGAGACTTGAGAGGGATGTCATGAATATGGCCTAAGATGCTTTAGGGAATTTTTATGCTAATCTATTAATTCCTTGCCTTTCGGGCACACTATTGAATTTAAAAAATGCTACTGTTTAGTGTTAAAATGCAAGAAAAATAAAAAATCTGAACCCTTAGGACATTATTTTCTATTCAATAAGTCAATCAAAGTTATTACCACTGAAGAAACCCTTCTCTTGGCAAATTGTATATAAATCAGGATATACCCCATAGATATTTAGGTTTTTTGTTCTGACTGCAAATTTCATTCCCTAGAAAAATGAAAATGTACATATATTCCTTACCAGAGGGGGCATGTGTTGAACTGGAAGTTTCAAGTACATTTGTAGCTGGGGTATTTCTCTGTGATGGTGGAGGAGTTGACATTCCAATTGCTATAGATGGACTAAAAAATGTATCGGCCTGGTTCCCTGAAAAGGGAATTGGATCTGGAACCCGTAACATTGAACTGTCTGAAAAAATAGACATGATAAAATAGTAATGCATATTTGTATAATTATTGATTTGCTATTACAGAAAGTTATTTTTTTTTAAATATTACAGCTCTTTTCATAATGCTAGCAAGGCAAAGGTTTGTTTGGCTTGCTTGTTTTGTTTGTATCAATGTTTGCTCAAGCATTGTAATTAAGATTGACATCTGAAAACAACATTAAAAGGAGGATTTAAACTTGTATACATTATATTTTAATTTGATTGGACATTATCAAATAATCAAATTTACCCTTTACACATATTTAACTCCGCCTACTTATATTGTTTACAGATGTCAATCTTAATTACAATGCTTGAGCAAACATTGATACAAACAAAGCAAGCAAGCCAAACAAACCTTTGTCTTGCTAGCATTATGAAAAGAGCTGTAAAACTATACAACTTGCACTTTTATATGAAAAGGACCAAAAAACTAACAAATTAAGTAAGACATATATTTCTCAATCAGTGAGAAAAGGATTAAAACTTCCAGTCAAATGACTTTACCAATGCCAATACTCAATTTATTTATTAAATATGTAAAAGTTGGGGTAGTGAAAAAATGTCTTCCAACACTTTTCTGTTTATTTCTTGAAAAACTCTTAACATGTCAATGCTCCGTGTTGAAGGCCGTACCTTGACCTATAATGGTTTACTTTTATAAACTGTAACTTGGATGGAGAGTTTTCTCATTGGCACTCATACCACATCTTCCTATATCTACTAAATAGAAAATATTGATCTATTGAGTTAAAATAGAAGAATAAAAGAAAAAGAAATAAAAGTTCCAATGTCCCACACATTGCATATATTTGATCTGTCCAAGGGCAATAACTAAAATAAACATTTTTTTTTTGTTTTTTAAAACTTGAGAGTTTGAGAGCACTGACTATGCAATTTCCCATATAATTAATGTTTTCAAGGACATAACTCATTTATTAAATATTTTAACTTTATTTTGAACCACTGTATCTTGGTAAAATTCTACCTGCATTCTGAAGAAGAGTAAATTTGCAAATTTTCAACCAGTGCACTTCAAAACCATTTCAGATTTATTTTGGACCTATGCTTTTGAGAATATTTTACTTTTTTTACTTGTTCAGTCTTACCTCTATTTTGGAATATTATATCCTTGGATTTAGATTGCTCAAGAGGTTTGTACACTACATTTTTCTCATCCTTACCTCTATTTTGGAATGTTATATCCTTGGATTTAGATTGATCAAGAGGTTTATACAAAATGTTTTTTTTCAATGACTCAGACGAGTCATCCCACATGCCCTCCATCACATCCAGAGACATTTTGGCACATTCCATTACAACATCTTGTATTTCCATTGTCCGCCAGCGACTGTTCGAGACCTCAGCATCTCTATTTCCTGTGATGAGACCGGGATGAAGACGTACTCTCTCCAGCATTGGCTGTAACAATATTAAATAACATACATATAGTACTGTGAAAAAAAACATTACAATAAACATTGAATGAAAATACAAAACAAATCTTTTACAGATACATTTTGTTGATTAAATAAAAAAAAAAAAACTTAAAATAGAAACAAATTTGTATATTAAGCTGTTGACACAGAAATATGTCATGGAGTCGCATAAATAAAAACCTCGCAATAATTTCTGAAATTACAGTATCTGAAATATTTCTTATTGAATTCTTTCAAAATGGGTGAACATTTGTATAAACATAAAATCGGGAAAAAAACTTCTTAAATTTGTTTTCAAATCATCAAATCTCTAATTTCTAATACACAAATTTTTCTTAAAAAACGATATGTAGTTGATACATAAATTTCTGTTCTAATGATATAAAATAATCATATGGTCACCGACTTCGTTTTTTGTCTAATAATCAATTTGTTACCTAGTTGGTAGTGAAAAACATAAAAAAAATAACGTTTAACGGCCTGCAATGCGATTATTTCGATGTAATGTGGTATTTTTTCACATAAAACACCACTTTGAACGATGTATACCGTAAAAACGACAAATTCAAGAAGGTTTTTTGCTGATTTTATTTTACTGTTCACCCATTTTGAAAGAATTCAATCAGTAATATTTCAGATAATAAAAGAGATAAATGAATTATTTTTTTGGACTTTCAGTTGTAGTTCATCGAGCCAGAGTTGTATGCAAATTTTACTAAAATCTGTGAGATAGCCCATTTGCGATAACTTGACCTTAAACAAGTTGATTGACCTTATAAATATCTTATATCATGGAAACAGATATTTATATCATGGCAACAACATTTAAAGATAAAGAAATCAGATAAATATAAGAACCTAATGATTTTATGTGCATTAAAATCAAAATCTTTTTAAATAGCATTTATAACATCATATTTCAATAAAATGCTCCGCAGGGCCCAGCTTGATACGACCGCAGAGGTCGAACCCTGAACAGTTGGGGCAAGTATGGACACAACATTCAAGCTTGATACAGCTCTGAATTTGGATTGTGATTAAATATTTGACACAGCATAGGTTTCTGACACAGAATGAATGTGGTCTAAGAACTTAAAAATTTTAAATTGGACATTCACCTATTAAGGTCCAATATCAAAAATCTAAATACATGGTTAGATTCAGCATATCAAAGAACCCCAAGAATTCAATTTTTGATGAAATCAAACAAAGTTTAATTTTGGACCCTTTTGACCTCAATGTGGACAAAGTTGATAACGGGGCCCAAAAATCAAAAATCTACATACATGGTTAGATTCAGCATATCAAAGAACCCCATATATTCAATTTTTGTTGAAATCAAACAAAGTTTAATTTTGGACCCCAATTTGGACCAACTTGAAAACTGGGCCCATAATCAAAAATCTAAATACATGTTTAGATTCAGCATATCAAAGTACCCTAAGAATTCAATTTTTGTTAAAATCAAACTAAGTTTATTTTTGGACCCTTTGGACCTTAATGTAGACCAATTTGATAACGGAACCAAAAATTAAGAATATAAATACATGGTTAGATTCGGCATATCAAAGAACCCCAATAATTCAATTTTTGATGAAATCAATTACCCCCAAACTCAAACACAGCTTTCCCTTTGTGATATGGAACCTTGTAGTACAATTTCAGAAAGATCCATACACTTACAAACAAGTTATTCTCCTGAAACTTGAAAAATGCTTGTTTTTTGCCCCTTTTTGGCCTTTAATTCCTAAAATATTGAGGCAATTACCCCCATCATCAATCCCAGCCTTCCCTTTGTGGTATGGTACCTTGCAGTACAATTTCAGAGAGATCCATCATACACTTGAACACAAGTTATTGTCTGGAAACTAGAAAAATGTGTTTTTTGGCCCCTTTTTGGCCCCAATTCCTAAGCGTTTTGGGCAATTACCCCCAAACTCAATTCCAGCTTTCCCTTTGTGATATGGAACCTTGTAGTACAATTTCAGAAATATCCAAACACTTACACACAAGTTATTGTCATGAAACTAGAAAAATGCTTGTTTTTTGCCCCTTTTTTGGCCCCTAATTCCTAAAATTTTGAGGCAATGACCCCCAAAATCTATTCCAGCCTTCCCTTTGTGATATGGAACCTTGTGGTACAATGTCAGAAAGATCCATACACTTACACACAAGTTATTGTCTGGAAGTTACAAAAATGCTTATTTTTGGCCCCTAATTCCTTAACTGTTGGTACCATAACCCCCAAAATCAATCCCAACCTTCATTTTGTGGTATTGAACCTTATGGTAAAATTTCATAGAGATCTATTCACTTAAACTAAAGTTATAGTGTGAAAACTAATGTGTCTTCGGACGACGACGACGCCAACGTCATACCAATATACGACTGCAAAATTTTTGCGGTCGTAAAAAAACTGAAAGAGACTAATAGTCATGTCTCAATTTAGTTTACATTCAAACTGCCTTAGTTACATACTTATGACATTACACATTTTCTGTATTTTGAACTTTAATGTTTGCTAGATGAAAACAAATATGACAAATATGCACAGTACACAATGATGGTCTCTTAATGTTTTTTTTGTGTCTTTTTCATGTACCAATGACATATATACCCCACATCTTCTTTTATTTTCATCAAAAATACCATTTCATCTAACTTTTATATTTAATTTGTATTTAACAGATTTCTAAAAATATATTTAGCAAGATAAATAAGGTATACATGGTATATGGTCATGAAAATTCTAGATTAAACTGCAAGACAGATATGTTGTACAATATTGTAATATATTATCCTGATTTATGTTTTAATTGACTTTGACAATAAAATCCATAAAAGGTTGTAATTGATTGATTTGAGTTGTTTGTTTAATACTCAATTGCAAATATTTTAGGCATTTTCAAGACAAGAACAAATTACACTACATTTAATAGGTCTTAACTGAAAAGTGAAAACAGGCCTTGTGTTCATAAAAATTTGGAGTGAAATTATGTTAAGCAGACTCCTTAGTCAACCAATCAAAATGCTGGATTCAGTGTTTTGAGCACCAACTTTGTAGTGAGTAAAGTTTGAAGACCATATTTTCAGGTTATCATTCCTTTGAATGCTTTCTAATTGCAAAAGTTACATTCTAAACAGCAAATTGGAAAGTTCCCAAATATACACAATAAATTTCATCTGATTCATAGTAACGTAACTATTAATTCCATGCACATACCTTTACACATTCTTCATATACAGCAATATTGTCTTTTTTACCGTAGTAAGTTCGTAAATATGCTAAGAAAGTATAAGGAAACATTCCATACAGACGATGAAATAATGAATACAGTGCCACCTGGAGGTGAAGTAAATATACATCAGGAACATTACCTACAAAACACAAAAGCTGATTTATTACTAATTTCAGGTCATACTTTTTAGTAGAATTTTCTTTCCAACACAGAATAAATTTTCTTCTATGGCATAAAGCTGTAGCATATCATGCATATGTTAAACAGTTATAAAATACTACATTCTTTAAAAACATGTTTATCATGTGTCATGCATTTGGTATCATTCATGATGCTGTGAATATTGAAGTAAGTATACATACATTGTCAACGTATATTTGTTCCACCGGAAATATTCTATACTCTTTATTCTGTTAGGAACAAATACTGTAATATTTGTTCCAGTGGAAATTATATTACATAATATTTCATCCATTTGGAACTTCTATTATGAAGAAACTAATATTTCATGACAACATGTATGTATAAGTTCATTTTTCAGTAAAATTTTCACAGATTATACACATGTTAAGTATAGTTTCAAGGCTAAAATTATCATTCCTACAAATGCATTACACTTTTTTTTTTACTTTTTAGGAGTTCAAAATACTGTGTAAGTGAATATTTATAATATTATCATTTTTATTACATATAGATGTGTTAAAATGTTAGCATGTTAAAAAAGTCAGCATGTCGTATTGTATTTCAAGTTTTTCCGAATAATTACATATGGTTGAGTAAAGCGCCTTTATTAAGTGTTAAAACGAAAAAGCTCATTCATTCAGACAGAAAGCATATATATGTAGATATATTCATGCAATGGTATAAAAGATAAACGTGATGATAAAGTTCAGTTGTAAAATTCCATGTATTCTTATGGAAAAAATGTTCTGGAAGAGTTATCTCCTGTTTATTTATTTACAGCTGTTATCCTAATGCTAGCAAGTTAAAGGTTTGGTTTGCTTGCTTGCTTTCTTTGTTTGTATTAATGTTTGCTGAAGCATTGTAATTAAGATTGACATCTGAAAACAATATAAAAAGGCTGAGTTAAACTTGTATACATTATATTTAAATTTGATTGGACATTATCAAATAATCAAATTTACCTCTATAGAGGTTTAACACCGCCTATTTATATCGTTTGCAGATGTCAATCTTAATTACAATGCTTGAGCAAACTTGAATACAAACAAAGCAAGCAAGCCAACCAAACCTTTAACTTGCTAGCATTAGGATAACAGCTGTAAATAAAAATTGGTGTTGCTTTAAAAACCGAAATGTTATAAATCTTTAAAGTAATTATTATTTTCACTGTGATCCCTATTTTTCAACTGATGTTTCAACACTTTTGGGACTTTCATTATTTCAATCAAAAATCTTAAGATTAATTTTCTAGAAATCCAAATTAGTCTAATTGCTCTGAACACTACATGTATATAGTAAAAAAAAACATTTAATGCTTCTTTTTAACTTTTATCTTCAATCAAGCAGCTAAATTTATATCATTTTCTGGAACTTTTTCTAAAATATCATTAATAGGGATCCAAATATAGATTCCTGAGAGTACAATGCAGAGTTATTCTAAAGGTCACAGCAAACAATTAGATATAGAAAAATCTTTATAAATCTAACCTAAGCATTAAGTATTTAGATAATTGTATATCAAGTATTTTTTATTAAAAATTATTTAATCACACACAAAAGGTTATGTTTTGAAATAATTATCTTAAAAAAAGTTTAAAATTTCTAGCCATATAAAAGAAATTCAGACACCACATAAAAGCACACATCACAAAACATGTGACCTTACCCGCAGTACCTCTAGCACTAGGACTTCCTGAATAATTATAAAACCATTTTATAAAATTATTCAGATTTTTTGTACAGGACTCAACTAACATCATTTTACCTATTTCTCCAATTTTTTTCCTATTTTTTTCTTTTTGCAATCAGTTGTTTATCTTATGATAATGGATTGTTAGTTTGTTCTTGAAGCTTTAATTATGACAAATGTTGGCCAATCAAACAAAAACACATGGTCAGTTAGATCAGCAAGAAAATGCACTCTCTGTACTTTAAATACAATAGAGGACGAATTTCATTTCATTTTACAGTGTGATTGTTATAATGTAATAAGGAGACAGTACATTAAGTCATATTATTATAGGCATCTATCGTCATTTAAGCTTGTACAGTTGTTGAGCTTAGAAAATGTAAAAGACATATGTAACCTTTGTAAATTTCTTTTCCATGCATTTAAACGTAGAACAGACTTGTTAGTGTCCAATACTTAATATAGATCATTATTCTTCTCTGATGTATCCATTGATCAGTTATTGTATTTGCATATACATTTTACATGTCATTCTGCTGATGAGCATTATTTGCTTAAAGTATTAAAGAAAAAGTTTATTCAATGGATCATGTTTCCAGCTTGAGGCATGGCTGCATAAATAAGTAAAAAGTTTTGAACAAAGGCTAGTACATAGAAGCTTAGTCTATTTATCTTATTGATTCACTAAGAAAAATCATTGGTCCATCCACCTCTATTAAAAATTTTCTGTGCTGCATACACTGAAATCAATCATAAGCTTTGCATATACAAATCATTTGTTTTTTTCAGTTTTTTCACAGAAAGCATTAAAAAATGAAGGCAACTCATTGAAGAACATACTATAGCTATCATAACTGCATTATAAATAAAAGCTGGTGTTAGTTTCAAGTGCATCCAAGCAAAACAAGTGAATCTGTGAGTTACTGCTCACTAATGATATCCCCGCCCCGCTAAAAGTATAAGGTTAACAGAAAGTTGTTGAGTGATGAATCTGAAAACGCATCACACCGTATATCTGACTCATATAAACCCTAAAACCAAATTTCAGAAATCCTTGTAATGTAGTTCCTGAGAAAGATGCGACGAAAATTATTTATGGGACGGACGGATGGACTGACGGACTGACGGATGGACGGACAGACCAAGGTAAAACAGTACACCCACTTTTTTAAAGCGGGGGTATAACAAGAATTGGGTGACTAAAGGCACCCAGGAGCCTGAATTGATCACTTAGTAAACAGTAGCAGCCATCTTTCACACACTAATAAGTAAGATTGTGACCAGTTTCAGATCCAATTGCAGAATATTTTTTTAAAAAATCAGTTCTGTCATTTAAGGACAATTAAAAAGCTTGGCACTGCCCAAACTGTATATTTATTGAGGAAAAACATTTTTTTATTTCAAGAACTCAAAATACTAGTATGTTCAGAAGGAAAATTAAGCATGTACACATTATTGCTTATCTTTATCCTGTATAAATTTCACAGTATGAAACCAACCCAAAAATCTACTTTTTTTTGTAACATTGACCTTAGACAATCAAGCAGGGGAAACTCTCAAGTTTCCATCTGGAAACCATTTTTCCAAATTGTGTTCATTTTTCAAGCCTGAATCTATTTTTAGTAACAGTGACCTTATGAAATTTGTTAAAAATGGACAGTTCAGGGGTAAAAATTCAAAAATGGTTGATTTTTCACAAAATTTCAGGGTAGATAGTTTTTACCCATGTCAGTTTTGATTATCTTTTATTTTTTAAGATATAAGTCAACAACTTCAGTTTTATGCCTATATCCTATTTTTAGCCAAAGCATTCATGTTTGGTGACGAACTGAAATTTTGTATATAAATTATAAACTAAACATACCAACAAAGTGTGGTTCAAATCTATCGAGTGGTTTCAAAGATTTTTTGTACGTTTACAAAGAAAAACAGATTAATGATAACATACACCAAGTGATGGCAATATCTCACCTTTTGACCAGGTGTGCTAAAAATCTATGTATTGTGGAAGAACTGTTAAAGTTCAATTCTCTTGAATGGATAAAGTATCACAAATTTTAAGTATCTACCAAAACTGTTGAAAATGTTTAAAAACCCTCTACATTGTATATTAAAAAAAGTCTTGGTATAAATATCCAAACATTTGACAACATACCTGGTTTCTTGTGACTGAATGTCATCAAATGAGAAAACACTTCAAAGATAGTTGACAACTGATGCCCCAGGTATGTAGGAATGGAAGGTAACAGTACGGTAAGGGACATAACTCCTGTCATTAGTATTGGTACATCTGTTTCATTCTGAAAAATAACAAATAATTACTGTAAGGGACATAACTCCTGTCATTAGTATTAGTTCATCTGTTTTATTCTGAAAAATAACAAATAATTACTGTAAGGGACATAACTCTTGTCATTAGTATTGGAACATCTGTTTTATTCTGAAAAGTAACAATTTCTATCTTTAATGCTGTATAATGAGGCAGAAACATACAAGATTATTTAAGCAATTTTTTTTCTGTTTCTTGCTTATTCGTTATCATGAATTAAACAATGATAGCATCATATCAAAACCACATCTACAACTATAAAATTATCTTTAGTCCAAAAAAAATATATGTCTGTTTACGGTTACCCGACCGACCCTACTTTTGAGCGCCGACCCTAAGTCATTTTATTTCCGTCGTAAAGTGAAAAATAAACTGAACTCGTGTCAAAAGCGAAGTTAGTGTTGCAAATGATATAAATCAATTGCCTGATACATCCCAATGTTCACAATCGTGAATATGACAGCTGTTTTAAGGAAATTAGCAACTCGTGTGATGAAATAAACACTTTGCCGCTATTTTTTTCAAGGGAAATAATCCAATCATCAAAAATACGGGTAAACTCGGCCCATGATCAACTTGGACCAAGACAAGTCGAAACGGCATGACTCAAAATCATGTCACAAAAAATAAAATGAAAAAATAAAATAAAATGGAAATACCGACCTACCTACCCTATTTCTTTAAAGTATGTAACCTTAAACAGACATATATTTTTCTTCTGTGTGCAACAAAAATAAGGACTTTAAAAATAATTATTTGGTAATCAAACATGCCAGTAATCTGACACAAGAACCAAGAATGAAAAGCTGTGCATTTTCATTTTTTTCAAATTGTATCATACATGCAATATCGTTATCAAAAATATAAAAGGTATGATTAGAATGGATGAACTGCTTACCATATATCAATTGCTCTTATATTGATTGAATAATTGGTAGAGTCTAAACTGCAAAGAAAAAGATTTCTGCAAATTCGAAACAAAAACTAATAGGAGCAGAAACATTTGTTAATTCTTGATCTACAGAACTCACTCCAGCAATAATTTAAAAAAAAATAAATCCTAAGGTTAAAAGACAAGTTTCTCTCAATTTACCAATCAGACTACCGTAGTTTTGAGAAAAAAAAAATGTAAATGACAAATGTAAGGCCAAAATGAGTTTTATCATCACTGGTATTTTTTCACCTAAATACTGTAAATTCAGAAATTAATGTGTGCATTTATTATTAGGATTTATGAAGTGACAAAAATGTGAGATTAATAATTGTAATTTCAGAAAAAGCTGCAATCAGATATTAGAAAGCAAGTTCTTATTATTGTGATACTCACCTGATTGCATCATTCACATTAATAAAGATCTGGCAATAATTTCTGAATTTATAGCACTAGAATCAGCAACAGTGACTTTTAGGTTTGCACCTGCATTTTCACAAAGAATCTGGTAACAGTTACCTTTAAACATTTCATAAGTGCTCCAAATACAGACTGTGAAATAATTTTGTCATTTGTGTGTATCCACGTGGGCTCTTTACAAACTACATGAAGTAACAATTGAACTGCTTTCAACCTGTGTTGAGCCCCTCGTATCCCTTCACTGATCTTGTCAACAAGATGCTGAAATACATAAAAGAAATATCATAAATAATCTAATAAAAGAACAGAGTTTCAATGTCCCCCGCATTGAATATATTTTATCTATGCAAGGATCAAGGGCAGTAACTAAAAAATACACATTTTTTTTTGTTCTTTTAAAACTGTTCATTAATATGTTAAGAGAAATGAATGCTTCAGAGCAAATTCAATGTGATTTCCAATATAATTAATATTTCCAAGGGGCATAACTCGCAAATTTTCTAAAATGTCAAAGACATTGCTGATATAAACTAAGATATAAATTTCATAAAATGCTGGCAAGAATTGTACACATGAGAGCGTTTACATAGCAATTTTCCATATAATTAATATTCCCAAGGGGCTTAACTCTTTTTAAAATAATTGATCGACACTGATTTTCAAACTTGTCCGAGACATTGCTGATATAAACCTACAATATAAGTTTCATAAAATTCTGGCAAGAATTATACACATGAGAGTACTAACGATGCAATTTTCCATATAATTAATGTTTCCAAGGGGCATAATCAGGGCTTCCAAAAAATATTTGTGCCAGCCAGACTTTTTTTGTCTGATCTCGATTTTAATTCCTTAAGACTAAGTAACAAAAGGCAATCATGGTAATCAGTTGGGCATCGTATAAACAATGATTGACATAAAAACTACGGTATATTAAACTTGACTTTTGATACAAATTTGATGTACTGACGTAAACTGTTAAATTGACAGTGCATCATTCGAAGTGTGTAACATAAGCTTACTAATATCTGCCTTAGAATCTTTATTTGTGTAAAAATACATTGTCAAAAACTTAACTTTCCTTTTTAGAAGTTTTTAGCTCTTTCCACATTATTTTTTCAAGAAAATACTTGTAATGAAAGTTAGATAAAGGTAACAATGATAATTTTAGCATTTTTTAAAGAATTCGGATGCATAATTAAATCTCACCTGTGCACATGCCCACGCATGTATTAGTTCAAACAGCGTGTTTCTGACGATTTTTCACTTAAAACCTTTATAACTACCTTTTTCAATTTTTCATATAATCATATTTATATGCGTATTTTTGATCATGTTGATAATCTAAATCTTTTTGACTAAATTAATTAGATGGAAACCGCTGAAATTTATGAAAATAACTTTAAATGGACCGATCAATGTCCAGAACATATCATAGTTTACCTGTCACCTGAACAGGTAAATTTCAACTGTCAGACAACTAATTAACCTTGATTGTAATGAGAAGGTATTAAAGTAGGGTTTGTTTTGATAGTACTTATTCACCATGTCACTTTTAGGATAAGGCAAAAGGTCAGGTAGAAAATTAAAGATCATAATGACTTCATTAATTGTTTTCTTAAAATGGCAAACCCAAAGTTAAATGTCCATTTCAGGTTCGACACAACAAGTCATAATTATAATTTATCGGACAAGTCCGGACAATACGACTGTTTTGGAAGCCCTGGGCATAACTCTTTTAAAAATTTGATCAGCACTGATTTTCAAACTCCTCAAAGACATTTCTGATATAAACCTATGATATAAGTTTCATAAAAATCTGGCAAGAATTGTACACATGAGATCGCTAAAGATGCAATTTTTCATATAATTAATGTTTCTAAGGGGGCTTAACTCTTTTTAAAATAATAGATCGGCACTGATTTTCAACCTTGTCCGAGACATTGCCGATATAAACCTACAACATAAGTTTCATAAAAATCTGGCAAGAATTGTACGCATGAGAGCGCTAACGATACAATTTTCCATATAATTTATGTTTCTAAGGGCATGATTCTTTGGAAAATAATTGATCGACACAGATTTTCCAAATCATCCAAGACATTGCTGATATAAACCTATGATATAAATTTAATAAAAATCTGCCAAGAATTGTACATGTGAGTGCGCTAACAAGATCGGACGAACGGACAGACAGATGGATGCCCAGTATTTCTATGTCCCCCCCCCCCGCAACATGTTGCGGGGACAATAAAATAAATGTATACTGTCAAATTCAATGTTTGATCTATATATTACTTCAAAGAAACATGTAGTGGTTATAAATGAATATAAGACAGTATAACCTGAAGTCTATGCCAGAGGCAGCCTTGGTCTTGCTGAATATAAAGCAACTGAAAATAAATATCTATTGTAATTCTGTTAAAGATATAGACAAACTGGAGAGCTTCCAGTTACTGATTTGATGTAAATCTACAATGAAAGTAAAGTATTTTCTAGCTTTTCTATGGACATGTTTTATGTTCATTTACCCCATAATACCCATATCCTTTCTTTTCCAATCACTTACACTTTCAATTTTGAATAATCATTTTGTAAAATTGTCCAAGAACAGACTACAGCTGACAATATTAGAATATAAAACATAATTCAAATATCAACAGATATATAATATGAGCTTTCTCTCATGATCTGTATCATCAATTAGATCAACTAAAATTAATTAGTAGATTTTCATCCAGATTTTTGAAAAAAGTAGGGCGGGTGGGAGGATTTTATTTTTTAATTTTTATTTCCTCCTAAACCCTTTTGTGACGTGTTGTTCTTATACATGGATAATATACTAATAATAAGCTTATATCATGTATATATAAGGAATTCTACATTATTTTTCAAATTCTTAAATTAATATTTCTGATTGGCAACCACTGTTCTACATGTAATTGCCGCTTTAGAAACCTATTTTTTGTAAATAGCAAAAACGTGGAGAAATGTTCTCTTAAGACTACCTAGATCAAATTGATTTTGCTTTCTAAGCTATGATTTGTAGTGCCCATATTAAAAATGAAGCATATGCATTGGTATGCAACACAAATATTATGAGTACAGAGTGAAATGAAAACTCAAACTGTGTTGAAAATACTTAGATTCTTATGCAAGGTGCAAATATATTTACAATGTAAAACATGAACTGAACCAAAAAGAAGTTGTTTAATGACTCTATTGAGGGGCTGGGGACAGAGGGTGTTTGCTGTTTGTCAACAAAAACGACAGCCTTGGGGTAAATCTAAGGGCTTGCTATAATACATTTTGTACGTTGGTCGACTCTTTGTACTCAATATACGGTCATAAATCGCACAAGTTCGTGCTTGTGTATATTACTTTATTCCAGTCATGTTTTTGTACCAATGTGTTCCACGATTCTTGCGCTTTGGATATCATTCACAGTCCAAATTTCCTGACACAAAGTCACTGTATAAATAAAAAAAATCCATGGTTTACGTAGTGAAGTCATTTTAGCGATATACTTTTTAACATTGCCATATAAACGGAAGGTTTGGCTAGCCATAAAACCAGGTTCAACCCACCATTTTTTCTTTAAATGTCTTGTACAAGTCAGGAATATGGCAGCTGTTATCAAATTGTCCATTTCTATGTATGTTGGCGTTTGTTTTTGTTGCAGTCCAGTGTTTCTGTTGTTACGTTGTCTTCCTCTTATAGTTGATGTGTTTCCCTCGGTTTAAGTTTGTAACCCGGATTTGTTTTCTCTTAATCGATTTATGACTTTTGAACAGCGGTATACTACTGTTGCCTTTATTCAATCCACTGAAATTTGTGACATACCGCGATTAACGTTCTTGGACACCGCCTTTTACCCCCGAATATTTCATGTTCTTCTAGTAATCAATCTATATTCTAAGAAGATAATGTTGTCATCATTGAGCAGAAGAATATGTCAACTTATTATATTACATGTACTGGAAGAAAACAAAAAAACGAAATTTAAAACAAGAAGTTTTGAATGAAACGAAATTATCGGCGGTTACCAGTAACGGAAATGAACAATGAGTAAATTTTAAGAAATAAAAAAAATTGTAGCGGGACGATTTCAGAGGGGTGGGCGGGGATGAAAATCTATCAATTAATTTTTTTTGGCCTTACTGCTAGCACTTTTTAGAATTAAACAGCAATGTGTTAATGAGTTTTGGTCTTTTCAATACAACTATACTTGAATCAAGGGTTTTTTTGTGTTGGTTTCTATGGTGTGTTTTAAAGGTTAGTTTTGGAGGGTATTTTACTTGTTCTTACATACTAGAAGAGAGATTTAGGAGTAAACTCATTTTGATTTTACGGAAAAAATGAAAGTATTTTAAACAGGGTCACAAGTTTTGGAAAAGTTTTACAGACTATCAATAATTCATATAGCCAACTAAAGTGTTCTTTTATCTGCAGGAGCTTGAAACTGCTTAGTCCTTGAAAAACTCTACTAAATTGTAGATCTTTTACTTTTTTAAAAATAAACAGTCTTGCACTCTGATTAACAACAAAGAGCTGGGCACTTTTTAAAACTGACCAGAATTTACCACAATTTTAAACTGCAGACCTCAAAACTGTCCAGAGCTTGGCATTCCATTCAAGTACATGTATGAAAAGCTTTGAAATTGGCACTTGACTATTAAAACTCAAAAGTTCTTGGTTCTCTCTTAGGCTAAGGGATAAATAAAGTGGAATTACTCATAGCTGGATCACCTACCTTATCATGAGGAGCTTTTACATTGATTAATATGTCTATTGCTTCCTTTGATGAGGTTATGTAGTAGTACTCCACCAGACTGTTCAGGATCCATGTGTTACTATCTGAAGAAGAAAAAAATACTTTCAATCATATATTTATCTAGAATGTGGTTTCTCTTATATATCAACAGTTATTCAAATTTTAAATCATTTCTGGAAGGAGTAACAATATGTAAAGAGGGATAAAAAAAAGCATAATTTTTTTTGGACACCCTGCCCCTGGCAAAAACACAAGACAAGTTTTCGAAGGAATAATGCACTTTATTTCAATAGAACATTAAAGATCTAACAATTTTTCTTGCAACTGGTTACTTTAAAATTGAATTAATTCAAATTTAACCAAATGGTTCTGAAAAAGTCAGTTTGTGAAATTAAAAATAATGAATGTATAAAAAAGTACAACTTCGGAGACTATACCTCAGAGTTTCATCTCAGTAATTTTGTTTTAAACACATGCAGGCTGACACATAATACATTTCAAACAGCTTTTTGCAGAGGGTTGGAAAGGGGGGTTAAGTGCACAGACATAAATAGTAGGAAATAATTTTGCGAATTGTCCCCCCCCCCCTTTTTTTTGCAAAAAAAAAAACAAAAATATTTGAAGAAATTTTCTTTTTAATTTCTGAAATCTGAAATGAGAAAAAATTGTCCCTCTTTTTTACCCCCCCCCCCCCTCCTTTTTCCCCCCAAAAAATTTTTCTCTCAAGATATGGTCATAATCTCAATTCAAATTTCCAATGGAGTTAGCAACCATAATTACCCATTTAAATACATCATAAAAGTCTTAAAATAGCAATTATGACATACAAAATCATGGCTAAAATTAATATTCCTTAATCAGCATTTTTAAATAGCAACGTCTAAAAATAAATTGATAGCTAATCACCTCAAGACAATACATTTCTTTTAACATTATTTAAAAGCAGTGTAAGGGAGGTAATCCAAACATAACATTGTACATTTTTTTTTATTGTCCATTACCCAGGAAACCCTTGTTTTTCCCCCTTTTTTGCCCCTAATTCCTAAACGGTTTGAGTCATAACCCCCCAAAGCCAATCCTAACCATCCCTTTGTGGTATGGAAACTTGTGGTATAATTTCAGAGAGATCCATACACCGTTCCACAAGTTATTGTCTGGAAACTAGAAAAATGCTTATTTGGGCCCCTTTTTGGCCCCTAATTCCTAAACTGTTAGGACTATAACCCCCAAAATCAATCCCAACCTTCCTTTTGTGGTTATAAACCTTGTGTTTAAATTTCATAGATTTCTATTTACATTTACTAAAGTTAATGTCCGGAAACCAAATGTCTTCAGACAGAGACGACGTGATACCAATATACGACCGCAAACTTTTTTGCGGTCGTATAAATCATGTTGAATAACTGACTTACTTGAAATTAATTTTTCTTGAACTAAATCTTTTATTTCTGTAACATCGGTTATATTTGCAGAGTCTAACAAATTAAACAGTTCTCTTACATCAAAGTCAGCATCTTTGTTGACATGGTTACTTTCCATGTGGCTTGCCATTGTCAATTTCTTGCATTCTCTGGAACAAAAAGTGATTTAGTCAACTTCTTCCAGTTGAAGTGTTGTAACATTAACAGGTTGATGTATAAAAATTGTCTTCCTATGGTTTCTCTCAGTATAACTTTTCAAATAAGTTTTTTTTTTTTCAGAAATAAAAGGAGGGTGTTGGAAAAGTCTCAAAACATACATTATTGTATGTCATCTTATAGGTGAGACAAGTGGTTATACATTTGCAAGGCAGAGGGAGTGTGTGAACAGTCTGTACAACATATTATCTAAATTATCATATTTTAAGTGAGTTTTCTGTTTCTTTAAGTGATTGTAAATATTTAGCATGGGGTGCCAGTGAGTTGGAGTTGTTTAAAAAAATTTATTCATGGGCCAAAAAACTTTTTTTTTTATATTGAATTGGGTAAGAATTGAAGTATACAGAAACTTATAATATATAATATATTTCAAATCACAAGTGGAGCCAGTTTGCAGTTTTATTTGTTGGTGGTTGATAATTTTCAAGTTGGAGTATGTGTGGTATTAGTCTATAAAATGTAAATATTTCTCATATTTTTGGGGGCCAGTTTATAGTTGTTATTTTTTTGCAAGTTTTTCAGTGGAGTTGAATGTATACATACTGCTTATCAAGTATTCAGACATTTTTTCACACAATTTCAGTCCTTTAGAGAAATTGAGATGACTTAAAATTTGGGGCCCTTTTTTCAAAGTCGAAATTAGTCACACTAGGTTCATAGTATCAACGAACTTGTATTGACAGTTTCATCGCTTTTACTTCATGCATTTTCTTACCGTTTTTCTAAAAATGTTCAAGAACAGTTTAAAATTGAAATGATTTTAATGACTCAAAATGGTAAATTTCTCAGACATCGCTAACATTTCTTGCGATTTTGAAGACAAAATTAAAACCGTGAGTTTCACGACAATACTAAAGTTCAAGTAATTCCGGATTTTTTTCCGGGATTTGTTCTGTTTATCAAATTGACAGAAAATCACCAGATTTTTAATTTCATAACCTTTAAAAGTGTTTGAATATAAAAGATAATAGTTGCGCTCGTTAAATTTAGCATGAAATCATTTTGCATTTTACAATTAAGTGTCTTATCTGATGAAGACAGTTTCACACATGCGTATTATATAAGGAAAGGGATTTCAAAACAAAAACAAGTGCAAAATCAGCGATTAAGAAACCTGATCTCAATGAAATGACTGAAATTATTTCTGTAAAAAAAAAATTTGTCCTAAATCCCAATCTGCCGTTTAATACAAATAGCTTTTAAGTTTAGGTCATGACTGGCAAATATGGCCGTTTCCAGACCCTTGCTGCTTATTCAATATCTTATTATTATTAGTGGGGCAAGTTTGTAGGTCTAGTTTTTGTAGGAACTAAGTTAAAGTCCTTTTCATCAGTCGGGCAAGCTGGTGCGAGTCATGTGTGAGTTGGTTACCAGATGACCTTGTGTTGGATCTAGAGATTTTAACATCTGGTTGTATAAATCTGACAAATGAGCAAAATGAAGAATTATTTAGAAATGTTTTTGATTATATAAAAAAGACTAAAAGGTTCCTTGTTTAATCATGTGTATAAGCTGAATGCAGTGATCCACACACACACACACACATGCATATTTTTTTTCCCTTCTTCCTATCTTTCCTTTTTGTATACTGTTTCTTAATATGTCATTTAAATAACAGATGTTTGATTATACATGTTATATATTGTGTAATAATAAATTTGATATTTGCATGCTATAAAATTCTATTGTTTAATATTGTATCTTAGGAGAAGACGATCTAAGTTGGACTTACTTGTGACTACATCCTTTTTGTGAGTTTTTTGGCAAATAAAATATGTTTAAACTAAGTTGTGTGTTAGTGTTTTGGTCGAAATTTGAGGCAAACAGATATGAGGAGAGTTGGCAGTGAGTCGAGTTGTCCTGCTTCTGTTTTAGGGTATGACAAAAAAAAAGTATGAACACATGATTGAATTCCATGGGACAGACTTAATATGGTGCATGTTTGTTATATATATTATAATACTTTTCCATAATCAGATGTACAAAATTTGCAAGATATCGTAAGGGCTATTCCATTAAAATGTATGTGAGAGGGTAGGAAGGGACTTTCAAACTATCCCTACAACCAAGAACCATTTTTTAGATAATTTTGCATAATGGTAATAGAGGCATACTGAAAAAAGACCCATGACCCACATTCAATAATTAAACTTCCCTTCCTACCATCCCACATACATTTTAATGGAATAGCCCTAAGCTCCTCAATAATGTTTTACCAAAAATACATAAAAAGAACGAAAAAACTGGAAAGAATTTATCAACCGGCATGTTGTTGAAGGTCTTGTATGATCAGTCTTCGCGCTCAACCACAGGCCCACCAGCCCAGGTTTGTAAAAATGTTGTCGGGCCTGTAAAAATCATCTCTACTTGACAATAGAATCTATCTAAAATTTTCGTAAATTTCAGCTTCGGGCTTGTAGATTTAAAAGTTTATCATGAAGACTGTATGATATGTTCCTTTAAGAGCATATTTAGAAATTTTTAAGTTTAAAATAAGCTTCACAAAGGGTCTGTATAGTATGGCCTTGTGAGAATGCGAGACACTGAAAAAAATGCAATATTATAATAAATTATAATATGACATACATGTATGCACTGTTCTTAAAGCAAATATTAAATGTATATCAGGTCAAATAAAAATATATGTTTAGTTCCAGTTACATCCTAAAAAATAGGGTCAGTCGGTCAGCATTATTTTTTTTTTTTTTCTGTTTTTTTTTTTTGGATTGTCAAAATCAGGAAAAATATCACGTGTTTACCGAGTTGGATTCTGGTAATAAACATGCCCCTACCAGAAGTTCACCATTTTCTATATGATGCATTGTAAAATAAAGAGACATGTTACTTTTTAAGTTATTTTTTTTGCATTTTGTAAAGAATTTGTTGCATTTTTACTCGTACTTCTAATGGAAATTCAGATGACAGAAGTCTGTGAATTTAATTATTGAAATTCACATTCCACAAAATGGGATCATTCAAAATTTATTTTTTCGGAAATGGAAAAAGAGTTCTAGGGTTGGGGGGGTTTAAACTAGGGTCGGTCAGGTAACTCGAACCACACATATATTTTTTTTGGCCTCATATGGGACTCTTAAAATTGGAAGGGAAAGGCAAGCACTTGACAAGTCATGTGACATTTGCAGCTGACAAGTAAAACAAACATGCAAAACCAAATTACCCAAACCCTTTTGGGATTCTGAGAGTATTTTTGATTGTGCAGTTTAATAAAAAAAACAGCTCTGAACTCAAAGTCGATTTATTGCAATATGGTATCAGGTCATTCCGGCCCCAAACCAATCCAGTCCTTAATTGTTCCGGCCTTAAGTAAATTCGCCCCATGTCAATCTGGACTGAGCTTAAGTCGTTCTGTCCCCATAATAAAATAATGAATAACTACTTTAAAAGTAGGAGTTTTTTGTGAAGTATTTGATTCAGGGTAAATGGCAATTTGCACATGATAACAGTTGTATAATTTTCACTGCTTGGAGGATTATTTAGCATGTTTAGGAAACAGTATTGATGATCAACGACAGTGGATACATGGTAGTTAACTTTTTATGCAAAAAAAAAATTAATTTCAATATGAGTAGTTTTTATAACCATGATAACTGTTATAGAAAAAAATGTGTGTGCATTAGCTTGGGTATCAGCTTGTGTGTATTAACCAATAGACTACTTTCGTGTTATGTCCTCCACTGGAAAAGTTCATCAATTATGCATGCCTTTATGACGTCAATTACCAGATATAGGAGCCCGCCTGTATCCCTGCACTAATAAAAATCATCAGGCGTCTTCGTGATTGTGATTATGAAAGATAAACTAGAAATAATGTTTGTTCCATAGGTACTTTATCACAATTCCCTAATGACAGCAGTACAGATTATCAAGTATAAAATTTAATTTGCCGAAAAATTCGTGCAATATAGCATCATTTTTTCAACAGCTCGCTCAACATGGGAAGGAAGTGACGATGCCCCTAAACGCATGAATGATGTTCACTAATAAGTTTTTGACGGAAATAAAACGAACTCTAAAGTGGTCTATTGTAATTAATCCAGTTGAAAAGATAATTAAGATCAAAGTCATATGAAAAATTGCTGATCACTGTTGACTAATCAGTGCCCTAACTTCTGTTATATATGTTTTTAAAGGTGATAAAATGATATTAAAATAAATATTTTATATTAAAAAAATAATATATTCAATATGAAATCTAAATATAAATATTAAAAAAATATTCAAATAAATGTCTCTTCCTAAAAATTATATCCATATCTGAATACATTGTATGCATCAAACTCAAAGGCTCAATTTTTTATTATCCATCATTGTTATTGTTCATAAAATTCATTAATAATTATGAACTATAGATACATATCAACTATATCTTATTTTTATCCCTTGTAAATATTTTTTTAAATTGGGGCTGGCTCGACTTTCAATGCCAATGGGTACAAATTGTCTTGGCTTTGGACTGATCGACTTGGGTCGGATTGACATATGAAACTGATGAAAGCTGCATAACCAACTTGTTAAATAACCTTAAGGACACCTGCCTAATATATGACGGTCAGAGCTAATTTATTGTTCCATCAAAGCTAAATATTATAACAAAACTACCTGATACAGTGTAATAATTTATAATTACTAAATTAGAGGTTTACTACTACTAGGCTCATAGATGAGTTATATTGTATCAAGATTTATATATGACATAATCCAATTCAATTCTGCTTCTGCATGACATGGGAAACATTTAAATTGTAGGGCTATACCTTGAAGAATACCTTGAGGCAGCATCAACGTGAAGCAGATGACATTTGTGAACCTCACCGATTTAATGTTATCACGAGATCGGTTCCAGTATTTTATAAAGAGGTAGGTTGGCTTTGTGACCGATTTTTATATATTTTCATTTCACTGCTTCATTATCTATTCTTTGGGGAAAGGAAAAAGTACCAAATACTTAATTATATCATAAATATTTCTTCGCAAGAATACATGTCGTTTTTTAAATTATCTTTAACTAACATTTACGCCACCCCTTTGGCCGAAATGAAATATGTTGGTTCTCTCGGAATTCGTCTAATGAATAAGATAAAACCCGAGATACTCTGAACAGGAGGAGACAACTTTCGTTATTTTTTTCTGCGAAAACTGGTTTCCATGTCTTTCACGCTTTGCTTTTAAGAATGGACCAAAATACCAGTTTAACGACTTTCAGAAAATGGAGGCAAATGAATGCGTGATATCCTAATCATATTTTGCAAATAATCATGGAGAACAATCAAGAATTGTGCAAAGACTCCGAGAGGAGAAAGCTTCAAGAAGATATCGAACGTCTACAAAATGTTATTGGCGATGATGACTTTAATTCTGATGAAGATAGCGATAATGATATTTTACATATCGACATCAACTCAACTGCTGAAGGTTGCAAAAAAATCGTTTTCGTCACATAATTTGAAAGTCACTGTTGCTTTATTTATTACTAAAATGTTAATTTTAATAATGAATAATCGATTTATCTTTAACTGGTATTTTTTGCCTGGTCAAAGACATTTTGTTCAGAGTTAACTCCCTTTTGCTCTATTGATTCTAATCAATCATTCCAAAAACCTTAATTTATTTATGAGTTACATAAATAAATATACTATCCAAGTTTTTTCCAACAGTATAAAAAAATATGTAATCACAGAATATAATGCTCCTTCAACTTGAGACTGCGAAACATCGAAGTTTAGATATGATCCATATGGCCATGTAATTACAATTTACAGGGGACCTCAACATCGTTCAAGACTGAGAGGTTATAAACTTTCTGAAATAAGGACCAAAATATCGTCCACCGTCAAAAATAAATTGGGAAGAGTGTCGTCAGGTTATTAAAGGTGCTCTTTCATCCTATACACCTTATCTATTTGTCCGCCATTACTGGACATCACACAAGTTCCCGTAAAATTTTGACGTCATAATAGAAAATGTCTGACGCTACAATGCAAAAGTGATTGTTGTGTGACGTCAAAAGTTCGAGCGGGACAGATTCTCGGGTCAAGCGGGAATAGCAATAAGGTGTATTGTAAAAAATGGTGTAAACAGGAGAATTCTGACAAAATTTCACTTGAATCCTATTTAAATAAATGTCTTAATATTGTTGATATTTGCATATCACATTTCAAAAATAATTTAGAAATAAATAAAAGAGTAAGTAATTCTCCCATTTCTAGGACTAAAAACAAAATTCAAGTATGAAATTGCAAAGAGTTTTGTGTGTGTACCAGCCGACAAAGCAGCCAACAATGTGGTGGTGGTATGACATAAATACTACACAGATGTCCTTAAGAATGAAATTGTACATTAAACTACATCCAAGGCCGTACGCTCCACAGAGAGTCGTATACATGTAGTAAATAATCTTGTCACTACCACAGCTCAGCTTAAGGCCTCCTCTGAACATTTGAAGGTCCCCACTATGTATTGGTAACTTAAACTACACAAAAAAATTAGTAAAATATTGTTTCATCTCGGCCTCTAGTAAGTGTTCTACTACTAATCTTTCTGTGCTTTTAACGGGTTCCTTAACTACTATCATAGAACTAATCATTAATTTTTGTCATAAAACATATGAAAATAGTGGAATTAATTAATCATGTTGGAGTGTTTAAAATTCTTTGGATGTTTTAGATAAATTACATGTTTTTGATCATGTTGATGGTCATTTTAATTCGGTTGACAGTTTTGACTTTTATACTAGTACTCTTTATACTACACTTTCACACAATCTTATCAAACAAAAGTTTTCCTATCTAATTATATGGATGTTTGATAAATCTGATTGCAAATTTATTTGCTGCAACTCATATAAAGACTTTTTCTCCAATGAGAAAGTTAAATATGCTAGATATACTTACTGGAGGTGCAATGAGATGATTAAAGCCCTAACTTTTCTCCTTGACAACATATATGTACGTTTCGGCAGTAAAGTTTATCGATAGGTTGTAGGTATTCCTATGGGCACCAATTGTGCCCCTTTAATAGCAGACTTGTTCCTATACTGTTTAGAATCACAGTTTATGGCCAAACTTAGTAAAGAACCGTCTAAATTCCATATAATTGATAAATTTAACAACACTTACCGGTGTCTTGATGATATTTTTTCGTTAAATAATCAAGAATTCTCTAGATATACTGCTGAAATTTACCCAAAGGAACTTACATTAAATAAATCAAATATTAACAGCAATAACTGCCCTTTCCTAGATTTAGATATTTCAGTATTACACCAGAAACTCTACACAAAAATTTACGACAAAAGGGATGGTTTTTCTTTCCCTATTGTTAATTTTCTTATTTTGGACAGTGATGTTCCTTTGGCACCATCTTACGGTGTTTATACAATGTATATCCCAACTCGTTCGCTATGCTCATGTCTGTAGTAAAGTTTTGGATTTCGATGAGCGTAATCTATGTAATATTGTCTCATTGGCAATCATACCACATCTCCTTATTTTTATACAGGTGAAGAAGACTTTCGACAGACACCAGGTGGATTTTCAAGTCAAGCTGCATCTGTAATCCATGTAAGTTATCCACATCCCAAGGATAAATTGTAAAATTGTATTCATAGATGACATAAGAAAAAACAAGAAAATAAATTATATTGAAGTTTTAAACCATCTTATTACAAAACACTCAAGTTTAAAATAAAGCAACAAACCAATTATACAGAAAACTGCATTATCATAAATGACATTTACAAAGAGACTATTACACTGTCAACATATTTTTGTTTTGCCTAACAGAAGTTCTCCTGGAAATTGTTCTTGTTTGAACACATACATGTATTATATACCCTTTATTCCCTATAAGGAACAAATACTTTAATATTTGTTCCAGTGGAAATAATATTACAGAATATTTTCCAAAGGAACTTATAACTTCTATTTCGTGACATCACTGCATTCATGTACATTTTTGCATATGCATTGTAAGTTTATATCTAATTTAGGTACAGAAATCTATCAAATTTATTATTATTTTGAAGATGACTCTCGGATACAGTAAAATAAAGGAGAAAAGTATGCACAACATCATTTTAACTATCTGCATTCATAGCATTGAGATGAACTGCTATTCTAGTTGACAATTAGTTTTAACAATTTATTTTCCTCTCTAAAAGTCTGAGAAAGTGCATTTCATATATTTTTTTTTATTAATCTCATCATTACGGTGAATTTTTATAACATGAAATGAAATACATGTAATACAAAAAAAAATGATGGAATGTGAGCTCATTTTTGGATAAGCATTTGTTTTACAGTGTTATCAAATGTTGTTGACATAAATATACATAAGTGTACAAATGTACAAGCACAGAAATCGTGAACATTAAATATTTGAATGATTGAAGATTATGATACTTTTAGAAATACAAGTATTAACAAACATTTTGTCTGATCTCTATGATCAATAATGACATTAAAGTAATGCAGATTTTTATTGACCTTAAATCTTATATTTAGGTGTAAGGATACATTTTCAGGAGTAAAGAACCTCGTACTAAGAATTTTACTTATATTTTATACTTCACTGACTTTAATTAAGTTTTACATCAAAGTTCTTGAACAGCAACTTATTATCATATATATCTTGGTGTAAGGCTCAAGTAAAGCAGCCTCTATCAAAAAGAATATCACTCTGACCTTTATTTTACACCTCATTTATTGTCATTGATATCAATAAAGTTTATCATTAATTTTCAGAAGTCAGATACTAAAAAATAAATGACCTACAAAATAATTTAACTTAAAGATGCATCTTGGTAATTAGAGTAAGCAGCTTGTCACAAAAAACAGTTCACACTGACCTATATTTAATGCTTCATATACCATTGTATATATGTATTAAGTTGTTCACTTCATTGTTCAGATAGTAAGTGACCTGTACCATCATTTATATCTTGATTTTGGAATGCATTTAAGAGAATATAACAACCATCTATAATAAGTAGTCCCTAAGGCTGAAATTGTATGCTTCATTGATTCCTAATAATTTGAATGTCCAATATAAAGATTAAGAGATGTGGTATGATTTCCAATGAGACTATCCACTAGAATCCAAATGATGTGATACCTAGATGTAAGCAACTACATTTGTAAATTCATTTCTGAAATACATGTAATTTTCTTACTGAAGTAAAATTCCACTTTGAAAAACCCCTTTTATTATTATATACTGGTAACCAACTTATTTGTGTGAGTCTAAAAATATTGTGAATGGTATGTAAAACTTGAATCCTCCCTTATATAAATACATTAAGAAAAGAGAAAAAATTGCAAAGGACTAACATGAAAAAGAGTATTCATGATAACAAATTGATTTACATGAAACTTTTTGTCATAAGACTCTTTAGACGATCATATTACATTATAATAGATCATTTACATGCATTGCCATACTATTTTATGTATTTTTTTTTCTTTTTTATTAATGATTTACTTGTCAAAAGGAAGTGACTCATACATATTTATTTTTGCTAGGATTCTGTAGTTGTTGAGGATGACAGAGAAGGTGATGAAATTGTCATCAATTTAAATGAGAATGTTCCTATTGATCCTGACACATGTCTGGCCCTGAATAAAGCATACCAGGAAGTCCTACTAGACACACTTAGATCTATTGAGATGGCCCTGATAGAGAACAGAGACAAACAGGTAAGAAGTCCTGAATACTGCACATTAGGACATCTTTCTAAGATCTTGCCATGCTGCATAGTTGTAATGTTTTTTTCTTATTTAGCATGCATGACCTGTAATTTGATGTTTTTTGTTTGTTATTACAGGATCGCCTACAAGAAAACCCATGGCCTGTAATTTGATGTTTTTTATTTGTTATTACAGGATCGCCTACAAGAAAACCCATCTCTGTAATTTGATGCTTTTTGTTTGTTATTACAGGATCGCCTACAAGAAACCCTAGATGAAAATCCTAAGAGAGCCAAAGTTACTGACAGTACAGGAAGGAGAACCATCACTAGTTACCAAAGGCCATTCTTCTCTGATGTATATGGAAATGTTAGTAAATTATATTCATACAAATCTGATTGTGATACAGTTCCTTTATCCAAGCTTCACTTACAAAGATCTTAAAATTCTCCTGTTTTTCCTTCTACTCTGAGACCTTTAAAGGACCTTATATTACATACCTTCAAAAAATGTTAGGCAGGAATTTATTTGGTTGACACCATGATTATCAGAAAAAAGGTATTCATATATAGATAGATTTATATGATATCTATATTTATATACAGTTTTAACCAGTTAAATTGATATGTATGTTCTTATATAAATATAAACAAGTCTAAATTGAAAACAACATTCAAACCTATGATTGCGTTGGATAAAAACCGCAATTTTTATATGTGTGCATGCAAAACAAATTTCTTGGTAGAGGGGTCTAAATACAGCACAAACAACATTTTCCAAAAGACCAAAAAAGTGAAAAAGTATATTTTAACAAAACGCATTTGACAAGCTGGTCGAACAACTGGTGTTCTTAAGCCCTGCTGACTGCCATTGGCGATTGCCAAATAAACGGATCACCAGATGTAACAAAATGGATCTTATAATAATTTATTACCAAACAGAAAACAATAAACTTGCAGAAAAGATGGTATACCGCAAACATGAGGTGCAAAAATTTGTACAAATATAAATATATATACATGCTATTTATATGTAGATTGATTTATATGATAATTAGATGATACAATATTCATATCTACCGGTATTTAGATTTATATGCCGAATTCGGAATTGTATTGTCCTCTGCCTTTTTTCTTTTCAAAACTAATAATTTACCTAATCACTATAAATATATGCAATTTTAATTTTAAAAAATGGCATTAACTGATAAATATCAAAACTAAATCAAATTTCTCATTACTTTTCATAGCATTCATGGCATTGCATAAAATAAACTTGAATCTGTTTGTATTTAACGCTATGAACTAGGTGTAGTAGTCAGCTTATACATATAACTACCAGCTTTAATTGGTTATTCATTCAGATTTGTTGTTACTTACTGTCACATGACTTTGGTTTTAGCTAAAGGTCCTTTAAATATTAATAGGATGAATAAATGTAACAATATTTTACTAAACATGCTAAAGGACAAAGTTGTATTCTTTTGTAATATCTATTTTGAAAGTATAGACTTTCCGCACACTCTCATCATATTTGTCTGCAATTAACAAGTTCTTTTCCTGTTTACCAGTGTTTACGGTTAATGACAAGGACAAGTTTTAAATTGTTTTTTTGTTGTTGCAATTTTGGCTTATTTCAATTCGTGTGAAGTGTCTAGATTCATTTTCAAACATTTTCAACTTCTATTTGATGATGGAAAATGGTTTTGCCATGAAAAATACCGCAAACAATCACACACAATTTGAAATTACTGGACTTTAACTAGAAGTTTTCCACAAGTGTCAAAACGTTTTTTCCAAAATTCCAGTGGCAAAAAAGGGTGTGTGGGCTTTATATGGTGGATTACAGTATTTAAATCTAGTTAGATTTACATGATGCTCATATCAAGATAGATTATATAATATTCATGTCTAGATATATTAATATGATATTCATATCTACAATATCACATTTGAAATGTTGTTTTTTAATTTTATTATGCAGGTTCCCCCTCCTAACACAGATGTGTTTATAAAGAGGAGTACAGAAGAACAAAGACAGGATATCAGACCACAACAAGCATGTAAGAGTCTTCTCTACAACAGCATTTATAGCAGGGCTTCTAAAAATGTATGAGCAAGCTGGATATTTTTGTCTAATCCCAATTTGAATCCTTTTAGACATTGACTAAAGCCAATCAAAGTATTCAGTTGGGTATCATAACAATGATTGACAAAAATCAATATTAAACTTAAGCCTTTTGATATAAATTTGATGTACTGACGTAAACTGTTACATTAAGAGTACATCATTCCAAGTATGCAGCATCAGTGTACTAATATCTACCTTAGACTCTTTATTAATGTGAAATTACACTTTCAAAACTTTACTATTATTTTTGAAAAGCACATTTTCCTAATACTGGATTTTGACTTGACAATAGTAAAACAAAAACTAGAGACAGATATGTAAAATCTGTTTACATTTACAAAGCACAATTGAGTTTAATAGTTCTTTCCAGGTTATTTCTTCGAGAAAATACTTGAAATGAATGTAAGATAAAGGTATCAATGATATTTTTCGCCTTTTAGAAGAATTTGGATGCATAATTAAATCTCACACATGTGTACTAGATCAACTATGTGGTTTTGACGATTTTTTTGCTTTAAACCTTTGTGACTACCAATTTAAAATTAACATCAAATCATATTTTAATACATATTTCTGATAGACTAAATATTTTTGACTAAATTAATTAGATGCAAACCAGTCAAATTAAAAAAAAACAACTTTAAATAGGCTGATCAATGTCTGGTACAAAATAGTTTACCTGTCGCCTGAACTGGTAAATTTCAGCTGTAAGACAACTAATTAACCTTGATTGTAATGAGGGGGTATTAAAGTAGGGCTTTGTTTTGATAGTACTTATTCATCATGTCACTTTTATGACTGTAAACATAACTTTATTTCATTATGTTTTTTATTTTCGCAAAGGGCCTCAATGTTTTGAGTGGTCCAAGTAGTCGAACTACTGTATCACTAGCCTGTCAACACTAAGATTGTGAGTTCCAATGCATGTGATAGGTGCGCTCGACTCCAATCTGAATTGATTGTCAGTTTTCCTAACAAAGGTCATGGGTTCTCTCCCGGGACTCATGCTTCCTCCACTATTAAAAACTGACCGCCACAAATAGCACAACAGTGCTGACAGTGGCATTAAACACCGATAAATCATTCAGTCAATTATTTGCACAATAACTGTAGATTCATGAATATCTATGAAATGCAATTTTTTGTGGATTTTGTCGGCCAGTAGAAACCATAAATTCAATATTTGTATGAAATCTACTTGGAAGTAGATGGGTCACTTTGTTCAATGAAGCAAAACAAGAAATCTGATTCATATAATTACAAACCCCGAAATATTTGAAATACCAGTGGATATATACTGCCTTTTGGATTTGATGTACATACTGGTAAGTCACTTTATTTATTGTAACATACTGGAATATTTTATGGAACTAAATTTTCTTCTATTTTTTTCAAAGGGAGGAAAAACATGAAAGCTGCAATGAAGGAAGCTGTGTATTTAGATTCTCTGAGTCAACAAACAAGAGATTTGCTTAACAGGTAAATAATTAAAAGCAGATTCTGCTAGATTATGATTAATAGAATAAGGAGATGTGATATGATTTCCAATGAGACAACTATTCACCAAATGAAGTATGTTAATAACTGCAGGTAGACATTAGACATCTGATATTGTGTATATTATATACTATAAAAAGCCCACTAATAATAAAAAAAAAATTGAAACAATTTAAAAAAAAGAGAAAACTAACAGCCAGATTAAATCACATTAAGAGAAAAACACTAATGACTGATGTCATCTAGCAACAGCCACTGAACTACAGCCTCCTAGTTTTGGACAGGCAATAATAAATGTGGGGAATAAACATGTCTATTGTTGATGTCAGCAAGTTGCCTGCTAGGAGTCTTTTGGTTGTCTTTGTTGTTGGATTGCTGTCTTCAAGACCGATAACCCCACATCTTTTTTTTTATTGTGAGTGCTCAAACCTACCCTTACTGGGGACAGTGATGTAACAGGATAACATTAACTACACTAAAATATCAGTTAAAATGAGCTTTACTCGTCAGATCAGTACAAAACACAAACATAACAAATAAAATGACAAAAGGCAAAGTTTTACAGCAGAATGCATTTAGTGTGTAGGTAAAGGTAATATATTTGGTTAGCTTGCTTGTTAGCTGAACCGTGAAGTCATTATAAGGTTAGGCAAACTACCCTCCTTTAAGAGTAGACTAGTCCGACAGATAACCAATCTATCTGTCTGTAGGACTAGACTACTCTGAAAGGAGGGTAGTATATACCTCACCTAATAATGACTTCACAGTTCAGCTAACAAGCAAGCTAACCAAAGATTCTACCTTCACCTACACACTCAATGCATTCTGCTGTAATTAATTAATAGTCTGATCAATGAACAATATGAATTCTCACTTTTTTGTCGAGCCTGCGACTTTTGTCGCAGAAAGCTCGACATAGGGATAGTGATCCGGCGGCGGCGGCGGCGGCGTTAGCTAACTTCTTAAAAGCTTTATATTTTAGAAGGTAGAAGACCTGGATGCTTCATACTTTGTATATGGATGCCTCATGTTACGAAGTTTCCGTCAGTCACATGTCCAATGTCCTTGACCTCATTTTCATGGTTCAGTGACTACTTGAAAAAAAAGTTTACATTTTTTGTAATGTTAAATTCTCTCTTATTATAAGTAGTAGGATAACTATATTTGGTATGTGCGTACCTTGCAAGGTCCTCATGCCCGTCAGATAGTTTTCACTTGACCTCGACCTCATTTCATGGATCAGTGAACAAGGTTAAGTTTTGGTGGTCAAGTCCATATCTCAGATACTATAAGCAATAGGTCTCGTATATTCGGTGTATTGAAGGACTGTAAGGTGTACATGTCCAACTGGCAGGTGTCATCTGACCTTGACCTCATTTTCATGGTTCAGTGGTTATAGTTAAGTTTTTGTGTTTTGGTCTGTTTTTCTTATACTGTATGCAATAGGTCTACTATATTTGGTGTATGGAATGATTGTAAGGTGTACATGTCTAGCTGGCAGATGTCATCTGACCTTGACCTCATTTTCATGGTTCAGTGGTTATAGTTAAGTTTTTGAGTTTTGGTCTTTTTTTCAAATAGTTCAACTATATTTGGTGTATGGAAATATTTTATGATCAAAATGTCAGTCGCGCAGGTGTTATGTGACCTTGACCTCATTTTCAAGGTTCATTGCTCAGTGTTAAGTTTTTGTGTTTTGGTCTGTTTTTCTTAAACTATAAGCAATAGGTCAACTAAATTTGTTGTATGGAAGAATTGTTAGCTGTACATGCCTGCCTGGCATGGTTCATCTGACCTTGACCTCATTTTCATGGTTCATTGGTCAATGTTTAGTTTACTTGGTTAATGTTAAGTTTATGTGACAGTTGTAATAAAGCTTTATATTTAGGACTATCAACATAATATCAATGATTAGTAAAGAAGGCGAGACATTTCAGCGTGTGCACTCTTGTCTAAACTGTTATTGTATGAATGTCATACCTTGTTGTTCTCTTGAATATGCATGAAATATTTGTAACTGAAGGAAAAGTATGATCAATTTCTCCTTATAGCTGACTGCTTGTCTAATATCAAGGATCTTTGTTTACTTACAGGAAAGAGATATACTATGAGAAATTGTCTAATATGAGTAAGGAAGCCCATGGTGAAGAATATGAAAAATTTGTAGAGAAAATAAATGACATTGACACTGAAGTGAGAAGGATAATGTAAGTACTAATTAGAAATCATTAGAACTATTTCACTTGTTATACTTGTTGGAATGCCAGTTTTTTTGTTAGTTTATATAAGGATACTATTCTGCTCTAACACTTGGCTTAGTGAGTAATAAAAGATGAATGTTAAAATCTCATATCAACCAATTAAAAACTGGCTAAAAAATAAATAATTTAAGATACAATAATAACAGAACATTCAGTATGATTAATTAAATAACACATAGCTGAGAGGGTGACGGGGCAGATTGTTACCCTGTTTACAATTTGTTTTCCTTAACTATCTGCTTTGTCACCCTTTAATTTATGTGATATTTATTTGTTAACTGTCTGAATATATATATGTTAAAGCTTCATGTTCATGTATTAAAAGTATCTTCATGTCACAAATGTAGTTGTTTAGGGAACTTGTAAGTTGTTAATTTCTGTGTCATTTGGTCTCTTGTGAAGAGTTGTCTCATTGGCAATCATACCACATCTTCTTATTTGTATATTGTATGACACATTTTCAAAATATGTCAGACAAGTCAGGATTTTATGACTATATTTTAAACTCGGTCATATATAACCTTTTAAATATGGGTTAATATTTACAGGAATCTGCCTAAAGAAGATGTTATAAAGAAAGCAGACACAGACAGAGTTGATTGGATGAAAATTTCAAACACTGTGGTATGTATGTTGAAATGGTATATTATGATTGGATTATTCTTATTAGAATAATAGAAATACAAAGGATATGGGGTATCCATCCATGACACAAAATCAGTACATACACAACAAAAACACACAAAAAGCAAAGGAACAGCACTTTTATTGCTGTTCTTCATCTCAAAGTCACAGTGAGGCCTTCAACACGGAGCAAAAAAAAAACTCTCAGAGAGTATTGATTTTATTGTATTTTTAGCTCACCTGGGCTAAGTGAGCTTTTCTCATCACTTACAAAAATCTTCTCCTCTGAAAGTACTGGGCCAAATTTATCCAAACTTGGCCACAATCATCTAGGGGTATCTATTTAAAAAAATGTGTAGGATGAAGGCTGACATGGCTAAAAATAGAACATAGGGGTAAAATGCAAGTTTTGTCTATTATTTTGAAAACCGTTATGAATAGAGAAAATCTGGCAAGGTAAAAAATATTCAGAAAGTTGAGCTCTACCAATTGTTCGTACTCCTGTAAACTGTCATATGACTTGTTATAGGAGTTATTGCCCTTAAATGACAAATTTTACCATTTGTTTTCATTTTTATACACCCCTTTATGGGATGTATAATGGTATACCGTCATCCGTCCGTCCGTCCGTCGTCAGCATGTCAGACAGTAATTCAAAAATGCTTTAACCAATTTGCATGAAACTTTGGTGAATTGGTTATATCTATTGACGTGGGTTCCCTTTTGATTTTTTTAAATTTTAGATTTTAAGTTTCCAAGTTATGGGGTTTTATTCATTAAAAAAGGGGGATTTTCCAGTTTTCGGACAGTAACTCAAAAATGCTTTGAGCAGTTTTCATGAAACTTTGGTGAATTGTTTGTTTCTATTGAGATAAGCTCCCTTTTGATTTTTATAAATTTTAGATTTTACGTTTCTGAGTTATAGGATTTTATTCGTAAAAAAGGGGTAATTTTCAAATTTCGGACAATAACTCAAAAGTGCTTTGAGTAGTTTTCATGAAACTTTGGTGACTGGTTTATATCTATTAAAATAACCTCCCTTTATTTTTTTATAAACTTCTGAAATGACATTGAGGAGTTATTGAACTTTATTCTTTGAAAAAGCAACGGGTGTATCATGTGCTCATGGTGCAGCTCTTTATTACCTATTATCTTGAAAACTATAAAAGATAGGGAGCAACTTTAAATTACAAAAATGATCAGCAAAATAAATTCTACAAATAAGTCTCCATGGTTGAAATCTTCAGTCAACTCCTTATTAGAGTAATTGCCCTTTGATGACGATTTTTACCAATTTTTTGGGTTTCTGCCTTATATCTTAAAAATTAAAATAGATAGATAGAAATTTAAATGAGCAAAAATGATGAGCAAGACAAGATCTACAATTTATACAAATGGAGGAAATCGTCAGACGTTTTTTTATTGGAGTTATTGCCCTTTAATGACGATTGTTACCATTTTTTGGGGTTTTGCCTTGTATGATAAAAATTATAACAGATATATAGACACTTAAAATCACAAAAATGATCAGCAAGGTAAGATCTACTAACAAGTCAAATTTTGCCGATACAGTTATTAGACTGTCACTCTTTATAGGAGTGATTGTCCTAAAATGAGGATTTTTTTATCCTCTTTTGTATTTTGAGCAAAAACTAAAGAAGATAGAGAGAAACTAAACAGACTAAATGATCAGCAATCCAAGATCAACAAAACAGAGATTTTTGTCATGAATTCTATTTCTCATCTACAATGTTAGAGAGTGTCCTTTGTTGATTATTCACATAGACCAAGGTGAGCGACACAGGCTCTTTAGAGCCTCTAGTTTGTTTGTTTTATCCTTGAAATTTATCACATAATAGAATATTTACTTTATATTAGTGAGTTTTAACCGTATCACCGACAGGGAAAGCAGGTCTAGTAACCACATGTTTCTGTCCGTCCCTCTAAGAGACTATGGGTAGAAAAATTTCGTCAAAGCTGTCTTGGCTTCTATGACAAACAAATGATTTTATATTTCATCTAAAGCTTGACGTCAAAAACTTGTAGGATTTTCATTCTCCTAAAGAAACTCAATTTGCAATTATAAATGTTCATATTTTTTATGCACTATGATGAGAGGGGGAAAATTATAGGATTTTCACAGCTGATTTTCAAGGTTAAAAATCATTATGTTTTTTTTTTCTTCTGCTTGTGAATTTTCATATTTTTAACAGAAATGAAACACCAATTGAAGATTTATGATTTGATGTTCCAGAAATTTGGGAATTTGAACATTTAAAACAACTTTTCATTGTATCAAAAAGAACAATCAGAACAATCAGGACAATACTTGTTCAAACAAATTTTATCTATTGGAACAGCTAGCTAATTTTTTAAATAACCTTATCTCCCTTGGTCAATATATATATATATATTTTTTTTTTAATTTTACAAGTAAGAAAGTATTTTCTTCTCTTTTTGGATTTTTTGACAACTTTGCTCTAATGGACTGTTTAATTGTCTGTCTTTTACAGTTGTCTTTACAATAATTGTAATTTTTTTTATATTTTATAAGTAAGAAAGTATTTTCTTCTCCTTTTGGATTTTTGACAACATTAACTTAATAGACTGTTTAAATGCATGTCTTTACACTAATTAAAAGTTGTATGTCATTTACAATGAAACTTTCATCTTTTTGCTAACTTTAAAATGAAAAATTGACTGCCTATCTAAAACCCTCCTAGGAACATTTTTTAGGTACCTTGTGCCATTTTATACTTTTAAAAACATCTCTACATAGTATAATTCTTTGTTTTGTTCTTGAGATTTTAGTGTGACCTCTAAAAAAAAAATTTCAGAAACCAGGAAAAATATTTGAGGCCTGTTTTCACTTCCCAAAACTTAAGAAATTCAAGGGTTGTAAAAAATTGCTTGTACACAAACAAAATGTACCAGAAAAAAAATTGGAAGCATAGAGGGAGATTATTTAAACATCGATTAAAAAAATATAGATCTGAAATATTTTCTTATGAATAAATATAACTTACATCAACTACCAGAAATAGCTGTCATCTGACTGTACATTGATTGTGTACATAGCCTTTTTAAGAAAAATCTTACTTTTATTTGCTGTGTGTATTCATTTCTTTTTAGCTTGTGACTTTATATGTAAATAAAAATGTTTTTTTTTCAGTTAAAAAATTTACGTGATCCAACAGAGTGTGAGTTGTATTGGAAAAACACTTTGAACCCTGCTATAAATAAACATGATTTCGTAAAAGCAGAAAAAGATCAACTGAAAAAGCTAGTCAGTAAATATGACCACAAAAATTGGGTAGCTATAGCTAAGGAACTAGGGGTAAGTAATCTAAACCAAGAGAAACAGTTACATTTATGTATCTTCTAAACCTACTGGGATCTGGAATATGAATACATGGTTAAAACCCAGCGACTCTTTTCACAAAAAATCTTACGATCATAAGTTGTACTGAAATGTTCATGACTTACAAGTATTTTTACTCATAAGATTTTTTGTGAAAAGAGCCCCTGACCTTAAAGACTTTTAACATAAAATTCAATCAGTAAAGCAGGAGAAACCTCTCAGAGTGTGCTCCCTTGTTTTTCTAAACAGCTCTACAACTTATCATTCAGCAAGACTTATTCTACAAAGAAAACAGTGATGTTTCTATTTCTAGAAATTGTAACTTCTTAGATTAAACATGTTATACTATAGTCAGATATGTGTTATGTTAGATATGCAAGACATAGCTTCTATCTAAATGATTTAAAACTTTAAAATGCTTCTGCTATATTTTTTGTATCATTGAATGTGTGCTTCCTTTTCTTTTTTCAGACAAACAGAACTCCTTTTCAATGTTTTCAGTATTACCAGCAACATTTAAATGAAATATTTACCAAAAGGTAGGAAGTGAACTATTTTAAAATAAAAGGGGAAGTCACAGTTCTAAGAGCTTGTCACGTACAAAAGAGTCACAGTCCTTAGAGCTTGTCACATACAAAAGGGGAGTCACAGTCCTTGGAGCTTGTCACATACAAAAGGGGAGTCACAGTCCTTAGAGCTTGTCACATACAAAAGGGGGAGTCACAGTCCTTAGAGCTTGTCATATACAAAAGGGAGAGTCACAGTCCTTAGAGCTTGTCACATACAAAAGGGGAAGTCGCAGTTCTAAGAGCTTGTCACATACAAAAGGGGAGTCACAGTCCTTAGAGCTTGTCACATACAAAAGGGGGAGTCAGTCCTTGGAGCTTGTCACATACAAAAAGGGGGAGTCACAGCCCTTGGAGCTTGTCACATACAAAAAGGGGGAGTCACAGCCCTTGGAGCTTGTCACATACAAAAAGGGGAAGTCACAGCCCTTGGAGCTTGTCACATACACATGTAGGAGACACTTCAACTTTGCATCACTATTATATGATTTTTGAGCCCATACCTTTTTCACACAATTTGTTTTTGCTAAAATTGCTCTAAGGTCATACTGAAATTCAACTTTGACAGCCTTAACTGCAAAATTTGTTCAAGTTATCAGTAGTTCTAGAAACATAAACTTTTCTGCTCTGAGGTATTTAGTTTATATAATAGATAATTTTGATAATCAGGTCAACACCCCTCATGGTGGAGATCCCCCATGAAGAGTAAAAGTTGGCAGGTCTGGGGACCTTCATCTCCCTATCATAGTCTGTTAACGTTAACATTGCATAACAGTTTTGAATTTTCATTTTATTAAAACTGACCTCCTCCTGTGTATTTACATCCTTTTAGATAAACGTTTTGTTGTTGTTGAAAATATATTGTGATTCTGATTCATTTGGTCTCTGGTGGAGAGTTGTCTCATTGGCAATCATACCACATCTTCTTATTTTTATATACCATTGTGCTTCCCTAACAATATTTTGATTGTGGCTTTACTTTGTACCACCAGAGAGACAAATATTTGATATTTTTTGTGACCAATGATTTTGTTCATCCAAATTGTCTATTCATGTAAAGTAAAGTTAACTCAATCAACACTGACTAACTGGACATACAAAATTACCTGACTTGAGGGTTATTATATTTTTAAGGGATTGGACTGAGTTGGAGGACCAAATGCTAATAGAAATAGTAGATGGCTGTAGAGTTGGTAAAATTATTTCATGGACCCAAGGTAAGTAATATTTCATTAAAAAGTTTACTTGAGGGTAGGGAAGGATGTTTTAATTTTGGACATTAATTATTGGTCATTTATGATTGTATGTCCATTTGATATTACAGTAGTTCAATGTTACTGAAAGAAAATATGTTGGATTTTAAGGTTACTTTGTACATCTCTTCTTACCCCCCTAAATCAATAAACATGTATATGGAATAGCTCTAATTAATCAAGTAACAGTGATTAAAAAACATCTATTTATTACTAAAATGAATTGCATCAGTGCTCTTGTAGCAGGATGTTCAACTCAAGTGAGGGAGGTCTTTTGAGCGAACTCCGGCCTGATTAAACCAAAGACTTTAAAATTTGTATTCGCTGCCTCTCCTCTTAGAACCCAGAATTAAGGGATATGAGAAAAAGATGGTCGGCTTGGAGTCGGAACAATTTGACCAGGTAGGGTAACATGTCTTCTTGTGGACTGTTACCTTGTGAACTAGCACATTAAAAATCTGTCTCAGTGTTTTGGTCTAGTACAAAGCAGGGTTAATATTCATCTTAATTTAACATGTTCTCATCCTGAATATGCATTTAATTTTCCACTGGACTTTAAACAGCCATTGATCATCATCATCGTCATAAAATGAATAGAAGACATATATGGTCTACTGTGGACATAGGCGAATCCAGGGGGGGGCCCTGGGGGGCCCGGGCCCCTCTTTCATGGGAAAAATTTGGTGGATTATATAGGGAATCACTGAAGCATGACTGGAGCGGGCCCCTCCTAAGGTCAGTCAGTGGGCCCCCCTTATGAAAATATCTGGATCCGCCACTGGTGGATTCATTTATTTTCGTGGGTATCAATTTTTGTGGATTGAGGAAACCTTACACTTTTGTGGATATTTAATTTCATGGTTTTACTAAAGTCGATCTGCATACAAGCCTATGGAAAAATCCTGAAGTTGAAAGATAATTTTCTGAAATAAATAACAGTAGATTATGCTAATGTCTACTCCACAGGCTGTTACTGACTAACAGTAGATTATGCTAATGTCTAGTCCATAGGCTGTTACTGACTAACAGTAGATTATGCTAATGTCTAGTCCATAGGCTGTTACTCACTGATGAAAGGAAACCTAAAATACTGTGGATTCATTATTATTCATTGGATACCAATTTTCGTGGTTTTCGTGGGTACAGGTGAACCACCAATATAAATGTTCAACGAATTACAAATATTCCATTAGGTTGTATGCAGAATTTGGCAAAACCAGGAAATCACATATCCACGAAAAGGCATGTTTTCCCCAATCCACAAATATTTCTTATGTATTGATATTCCCAATCTGGTCCAAAACAATTACGACACAGGATGAGCACATTTGAATTCATGTTGTACAAATTTTATCCCACAACAAAATTATAATACAATTTCATTTTTCATATGTAAAACTGACAATAACAAAAACATAAAATGTAGTAATTCATTGTTGAATTATTAATGAATAATTTGAAATTTGTCAACATAAAACAAGGGAATACATGTTCAGTAAAGGAGAGATGGATTTAACTTGTGACTCTTTATTTTCTTTTGTTTAGTGTCATATTTTATCGAAGGCAGAAGTTCAAATCAGTGTGCATTGCGTTGGACTCAGATAAACCCAGAAGTCAAACGAGGGAAGTGGTCTGATGAAGAAGATACGGTTTGTATCCAAAATTTAGTAATCAAGAACCTGAGATCAAGTAAAGATAATACAGTAAATTCAGAAATTTTTGCGATGTGTATATTATTTCAAAAATTGTGCAGGATAAGTTTCGCAAAAAGAAAAAAATTACATTTAAAATTTCGATAGCATTATTCGTATGCAACATTTCTTGAAATTGCAGTAAATTAATCTTACCTTTGTGTCTATTGTTCAACAATAGCAAAAATAAATGCACTCAAAAATTTCTGAATTTACAGCATTTGATCATAAAATTGAGAATGGAAATGGGGCATATGTCTAAGAGACAACAACCCTACCAAAGAGCAGAAAACAGCTGAAGGCCACCAATGGGTCTTCAACACAGCGAGAAAATCCCGCACCTAGAGGTGGGCTTCAGCTGGCCCCTAAATAAAAATGTGTACTAGTTCAGTGAAAATGGACGTCATACTAAACCCCAAAACATATAAATGAACTAAAATTATAAAACATACAAGACTAACAAAGGCCTTTTTTTGCCATTTGTAAAGATATTAAATTGTTGAAATTTTCTTCTTACTTTTTATTTAGATCCATACTCTTATTATTTTTTTTTTTAATTGTCACATTTATAAGACTCTTGAAGCACTTTTGAAATATACTTTGATGGAAAAACCAGAAAAAATTATGTCTGTTTTTATTGTAAAATTTGGCGTTGGTTTCTTACAGAAATTATTATGTGCAGTATACCTCTATGGGGAGAAAGAGTGGGACAAGGTAGCTGAATATGTACCTGGCCGTACTGTCCCACAGTGCAGGGAGAGGTATAAGTCATCATTAGATCCTACTTTACGACCTCCAGACTATTGGACCTATGAGGAAGATAAACAGATGTTGATTATAGCAGAACAACTTAGAAAACCAGGTATTCTCATCAACAGTATAGGTGTATAGTGCTGTGAAAAAATTAGAGGCTTGTTCATATTGGTGGGTCGTGCCTCTGTGGACTAATTGTCTAAGTGGTTCATTCACAATGTCAACTCTTAGGTTGTGTGCTAGAAACCCTGCTTGTGGCAAGGTATGTAAGACTGATCTTTGTTGTAAAGAATTTCCAGTATTCCTGAAGATGGTTGTTGTTTCTCTCATGGTGCTCTGGCTTCCTCCACCAATGTAAACTAGCCGTCATGATATAGCCAAGTTCCTTAGAACAACAGCAAACAAACAACAAACAAATAACAAAAACATATTTATGGATACTGTGGATTCATTTATTTTCTTGGTACCAATTTTTGTGGATTGACGAAGATATACATTTTTGTGGATATGTAATTTCATGGTTTTACTATGGAAAATTTGTAATTTGTTGAACATTTAAATTTGTGGTTAACCTGTACCAACGAAATCAATGAAAATTGGTATCCAACGAATAATAATGAATCCACAGTACCAGCTTTTGTCGGTTAAGGATTAATTGCATATTCTTGTATAGTTGAATTTGTGGTTCTAACAAATTCTGCTTGCACACCTATGGGTTATTTATATTTCATTGTTATCCAGGAAATCTACAGCATCAGTACTGAAACCACAGTAAGGTTTATAAAATATATATAATATATAAGGCTTTGCTACAGTGTAGCTTATACAATGGAAATAATCATTTTTGATAAACAAATTTTAAAGCATAAATCACATTCAGTTTATACATGTCCATTTGTCCAAAAATCTGTATAAAACAGCACCCAGGGAAATTCTTAGGTACAGACACTGGTCTAAGTATCTCTATCTCTTGTTTGTAACGAATGTCTGTTTAGATTGATAAATAGGCAGTCAGGTCTGGTCCCCCGTGACAGTAGAGTGCCACACTGTGCATATAAAGGAATTCTTGTAACAACTCTTTGAGAGGTCTGTTGATGGCTTGTTACAATGCAAAATGTCTGCTGTGTTCAACATGAACTAATTTTCCAGTGGCTGTCCAAATTATCCACTATTTGCAGGTGAGTTGTGCCCTCAGGTAAATTGGACCAATTTCTATACCCAAGAGAATCGCTGAGCTCTGTTCATACAGATTGTATAAATTATCAAGTTGCTCTTATACTGAATATACATGAAATATTTATTAATGGGTTGTTAAGCATGCATGTCAAATAATGTAAGATAGCATTGATAAAATCATTTAATTATCTCATTGGCAATCATACCACATCTTATTATTATACTAAATATGTTGATTTTGAAGTTTTTAATGTTTCATTCCACTGGTATACGCATGGCACTACATATTAAATTATATTAAAATAAGTTTGAGGGCATTGCAATATTCTTTTGATAAAACTGTACTAAATCAAAATGACCTTCATACAATTATGAGTAAAAGACAAAAGACAATTTAATATAAATCCTTTTAGAATGACCTTCATACAATTATGAGTAAAAGACAAAAGACAATTTAATATAAATCCTTTTAGAATGACCTCCACTTGGTCTTGTGGTTGCCTGTTTGCCTTGAGTACAGGAGGTCGTTGGTTCGAACCCAGCCAGGGCAAACTAAAAACTTTTAAATTTTTATATGCTGCTTCTCCTCTAAGCTTGCTGCATTCAGGAGTAAAATAAAAGATTTGTTGACTCAAAGTCAGAATAATGTGTCCATGGACTTGTCTTCCCTTGGACTGTTACATTGTGAACTAGCACGTTAAAAATCCAGCTCGGCATGACGGTCTAGTACAAGGCAGGGTTAATATTTATATTGCATTAACATGTTCGACTTGTTCTGAATATGTATTTAATTAGCTGCATGACGTTAAACAGCCATCCATCACCATAATCCTATTAAATGCTTCATTTATTTTTAGATGGAAAAATACCTTGGTCTAAAGCAGCAGAAAGGTTGCCAGGTCGCAATGATAATATGGTTCTCACTCGTTATAAGAAACTGATGGAATGGAAGGAAAAATGTGGATGGTTGGAAACACAAGATGTAAGTGGAAAAATGATTGGTTATTTAATTGTTGTTTTTTTTTGTTACCCTTGAAAGTCTGTCTTTCCGTCTGTCTTTTCTGTCCTTTCCATTTTTGTTTCCACACTTTTTAGCTCACCTGGCCCGAAGGGCCAAGTGAGCTTTTCTCATCACTTGGCGTCCGTCGTCCGTCGTCCGGCGTCGTCCGTCGTCGGCGTAAACTTTTTACATTTTGAACTTCTTCTAGAGAACCACTGAATGGAATGAAACCAAACATGGCATGAATGTTCCTTATGAGGTGCTGACCAAGTGTTGTTACTTTGTAGCGGATCCATCATCCAAGATGGCCGCCAGCGGGGGACTTAGTTTAACATAGGACCCTATGGGAAATACATACAAATGTCTTCTTTTAGAGAACCACTGAATGGAATGAAACCAAACATGGCATGAATGTTTCTTATGAGGTGCTGACCGAGTGTTGTTACTTTGAAGCCGATCCATAATCCAAGATGGCCGCCAGCGGGGGACTTAGTTTAACATAGGACCCTATGGGAAATACATACAAATGTTTTCTTTTAGAGAACCACTGAATGGAATGAAACCAAACATGGCATGAATGTTCCTTATGAGGTGCTGACCAAGTGTTGTTACTTTGTAGCGGATCCATAATCCAAGATGGCCGCCAGCGGGGGACTTAGTTTAACATAGGACCCTATGGGAAATACATACAAATGTCTTCTTTTAGAGAACCACTGAATGGAATGAAACCAAACATGGCATGAATGTTTCTTATGAGGTGCTGACCGAGTGTTGTTACTTTGAAGCCGATCCATAATCCAAGATGGCCGCCAGCGGGGGACTTAGTTTAACATAGGACCCGATGGGAAATACATACAAATGTTTTCTTTTAGAGAACCACTGAATGGAATGAAACCAAACATGATATGAATGTTCCTTATGAGGTGCTGACCAAGTGTTGTTACTTTGAAGCCGATCCATAATCCAAGATGGCTGCCAGCGGGGGACTTAGTTTAACATAGGACCCTATGGGAAATACATACAAATGTCTTCTTTTAGAGAACCACTGAATGGAATGAAACCAAACATGGCATGAATGTTTCTTATGAGGTGCTGACCGAGTGTTGTTACTTTGAAGCCGATCCATAATCCAAGATGGCTGCCAGCAGGGGACTTAGTTTAACATAGGACCCTATGGGAAATACATACAAATGTTTTCTTTTAGAGAACCAATGAATGGAATGAAACCAAACATGGTATGAATGTTCCTTATGAGGTGCTGACTGAGTGTTGTTACTTTGAAGCTGATCCATAATCCAAGATGGCCGCCAGGGGGGGACTTAGTTTAACATGGGACCCTATGGAAATACATACAAATGTCTTCTTTAAGAGATCCACTGAATGGAATAAAACCAAACATGGTATGAATGTTCCTTATGAGGTGCTGACCGAGTGTTGTTACTTTGAAGCCGATCCATAATCCAAGATGGCCGCTAGCGGGGGACTTAGTTTAACATGGGACCCTATGGGAAATACATACAAATGTCTTCTTTTAGAGAACCACTGAATGGAATGAAACCAAACATGGCATGAATGTTCCTTATGAGGTGCTGACCAAGTGTTGTTACTTTGAAGCTGATCCATAATCCAAGATGGCCGCCAGCAGGGGACTTAGTTTAACATTGGACCCTATGGGAAATACATACAAATGTCTTCTTTTAGAGAACCACTGAATGGAATGAAACCAAACATGGCATGAATGTTTCTTATGAGGTGCTGACCGAGTGTTGTTACTTTGAAGTTGATCCATAATCCAAGATGGCTGCCAGCGGGGGACTTAGTTTAACATGGGACCCTATGAGAAATACATACAAATGTCTTCTTTTAGAGAACCACTAAATGTAATGAAACCAAATATGGCATGAATGTTCCTTATGAGGTGCTGACCGAGTGTTGTTACTTTGAAGCCGATCCATAATCCAAGATGGCCGCCAGCGGGGGACTTTGTTTAACATGGGACCCTATGGGAAATACATACAAACGTCTTCTTTTAAAGAACCACTGAATGGAATAAAACCAAACATGGCAAGAATGTTCCTTATGAGGTGCTGACCAAATGTTGTTACTTTGAAGCTGATCCATCATCCAAGATGGCAGCCAGCGGGGGACTTAGTTTAACATAGGACCCTATGGGAAATACATACAAATGTCTTCTTTTAGAGAACCACTGAATGCAATGAAACCAAACATGGCATGAATGTTCCTTATGAGGTGCTGACCAAGTGTTGTTACTATGAAGCCGATCCATAATCTTAGATGGCCGCCAGCGGAGGACTTAGTTTAACATAGGACCCCTTTGAGAAATACGTACAAATGTTTTCTTTTAGAGAACCATTGAATGGAATGAAACCAAACATGGCATGCATGTTTCTTTTGAGGTGCTGACCAATTGTTGTTACTTTGATGCTGAGCCTTCATCCATGATGGCTGCTATATGGGGACAATGTTTAACAAAGGACCCTATGGACAATACATACAAATGTCTTCTTTAAGAGAATCACATACTGAATGGATTGAAACCAAACATGGCATGAATGTTCCTTATGAGGTGCTGACTAAGTTTTGTTACTTTGAAGCTGATCCTTCATCCATGATGGCCGCCAATGGGGGGACTTACTTTAACATAAGAACCTATGGGAAATACATACAAATGCTTCTTCTAGAGGTGCACTGAATGGAATGAAACCAAAACATGGCATAAATGTTTCTTATGAGGTGCTGATTAAGTGTTGCTACTTTGTTGCCGATTTACTGTTCAAGATGGCCTCCAGGATTTTTTTATTAAATTACAGGACCAATATTAAACCAAATTTGGCCTCACTCATTATTAGGGTATCTGTTATGATTTTAATCTATTTTTACATGATTTCCAAAACCAAAGTAGAATCAGGTGAGCGACACAGGCTCTTGAGAGCCTCTAGTTATTTATGTTTGCCTCATCCAAATTTTATGAAACTCATACACAATGCTGAGAACCAAAACTAGCAGACAGAGTTTGAATTTGAGAAGTAAGTAACTAACCGTTTTAGAGTTATGCTCCTTTATAACTTGGAAAATTGAAATTTTTTTCGTTTCCGCACTCTTACTTAAGTTTTCCTCATCCAGATTTTATGAAACTCATACACAATGCTAAGAACCACAACACAAAGACTGAGCTCAAATTTGGGTTGTGAGTCATTTACCATTCTAGAGTTATGCTCCTTTTTAACTTGGAAAATTGCATAGCTTGAGCAGGGGCATTCGTGTCCTCAGACACATTCTTCTTTCATTTGTATCATTATTACCTACAGTTTCTGTCAGGTTTTCTTTATAAAGTTGTGTCAAAGATTTGCATCAGTAATATCTTAAATATGTTCTTAATCCAGGGCCACTCAATTTTGAAAATTTGAAAATCAGCTCTGATAGAGTATTATTGAGTTTCTGTATTAAAGCAACAAGCAAGGGACATTTTATATGTAGCAATTTGTTTTACTTTGCCCCAGTTTCAGAGTTTCTTTTCCATTGAAAAATTAAAGAAAGTTTAATATTGACTAGATATTTAATAATTTTACACCTAATGTGTATACACATTCACTGTTATGGGACTTTAATCTTTGAAAACAAGATATTTTTTCAAATGTCAAAAATTTATTACACTATTTTGAAAGAATTGTATTTAGATTGTGTCATCAAAAATATGTTCTTTCTGTTACAGTGAGCACTTGGACAGTTCAATTATTTTGGGGAAAGAATACTGATATCAAATTCAACAGTGGTTATCTTTTCTGTTAGAGTAACTTAGACTTATCAAGCTCTTTGATTTAACATCTGATTAATTTTCAGGCAAAGACAAAAATGGATCTGGGTTACCTTGACATAGAAGCATTGTCCAAGGGGAAAGGAGTGAGATTTGGAAACAGATTACGTAAAAAATCTAAAGAAAAAGTAAGATTATACTTTTCAGTATTATCTAACCATGAGCAAATTTAACGAGTACATCAAGTGTCGACATTATTATCTCTGTTCTGATGTCTAAATGCCAAAGTTTAAGACCTTGCAGCAACTTTCAAGATGAATAATTGCAATAAAAGCATGGTTCCTTTGATATTTTGTTTTTTCTAGATTTTCAAATGGATAGTTTTCTATGAGACATCCATCCTATAAGCTATCTCAACCTGATTTGATTAAGTCAAGATGATGCTAATGGTTTTTATGCCGCAGGCGAAAGTAAGAATTAAAAATGGTTTTGAAGTTAGAGATAACTTAAGTATGTCACTTTATAAAGATAATTTGGAAAATAGCAAAAAGAAATTAGTTTCTGGACAATAACATGATTAAGCCTCCACCAAATCATTTGACATTTGGAAAAAATGATGTTTGGGACCGGCAAACAAATCCTGTTTGAATTTAAACAATTTCACTTTTGTCTTTTCAACTGTATAAACACAGGGCCCATGTTTATTTGTAATAAAATATGATTTCTCTGTTTTCATGAGTAAGTGTTATCATGGATATGTCAAGTTTTTTCATATGTGATATTAGCTTAGCTTAGCTTAGGATTATTGATGCATATATCTGAGAGAAAGTTAAAAGGAATGATATTTGTCTAACTTTTCTTACAAATCATTGACATTTATTCTAAAATTTGTAGAAAATTAAGATTTTGGCAAAATCTTCTGCATTTAATCCAAATTTATGCCTAGGAAGTATTGAGCCCTAGTTTAGGCAAACTAAATAATCAAGTCAGATAGTTCATTTGTTTTAACAAAAATGATGACACATGACTCATGCTTTATATTTCAGGTGAAAAAAAATTGAAGTTGGCATGTCAATGAATTTTTACGAAAAATAGAATTAAGGCTAATTATGACATCATAAAAGGAACGCTTATATTGAAATTTACCAACATAAAGATCTATTTCCTATCTAGTTATTGTCTCAACTATGATTCATTGTCATAATAGACATTGAATCCCAATTTTATATTCTAGTCATTGCCATAAAATCGTAATTTGATAGTTTAGCTAGAAATAGGGTCCATATTATGATCTTATCAAACCTACTCCTTTGTGAAATTTAAATCAAATGACTCCTGAGAACATGAACTTGTAATTACAGTCAGTGTTGTTGGAAAAACAAAACCAAGAAGATTACAGAAGATTATCTAAGGAACTATCCAAGTTACCTGTGGTTGAATTTAGACTGGATTATGTAAAACAACTAAAGGATAAGAGAGAAGGTAGGTCTATTCAACTCACAGGTAAGCAATAAAAGAGAAGATAGGTCCCTTCATCTAAAAGTTAAACAATAAGAGAGAAGATAGGTCCCTTTATCTCACAGGTAAAAGATAAGAGAGAAGATAGGTCCCTTCATGTCACAAGTAAACAATAAGAAAGAAGATAGGTCCCTTCATGTCACAAGTAAACAATAAGAGAGAAGATAGGTCCCTTCATCTAACAGGTAAACAATAAGAGAGAAGATAGGTCCTCCATCTAACAGGTAAACAATAAGAGAGAAGATAGGTCCCTTCATCTAACAGGTAAACAATAACAGCAAAGATAGGTCCCTTCATCTAACAGGTAAACAATAAGAGAGAAGATAGGTCCCTTCATCTAACAGGTAAACAATAAGAGAGAATATAGGTCCCTTCATCTAACAGGTAAACAATAGGAGAGAAGATAGGTCCCTTCATCTAACAGGTAAACAATAAGAGAGAAGATAGGTCCCTTCATCTAACAGGTAAACAATAAGAGAGGAGATAGGTCCCTTCATCTAACAGGTAAACAATAAGAGAGGAGATAGGTCCCTTCATCTAACAGGTAAACCATATGAGAGAAGATAGGTCCCTTCATCTAACAGGTAACAATATGAGAGAAGATAGGTCCTTTCATCTAACAGGTAACAATATGAGAGAAGATAGGTCCCTTTATCTCACAGGTAAACAATAAGAGAGAAGATAGGTCCCTTCATCTAACAGGTAAATAATAAGAGAGAAGATAGGTCCCTTCATCTAACAGGTAAACAATAAGAGAGAAGATAGGTCCCTTCATTTTATCAGGTAAATAATAAGAGAGAAGATAGGTCCCTTCATCTAACAGGTAAACAATAAGAGAGGAGATAGGTCCCTTCATCTTACAGGTAAATGCTAGGAAGGAAGGTAGGTCCATTCATCTCACAGGTAAACAATTAGAGAGAAGGTAGGTCCATTTAATACACAGGTGAATGTTGACAGAGAAGGAAGGTTTGTTCATCTAACAGGTAAATGTTATGAATGATATGAAAAGATAGGTCCCTTCATCTCACAGCAAAACAATATGAGAAGATAGGTCCTTTCAACTCAGAGCTGAATAATAAGAAAAGATAGGTTCCTTCATCTCACAGCAAAACAATATGAGAAGATATGTTCCTTCATCTCGCAGCTGAATGATTGGACAGAAGTTAGGGCTATCAGCTAATGGATAAGAGAGAGGATAGGGCCCTTCATCTAGCAGCATTTTTCTCAGGAATTGCAAATTAGAGCTTCGTATGAACATGCTACACTTTGAGTTGCATTGTCACATTTATCACACATCAATTTCCTGTTTACTGAATATTTTTATGTTCTTACATATAACAGCCATGTATGAAACTTTTGTCGCAATTGTTTTTGGAACTTAGAATCACAGCTTCCTGACATTTGGCATCAAACTTCATGTGAGCATGCTATACTGTGTAATGTAACATAACATCCATCGCTTATCATCTTTCTGTTAAGTGAATACTTATAGTGGGGGTCTCATTAGTTAGCAAGTTCCATTTTTTTTTAATATAAACATATAATTTTCATTAATAATTGCTCCTGTTTCCTGAATGGGGCATTGATAGGTTTTTCCTGCATTTTATAGGCTTTTAAACCGTCATTTCACCAAGCTCTTTTTAAAAAACTACCAGAACCATCAATCAGTGTTATGTCTAGATATCAGAAGAGTTATATGGGCTCCTAAAGCCTCCAGATTTTTACAAATACATGTACTAAATATATATATTAAATACAAATGCAATTTTGAGATCAAACTTTACAAAACAACAACTTTTCCAGAATAAAAACAAAATAGACACTAGTCCAACAGCAGAGAAGCATCTATTTCATACATAAAGCTTTAAGGTAAATTAAATTTACAAAACAAGATAAATTCTCCAGTTTTAAAAGTCTTTTTTTTATAGGTAATTTGGTTGTACCAAGACCACCACTCATGTATCGTTACACACGAAGATTGACCAAAAATATATGGACTCGTAAAAAACACATGAAGAATTTAGTGGAAAAACATCTTTCAAGTATAAATGTTACCAAACCAGAAGACAGAGTATTAATACCAGAAAAAACTGCCCAAGAATTCAAACCATTCACATCACTGGTAAGTGCTTATAATGAAAAAAAAAGGTACTGTATAGCACAGTTAATCTGGAAAAAAGATTTCATGAAAATTTCTTAAACATTCTAATATTACATTTTGAGTACACACAGTGGTAAAATACGAATATATTGTATGTCAACTTATCGACAACGTCATCATTAGTTTGAAACACATACAATAATTACATTTTCATAATCATTTATTGCGAACCCAATGAAAGTTTTCCACTGTGCCATCTCTATCTTGACCAGGTATTTAAAATTTTGTAAGTTCACCTGTCCTATTGAATGAATACAATAGCTATTGTTCTCCATGTAGTTTTTTCACAGCTGGGACCTTTAAATTTCTTCTAAGAGAAATCTATCACTCATTGATTAATTTACCTCAGTAAAAAAAAATCTTGTAAATAGAGGAAAATATATGTTTTATACTCAAAACTGCATGTGATGTTATATTTATTCAAAATGATAATATATTTTCAATCGGTTGAATGTAAACAGTGATAAAAAGTTGAAACATTAATAAAATATAAAAAAGAAGATGTGGTATGATTGCCAATGAGACAACTCTCCACAAGAGACCAAATGACACAGAAATTAACAACTATAGGTCACCATATGGCCTTCAACAATGAGCAAAGCCCATACCGCACAGTCAGCTATAAAAGGCCCCGAAATGACAATGTAAAACAATTCAAACAAGAAAACTAACGGCCAAATTGTACAAAAAATGAACGAAAAACAAATATGTAACAAATAAACAAACGACAACCACTGAATTACAGGCTCCTGACTTGGGACAGGCACATACATACAGAATGTGGCGGGGTTAAACATGTTAGTGTTGATTTATGTCATATTGATAATATATTGATAATATATTTTCACTCAGTTTAATTTAAACATTGATTCAATCATAAAAAGTTGATTTCTGACAAAACTTTCAACATTGTTCCTTTTAAAAAAAATTTGTTTGACATGAATAAAAACTTGAAAATTATGATGTTCAAATTAGGATCTTCTTAAATGTTCTCTATAACTAGACATAAAAAAAATCAAATTTCAATAGGAACATTGATAAAACTTTTGTTTGAAATCAACTTTTTATGATTGAATCAATGTTTATATTAAACTGAATGAAAATTAATTATTATAATATTGAATAAATACATCATCACACGCAGTTAATGAGTATAAAAAAAGTATTTTTGTCTATATATAAGAAATTTTTTTTACTCAGGTAAATTAATCAATGAGTGATAGATTTCTCTTAGAAGAAATTTAAAGGTCCCAGTGAATAAACTACACAGAGAAAAATAGCTATTGTATTCATTCAATAGGACAGGTGAACTTACAAAAGTTTAAATACCTGGTCAAGATATAGATGGCACTGTGGAAAACTTTCATTGGATTCGCAATAACTTCTTCCTAACCTGTCTACATATGTTAAGCATGTCACTAATTCAGTTTCCTTCATCTTTTACGTCATTTGTGTCAATATTAATAGTGTGTTCAATTACGGGAGCAGCAAATATTTGCCTTTTCTTGAAAACTTCAATCCAAAAGAAATCGCCCTTTTGTCCTATGCATGGGGCAGGAATTCATACTGACTTTACCACTGTGAGTGAGGTTTTGCCTTGAAGCCAATATTTTACCCCTTGCTATTGCTTGTTGTAAAATATTTAGCATTAAATGCCAATCTGTATTAAAATCAATATAGATGAAAGCTCGCTTGAATTATTTCTTAAACAAACACGGGTAAATTATATTCATGTTACTTGAACTTTTGAAGTATTTATGAACTTAAGTAGAAAAAGAAAATCCAACGTCGTTTTTATTTGAAACTGCTGTTGTGCATGTCCCGCGAAAGTTGTATTTCTAATTGAATGATTTGTTGTTGTTTTCCTCAGGAAAATAGTATATATATATGGGAGCAGAGGGTATGACTTTTTGAAGTTTAGGCTTTTCAATCATGAAAATTAACTCAGTACTCGGAATACAAAATTTGTGCTCAAAACACAAAATCCAGTAAATTAGCTAATTGATTTTTTAGGCAGAGTAAGATAATCGTGCTGGAAAGTTTTATGTCTTTAAGCCAAGGTCACAGGTTTTCTACTTTTTATTCAAAATCAGCAAATTAGGGAATTTTCATTTTATTGATAGAATTCAGATGGGTAAACTGTCATTCTTAATCCATATATCTATTTTAGAGTGAGAGGCAAATGATGAAAGTCCAACGTATTTTGGAGAAGAAAAATCCATGTGAAATTTCAGTTAAAGAACTGCTTGAAACAACCAAAAAAGAAAAGCCAATACCGTTTGAAACAGTGTCTTTCCGACGAGACAGAAAAAATCGCCTTGATACTGAAATTGAAAAGAAAATTATGGACATTCTGCAGTTTAAGCATTGTTATATTACTAAATGGAGGAAGCCATGTGGTCGCCCTAAAAAGTTTTATATTTGTGAGTTATATTACTAAATGGAGGAAGCCATGTGGTCGCCCTAAAAAGTTTTATATTTGTGAGTTATATTACTAAATGGAGGAAGCCTTGTGGTAGCCCTAAAAAGTTTTATATTTGTGAGTTATATTACTAAATGGAGGAAGCCATGTGGTCGCCCTAAAAAGTTTTATATTTGTGAGTTATATTACTAAATGGAGGAAGCCTTGTGGTCGCCCTAAAAAGTTTTATATTTGTGAGTTATATTACTTAATGGAGGAAGCCTTGTGGTCGCCCTAAAAGTTTTATATTTGTGAGTTATATTACTAAATGGAGGAAGCCATGTGGTAGCCCTAAAAAGTTTTATATTTGTGAGTTATATTACTAAATGGAGGAAGCCATGTGGTCGTCCTAAAAAGTTTTATATTTGTGAGTTATATTGATATTTTAATTGACTACAATGAAAGAATAATTTTCAGACCAGCTGTATATAGAAAACCCCAGACCAATTTTTTCTGAATGGGATTGAAAAGCTTTTTTTATATTGTATAATGGTATGACATTGTCGTTGTTGTCCGAAGACATTTGGTTTCTAACTTTAGGAGTAAGGGGCCAAAAAACAAGCATTTTTCTTGTTACAGGACAATAACTTGTGTATAAGTGTATGAATCTATGAAATTGTACCACAAGGTTACATACCTCAACATGCCATTTTTTAATTTCATACATTTTTTTTTAAACTTTCAACAAGAGTTAAAAAGATATCTAAGGTCCATAAGCTTTCATTTATACCAAAATTACCCAAATATTTAACATATTTTAAAAGTTATGGCTAGGTGTAGGAACTACTTTGTTTGAAATTTGTACTATTTTCTTTAAATCTATATGTTCTTCTTGACCAGACCTTAATTAGGGCTATTCCAGAAAAAAATGGAGAGGGGGGTTGGACGGCACTTTAAATTATTTTTGTAACCCGAAAAAAGTAAACAAGGTGGACAAAGTCGAACCGTTATATTTCTTTTGCCAAATTCTTTTGCCAATAATAAATTTTAATCGCCACAATTTTAATTTTTTTCGCAAAATGCAAACAATGGCTACTGGCAGCAGAAACCCTGTAAATGTTATGAAGTTTTCGTCTGTCATATGCTCATTGTCCTTGACCTCATTTGTATGGTTCAGTGACTACTTGAAAAAAGTTGAGATTTTTTGTAATGTTACTTTCCCTGTTATTATGAATTATAGGATAACTATATTTGGTACATGCACACCTTGTAAGGTCCTCACGTCTGTCAAACAGTTTTCACTTGACCTCGACCTTGTTTCATGTATCAGTGAACAAGGTTAAGTTTTCCTGGTCAAGTTCATATCTCAGATACTTTAAGCAAAAGGTCTACTATATTTGGTTTATGGAATGATTTTAAGGTGAACATGTCAAGTGGTAAAAGGTAAGTTTTTGTGTTTTTGTCTGTTTTTTCTAATACTGTTTGCAATAGGTCAACTACATTTGGTGTATGGAAATATTTTATGAGGTACATGTCAGTCGGCAGGTTTTATTTGACCTTGACTTTATTTTCACAGTTCATTGCTCAGTCTTTAGTTTTTGTGTTTTGGTCTGTTTTTTTTAAAATATAAGCAATAGGTCAACTATATTTGGTGTATATGGAATTATTGTAAGGTGTATATGTCTGTCTGGAAAGTATCATATGACCTTGACCTCAATTTCAGGGTTCATTGGTCAATGTTAAGTTTTCCTGGTCAAGTTTGTTTCTTAGATACTATATGCAATAGGTCAACAATATTTGATGTTTTGAATGATTGTTAGATGTACATGCCTGTCTGGCAGGGTTAATCTGACCCTGACCTTAATTTCATAGTTCATTGATCAGTATAAAGTTTTCATGGTATTGTCTTTTTCTTTTATACTATAAGCAATAGGTCAACTATATGGTGTATGGAATGATTGTAAGGTGTACATGTATTTCTGGCTTGGTTTATCTGACCTTGACCTCATTTTCTTGCATCATGTTCAGTTTATGTGATACATGTAGTTAAACTTTATATTCAGGACTATCAACATAACATCAATGGTCAATAAAGCAGGCAAGACATTTCAGCTTGTGTGCTTTTGTTTAAAGTAAAAAAGATCTTTTCTGTATTTTTTCAGTTTATCCAAATGGGAAAAAACCAACAAGATTTGAACCAGAAAACACAGTACAGTTGAGTACAGTGACATCTACATTACTTTTCAATGTAAGTAACATTGTTTGACAAATATCAGTAAAGAAATTGCTTAGCTTCTGATAACTAGTGTTGGCTTGTTAGCAGAAATGAAGCAATGCTCGAAATACTTACCTTTTCTTTAGCTCACCTTGCCTAGTAGGGTAAAAAAATAAGTCAAACATGGCTGAAATTGTACATAGACTCCTTATATGAGTTATTTCCCCTGAGTGATGATTTTTGTCGAGCCTGCGAATTTTGTTGCAGAAAGCTTGACATAGGGATAGTGATCCAGCGGCACCGGCGTTAGCTAACTTCTTAAAAGCTTTATATTTTAGAAGGTGGAAGATCTGGATGCTTCATACTTTATATATGGATGCCTCATGTTACGAACTTTCCGTCAGTCACATGTCCAATGTCCTTGACCTCATTTTCATGGTTCAGTGACTACTTGAAAAAAAAGTTCAGATTTTTTGTAATGTTAAATTCTCTCTTATTATAAGTAATAGGATAACTATATTTGGTATGTGCGTACCTTGCAAGGTTCTAATGCCCGTCAGACAGTTTTCACTTGACCTCGACCTCATTTCATGGATCAGTGAACAAGGTTAAGTTTTGGTGGTCAAGTCCATATCTCGGATACTATAAGCATTAGGTCTAGTATATTCAGTGTATGGAAGGACTGTAAGGTGTACATGTCCAACTGGCAGGTGTCATCTTACCTTGACCTCGTTTTCATGGTTCAGTGGTTATAGTTAAGTTTTTGTGTTTTGGTCTGTTTTTGTCGAGCCTGCGACTTTTGTCGCAGAAAGCTCGACATAGGGATAGTGATCCGGCGGTGGCGGCGGCGTTAGCTAACTTCTTAAAAGCTTTATATTTTAGAAGGTGGAAGACCTGGATGCTTCATACTTTGTATATAGATGCATATGTTACGAACTTTCCGTCAGTCACATGTCCAATGTCCTTGACCTCATTTTCATGGTTCAGTGACTACTTGAAAAAAAAGTTCAGATTTTTTGTAATGTTAAATTCTTTCTTATTATAAGTAATAGGATAACTATATTTAGTATGTGCGTACCTTGCAAGGTCCTCATGCCTGTCAGACAGTTTTCACTTGACCTCGACCTCATTTCATGGATCAGTGAACAAGGTTAAGTTTTGGTGGTCAAGTCCATATCTCAGATACTATAAGCAATAGGTCTAGTATATTCGGTGTATGGAAGGACTGTAATGTGTACATGTCCAACTGGCAGGTGTCATCTGACCTTGACCTCATTTTCATGGTTCAGTGGTTATAGTTAAGTTTTTGTGTTTTGGTCTGTTTTTCTTATACTGTATGCAATAGGTCTACTATATTTGGTGTATGGAATGATTGTAAGGTGTACATGTCTAGCTGGCAGGTGTCATCTGACCTTGACCTCATTTTCATGGTTCAGTGGTTATAGTTAAGTTTTTGTGTTTTGGTCCGTTTTTCTTATACTTTATGCTATAGGTCTTCTATATTTGGTGTATGGAATGATTGTAAGGTGTACATGTCCAACTGGCAGGTGTCATCTGACTTTGACCTCATTTTCATGGTTCAGTGGTCAAAGTTAAGTTTTTGAGTTTTGGTCTTTTTTCTTATACTATATATATGCAATAAGTCAACTATATTTGGTGTATGGAAATATTCTATGATGTACATGTCAGTATCGCAGGTTTTATTTGACCGTGACCTCATTTTCACGGTTCATTGCTCAGTGTTAAGTTTATGTGTTTCAGTCTGTTTTTCTTAAACTATAAGCAATAGGTCAGCTATATTTGTTGTATGGAAGGATTGTAAGCTGTTCATGTCTGCCTGGCATGGTTCATCTGACTTTGACCTCATTTTCACGATTCATTGGTCAATGTTTAGTTTTCTTGGTTAAGTCTGTTTCTTAGAAACTATAAGCAATAGGTCAACTATATTTAGTGAATTGAATGATTGTAAGGTGTACATGTATTTCTCGTTTGGTTTATATGACCTTGACTTCATTTTCTTGGATCATGTTAAGTTTATGTAATAGTTGTAGTAAAGCTTTCATTTAGGACTATCAACATAATATCAATGGTTAGTAAAGAAGGTGAGACATTTCAGCGTGTCCACTCTTGTTCTTTTATTGTATGCAATAGGTCTACTACATTTGGTGTATGGAATGATTGTAAGTTGTACATGTCCAACTGGCAGGTGTCATCTGACCTTGACCTCATTTTCATGGTTCAGTGGTCATAGTTAAGTTTTTGTGTTTTGGTCTGTTTTTCTTATACTGTATGCAATAGGTCTACTATATTTGGTGTATGGAATGATTGTAAGGTGTACATGTCTAGCTGGCAGGTGTCATCTGACCTTGAGTTCATTTTCATGGTTCAGTGGTCAAAGTTAAGTTTTTGAGTTTTGGTCTTTTTTTCTAATACTGTATGCAATAGGTCTACTATATTTGGTGTATGGAATGATTGTAAGGTGTACATGTCTAGCTGGCAGGTGTCATCTGACCTTGACCTCATTTTCATGGTTCAGTGGTCAAAGTTAAGTTTTTGAGTTTTGGTCTTTTTTTTCTAATACTGTATGCACTAGGTCTACTTGTTTGGTGTATGGAATGATTGTAAGGTGTACATGTCTAGCTGGCAGGTGTCATCTGACCTTGACCTCATTTTCATGGTTCAGTGGTCAAAGTTAAGTTTTTAAGTTTTTGGTCTTTTTTTCTAATACTATATGCAATAGTTCATCTATATTTGTTGTATGGAAATATTTTATGATCTATATGTCAGTCACACAGGTTTTATTTGACCTTGACCTCATTTTCAAGGTTCATTGCTCAGTGTTAAGTTTTTGTGTTTTGGTCTGTTTTTCTTAAACTATAAGCAATAGGTCAACTATATTTGTTGTATGGAAGAATTGTTAGCTGTACATGCCTGCCTAGCATGGTTCATCTGACCTTGACCTCATTTTCATGGTTCATTGGTCAATGTTTAGTTTACTTGGTTAATGTTAAGTTTATGTGACAGTTGTAATAAAGCTTTATATTTAGGACTATCAACATAGTATCAATGATTAGTAAAGAAGGCGAGACATTTCAGCGTGTGCACTCTTGTTACCCTTTTGGGGCATTTTTGTCAAAAGCTTTAATGTATAAAGATAAACTCTAAAAAGCAAAAAATATCCATACATAAGATCTACAAGTTTTTATTGCTGTTGAATAGTGATTTCTATACTAATTCCTATAATTTTGATAATTACTCTAAAATTTAAATAGATAGGTATTCGAAATGGCATTTTTTTAACAGGTGAGTGATTCAAGCTCAATGGAGCTTCTTGTTTTTGAAAAAAAAAGATTCTGATTGAATTAATGAGAAATTTAGAGAAAAATATCCTACTTTATTTAGTTGTAGTTAATATAAATGTTGAATAACTTTTTTCTGTGTGTAGTACAATACTAAAGTTCACAGTTATTTTTGATATATACTTTATTGTTAAATTTTTATGGGTTAACATGCTTTTGTATCATGTGTTGTGTCGTGTTTTTGTTGTTGTTTTTTTTTCATATTGAAAAGCTCAGTTTGTTAGACTAATGTCAATGGAAGTGATATATAAGTTGTATAGATAATATAGAAATGCCATAAATGAAACAGGCTCCTTTCAGTTTTTAACCTAGAAAGGAATAAATTGCAAGACTTGTGTTTTAAGCTTAATGAGTTTATTATTTATTAAAATTCTTTATCTAGCAGTACCATCATGACCATCATGATAATTAATAGAATAATAATGGACCAGAATAAAAATATGTCTATTTAGTGTCTACCATATTGTACTGTCTACCCCAACAAATTTTATCAATATTTTTGTTCAAGTACCTTTGAAATTGGTTATAAAATATTCATCCATAAATGAAATACATTGTATGTTTTAATACATTTTAAATACCTGCCTTTCCTTATGTTCACCATTGTAAGATATTCTCATTAATTGACTCCATCTGTTGGTTGTTACTTTTTCCAAAATCTATCCATTGAAACTAACTGGCCAACTGCAACCAAACTTGGTCACATACTAAAGAAAAATTAATTTGTTGATTTGGTTTTAATTGAGTACACTAAAAAATGTGTGTATTTGAAAATAGATAGTTGGTTTCAAGAAAAAACAATTAATGGAGAAAGAGGTGAAAATAGGAAATGATACAATGTTTGTGTTTCCATGGTGATCAATTCAGTCTCCTATGATCCTCTTATTTTGAAACAAATATGACCTTAAAGGGGCATTAGCTATCAAATTCATGTTCACCGATTTGACTCGAATTCTCATATTTGCTTTATATCATACTAAAACATATATCCAAATTATAAAAAAATAAACATTTTCAGATGCATGTACTCGATAATATATATCAGCATTTCGTGTGTATTTCAGTCTATAAGCCATCTAATTAACCATCGAGGTGACCTTCGAAGACTGCTGATGGTCATATAACCCGATTGCCACATAAATAAAGATATAAAGGGATGGCAAACACGTGCAATGGATTTTTTTCTAGATCTGCTTTATTTCATAATATAGCTTAAAAAGTTATGATAATCATCGTTTTTACCTGTACAAGAATGAGTTTTTGTGGATCTAATCAGTCAACCAATTGGTTTTACCCTTGTTTCACTTTCACTGTTGACATTCTTTTCCTTTAAGTAGCTGAATACTCCTAGTTTATGCATAACTCATCTCTAGCTAATAGGTTAATTTGAAGGTCACATGAATACGGATTCAATGAGGTAAAGTCATTCACTTGCAAGTGAATAATTCATCAGCGATGTTTCTTACCTTATTTTGACAAAGTTGAACCAAACTTACTGCTAAATGATGATTAAATGATTGAACAAAACAAGACATATTTTGATTTTTTGTATATCTGGTAGCTAATGCCCCATTAAACATCTATGAGTATTGTTTGATTTTTGTTTGCCTAATATCCAGTGACAAATGTTCCATAATGTTTTACTTGCGTCACATCATTTCGCTGATATTGATACTTAGTCATAGAAAAAATTATTTTTCAAATTATAGGCCTTAGAAATGGATGGAAAGAAAGCAATGGAAATTTATCCAACTCTAATTGCTAAAAAGAGGAAGATTTTAAAACCTGTATTTGAACTTTTGGGTAGATGTTTCCCTAAAGCACTACCAGTTCCTCCCCCAGTAGTACCATCAGGATCGAATGGAAACGGAACAAAAAGAAAAAGTTCAAATGAAGATAATGATGCTACTTCTCAAAGACCAAAAAGAAAAACACGTCTTACATCAGCTACGCCCATTGAAGATGGAGAGCAAATATTGCCAGATGAAAGTATGAGTAGAATAGTGAATAACATCATAGAAACTACTCGCCGTGATGTTCTTAGACAAGATAAGGGCAAGCTTGGGTCTTGCCCAACTTCTCCTGTTGATCCTGAGTCAAGCTTTAAACCACATAGGAAAAGAAAATCAACTACCTCATATGTGACATCTGATAAACAGCCAAAAATTATAACTGTCAATGTTAATCCTACAATTACAACACCATCACAAATGAAAATGCCAAAAATAGTTCCTTTGAATACTCAAAAATCAACTAAAGGTCCGGTTCCAACAGCCCTGATAACAAATACAAACACTATACAAAATAAACCTGGACAGCAAATTGTTCAACTTGTGCAATCTCAGCTGCTTGGTGCTAACACATTAAAGCCCGGTCAGAAGGTTCCTACATCCTCACCACGTGTGATAGTGTTGAAACAGACACCAAGAGCACAAGGACAAAACAGGTTTCCTATATTACCCCCTTCTGTGACAACAATTCGTGGATATGAAGAATTAATGTGTCAGACTAATTTGTTAAAGGCAAGAGCTGGGGACAAATACAATCCCTATTTCTACTTTGAAAAAAGTCAAATATTGGAAAATAGAGTAAATCCTGTTATGAATGAGAGAAATATTGTTTCAAGACTGAACTTTGTTGATAAAGTTGATCGTGCATTAGAAACAGGAGCGAGGAAGGTAAATGCAGTATTATCAGGTAAAAGTCACAGACCAGACAAAGCTGGTAGTTGGATGCATCCAAGGAAAGATTTGTTAAAAGACCTTAGGCAGTCTGAAGAGTATATCAAACTGAAAAGACGTTTTGATGCTCTATTTATGTGGCCAGCTTTCTTATCTCTGTTAAAACCTGAGGTGGAAAATTTCTTCGATAAACAAGAACAGGAAAAAAAATTGGTTTCATTTGATGAGTTTATGGAATTGGAGGAAGAAAAAAACAAAAACTTGAAATTAGCAGAGGAAGCAGCAAAAGAAGAGGATATTAAACCTGTCATGGAGGTGGAAACCAAACCAAGTTCAAAGTAAGTCAAACAATAAAAGACAGCCTGGACTAGTGACCAAATAAGTAAGTCAAACAATATAAGACAGCCTGGACTAGTGACCAAATAAGTAAGTCAAACAATATAAGACAGCCTGGACTATTGACCAAATAAGTAAGTAAAACAATATAAGAGAGCCTGGACTATTGACCAAATAAGTAAGTCAAACAATATAAGACAGCCTGGACTAGTGACCAAATAAGTAAGTCAAACAATATAAGACAGTCTGGACTATTGACCAAATAAGTAAGTCAAACAATAAAAGACAGCCTGGACTAGTGACCAAATAAGTAAGTCAAACATACACGTGATGGACTAGTGACCAAATAAGTAAGTCAAACAATAAAAGACAGCCTGGACAAGTGACCAAATAAGTAAGTCAAACAATATAAGACAGCCTGGACTAGTGACCAAATAAGTAAGTCAAACAATATAAGACAGCCTGGACTAGTGACCAAATAAGTAAGTCAAACAATATAAGACAGCCTGGACTAGTGACCAAATAAGTAAGTCAAACAATATAAGACAGCCTGGACAAGTGACCAAATAAGTAAGTCAAACAATATAAGACAGCCTGGACTAGTGACCAAATAAGTAAGTCAAACAATATAAGACAGCCTGGACTAGTGACCAAATAAGTAAGTCAAACAATATAAGACAGCCTGGACTAGTGACCAAATAAGTAAGTCAAACAATATAAGACAGCCTGGACTAGTGACCAAATAAGTAAGTCAAACAATATAAAACAGCCTGGACTAGTGACCAAATAAGTAAGTCAAACATACACATGATGGACTAGTGACCAAATAAGTAAGTCAAACAATATAAGACAGCCTGGACTAGTGACCAAATAAGTAAGTCAAACAATATAAGACAGCCTGGACTAGTCACCAAATAAGTAAGTCAAACAATATAAGACAGCCTTGACTAGTGACCAAATAAGTAAGTCAAACAATAAAAGACAGCCTGGACTAGTGACCAAATAAGTAAGTCAAACAATATAAGACAGCCTGGACTAGTGACCAAATAAGTAAGTCAAACAATATAAGACAGCCTGGACTAGTGACCAAATAAGTAAGTCAAACAATATAAGACAGCCTGGACTAGTGACCAAATAAGTAAGTCAAACAATATAAGACAGCCTGGACTAGTGACCAAATAAGTAAGTCAAACAATATAAGACATCCTGGACTAGTGACCAAATAAGTAAGTCAAACAATATAAGACAGCCTGGACTAGTGACCAAATAAGTAAGTCAAACAATATAAGACAGCCTGGACTAGTGACCAAATAAATGTCAAACAATATAAGACAGCCTGGACTATTGACTAAATAAGTAAGTCAAACAATATAAGACAGCCTGGACTATTGACCAAATAAGTAAGTCAAACAATATAAGACAGCCTGGACTATTGACCAAATAAGTAACATGAAGGACTAAAAACCAAACAAAAATTGGTCAAACATTAGACAGAATGGATTAGAAACAAAAAAAAAACTTCAGTCAAACATTACACAGAATGGATTAGACACCTATAAAGTAAGTTAAACATAAACCAGTATGGACTTGAAAACAGGTAAAAAGTGGGTTAAACATAAACCAGAATGGACTTGAAACCAGGTAAAAAGTGGGTTAAACATAAACCAGAATGGACTTGAAACCAAGTAAAAAGTGTGTTAAACATAAACCAGAATGGACTTGAAACCAAGTAAAAAGTGGGTTAAACATAAATCAGAATGAACTTGAAACCAAGTAAAAAGTGGGTTAAACATAAACCAGAATGGACTTGAAACCAAGTAAAAAGTGGGTAAAACATAAACCAGAATGGACTTGAAACCAAGTAAAAAGTGGGTTAAACATAAACCAGAATGGACTTTAAACCAGGTAAAAAGTAGGTTAAACATTAAACCAGTATGGACTTGAAACCAAGTAAAAAGTGGGTTAAACATAAACCAGTATGGTCTTGAAACCAGGTAAAAAGTGGGTTAAACATTAAACCAGTATGGACTTGAAACCAAGTAAAAAGTGGGTTAAACATAAACCAGAATGGACTTGAAACCAGGTAAAAAGTGGGTTAAACATAAACCAGAATGGACTTGAAACCAAGTAAAAAGTGGGTTAAACATAAACCAGAATCGACTTGAAACCAATTAAAAAGTGGGTTAAACATAAACCGGAATGGACTTGAAACCAAGTAAAAAGTGGGTTAAACTTCCTGCTGAAGGTTGGTGGTTTTCTCCATGTACTCTGGCTTACTACACCAATAAAAAGCCATTTTGATATAGTCAAGAGCGCTGAAAATGGTGATAAGACACCAACAATCAATCAATCAATCAATCTAAATAGAGGCTACTAGCTGTATCAAATCTCAATAGAAATGCCCTAAAACTTCAGAACTGCAAATCAAATTTTTTTTTTAAATTGACTATTCAAGTTTTATTTGTTGTTAGTTGACTTGTCTAAAAAACATTTGCACAATATTTAAAACTTAGAGTTTGGGTCTGATTGTGTAGATACTATTTTAACTGATAAATGTCAAGACTTACTGACTCAGATTTAGAGAAATACAATGGCCATTCATACCATAAAAATATGAAGATGTGATATGATATGATTGCCAATGAGACAACTCTCCACCAGAGACCAAATAACATAGAAGTTTACAGCTATAGGTCACTGTACGGCATTCAGCAATGAGCAAAACTCATACCTCATAGTCAGCTATAAAAGGCCCCAAAATGACAAATATAAAACAATTCAAATGAGACAACTAACGGGTTGTTTTAATTTTTTATTGCAGATATGCATCAATGCGTGGAAAGTTGTTTGTATATTATAGACAGAAAGCTCGGGAAAGAAAAAAGCTAATTTCTGAGAAGAGAAAAATGGCTAAACAAATGCAGATGAAAAGTATAGCAGAAAAGGGCATAGGTGATTTACATTATATTATTATAATTGAATAATCTTAAAACAGAATACCGAGATAGTCTATATCTTCAAAGTTCTGTTTGATTGATCTTGTTTGAAATAACTGAAGTACAGAGATTTGGAACCCTTAAATTGGTTTCACCCTATTACATAGATGTGATTTTTTCAAACCTCCAGAGTTGGTGATCTCTATCTTCATTCATGCTCTTTTTTAACAGAAAATCATTTAGTGGTAGATTTGCTGTAGAACTTTATCACATACTTATCTTTGAAAATTTGAATTATCCCTGTTGAAAACAACATTCAAATGAATCTAGTCATTATTTACTAACTTTAACAGATGACCTCTATGACGTACATTTCATAATTAATTGAATACTAAGTAAACTATAATTTACTTTAACAATGCATCAGCTACCTATAGAATTAAACTTCGATTATTTTATTAAGTTTTATGTTTGAAGTTCAAAGCATGAAGTTCTTGTGGTTGATTTTTGTCGAGCCTGCGACTTTTGTCGCAAAAGCAAGACATAGCGATCCTACATTTCGTCATTGGAGTCGTCGTCGTCGTCGTTGGGCGGTGTCCACAAATATTCACTCTGTGGTTAAAGTTTTTGAAATTTTAATAACTAAACTCAATTTCTTAAACTATCCTGGATTTCTACCAAACTTGGACTGAAGCTTGTTTATGATCATAAGATAGTATCCAGAAGTAAATTTAGTAAAAAAAAAAAATCCTGTTTTTCCGTATTTTACTTATAAATGGACTTAGTTTTTCTGCCAGTTAACATTACATTCACTCTGTCATGTCTGTGGTTAAAGTTTTTAAAATTTTAATAACTTTCTTAAACTATCCTGGATTTGTACCAAACTTGGACAGAAGCTTGTTTATGACCAAAGCTAGTATGTAGAAAGAAATTTTGTAAAAATATATCTCCTCTTTTTCCGTATATTACTTTTAAATGGACTTAGTTTTTCTTCCAGTTAACATTACATACAGTCTGTAGTTAAAAGTTTTTAAAACATTTATTAGATTCATAAACCATTCTGGATTTTTACCAAACTTGGACAGAAGCTTCTTACAGTCAAAAGATAGTATCTATAAGAAAATTTTTATTGATTTTTTTCCCATTTTTGTTGAGCCTGTGACTAGCAGCAAAAGTAGGTGAGACACTGGGTTCCGCGGAACCCTTACAAATTTTTTTTAATAGTAATACCGTATTTAACATCCTTATGTCAGAAATTTTAGAATTTTTAAAATCACTAAATCCAGATTGAACTGCTTTTCTGTTGATAAAACTGTCACTTGGTATTGCCTGGTAATTCCTTTGTCCAGGGCCTTCCAAGTGACTGTATTCTTGCCCCCTGGATATTACGGATCACTAATCAGTGTTTCATGTGACATCTTACAGGAATATATATTGTTCAAGTTCAGACAAAAGACTTCAATATTATACCCCACGCAACTTCGATGCTTGTCATCGCAACTCCTGAAACCACACAACAGAATTTAATGAAGCTTTGTAGATATTAAGGACATACTACATGTATGTATATGTGCATTTCCACAGGAAATTATGATTAAATTTTTTTTCTAGGAGTTATGCTCCATTGAACTTCGAATTTTGGCCATTATATACTATTGCAACAGTTTGTCATCCCAACTTTTCTGAAACCAAACAACAGATCTTCATGAAACTTTGTAGATAATAAGGACATATGTAGATGTGCATATCCACAAGAAATTTTATCAGTCAACTTTTGTAGTTGTTATAAGATTTTGTTTGCCCAGTGACAATGTGGGGGCGTGGGGTATGTAAGTGTGCTCACAAAGGTTCTTTACTTTAAAAACTTTTCAAAAACTATTTATTTAAAAACTATTACCATTTTGTAGAATTTTTTTTATTTACTATGCAATATTCATGCATGTATGTTTACCTTTCTAACTTCTAACAAGTACAATATTAGATTCTTACTCAACTTGAAATCTTGTGTATATGTAACACTCTCAAACTTGTCCATCCCCCCAAACGTGTCCATCCCCCCAAACTTGTCCTCAAAATCCCAAATCACCCAAACATTTCCAATAATTGTTGTTCGCCAAAACGTGTCCACTTTAAAACGCAAGAACGTCCCAAAACTTTTAGCACTAATATGTCCTCAGCAACGTCAATACCATTTACGGTATTTCACTGATGAGACATAGACAAGAGAAATGACTTTGCCTGTATCATAAGCATCCCTGATACCAGCCTCATAATTTATAATTGTTAGAAAAAACTGCATTACTTAAAGGTAACGTTAAAGTACGTTAAAAACAGTATGGGTAACTTACAAGATGTGAATTTAAGTCATTTAAAATGTGCATTATATTTTTAACTGTCACATTATGTTGAATCTGTTGTTAGCAAGGTAAAAATCAACTAACAGAAAATAATGGATTAACTGATTGTTGCTTGCTTAATATTTTGTAGCAGTTATTTCATGCATATTAAGGACAACATATTTACAACAAAATTAATAGGTACGACAAGTTTTGGCATTTTTAAGATATGGACACCACTGAGCTTTCACAAAAAGGAGATGTTTAGGCTTCAATTTGACACGTTTGGGGGATTGGACATGTTTGGGTGTTTTTAATGAAACGGACATGATTGGGTGTTCATAAAAATGACACGTTTTGGGGCCCTTTATCAACTGTATATGTTTTTTGCAGTTCAGTTACGTCAAAAGGACACATTTGGGAGAATTGGACAAGTTTGGGGGGATGGACACGTTTCTGAGTGTTACATATAGTTTTCTTCTCTAAAAATCAATAGTAGCATGTTCAGTTCCTGAGGAATTTGATGGAAAAACAAAGGATATGGGTATCCATCCATGACACAAAATCAGTACATGCACAGAAAAAAAAAAATGAAACATAAAAAGCAAAGGAACAGTTCTTTTATTGCTGTTTTTCATCTCAAAGTTATAGTGAGGCCTTCAACACAGAGCAAAAAAAAACACTCACCTCACTGCAAGTTTAAGACGGCCCCTATTACTGGCTTGAGTGGAATTCTTTGCAAAATAATTTGGATAGACTTTGTAAGATGTAACACCATAATTTAATTTATTAAAATTTCAATTTTAAACTCTATAATGCAGAATATCATTCTTAAATGATTTTACAAAAAAAAGTAGAAAATTGGAATAGTTCAGGCAATTGATGATATAGGTTCATTTATGTTGTGACTTATGGTAAGAATTGAACAGTTTGTCTTGAAAAAGTTACCACCACATTCAAGTCCCCAAAAACACCCAAAAACACCCAAAATATAGCACAGAAATTGTGTGAAAAAAATCTTGATCCTTGATTAACACACTACAAAAGTTAATAATTTTACAGTATGTGTTAACATACATTATATAAATAAACTTACTATTTTTTTTTTAGAAAACATCAGAGCTGAGAGAATGGCAAAGGAGAATGCATTTAAAGAGAAACAGATTAAGAAGTGGTCAAGTTTGGTTGGTCAGAAACAGAGTGCTAGACTTATTGAGAAACAGGACGAGAGTGATGACGAAGAAGATCGAAAAATTTATATACCTGAACTGCCATTGAAAAATAAGAAACGTCAGAAGCTTCGAAGTCTCAAAGCACTTACTACTGTTATGGAATTAAAGAAGAAAGGATCCTCAGTCAATCAAGCTTTTGCTGAAATGAGGAAGAAGAGGGCACTTAAAGTACAACTGAAGAAGTTAAAAGCTGCAAAAACTGAAACTGCTGAAATATCATCTCCAATGAAAAGTGTAGTGCCTCCTCCTGGATATGAGATGGTACCCATGATGATGTCACCAACTTCACCTGGATATATGATGTTACCCATGATGGTGTCCCCAGGGGGTACTTCAACTGTGAAAATGCAACCACCAGCAACCACATCAAACTCAAGTCCAAACAAAGTGATGCAACCAATGTATCTGATGCCGCCCTCTCCCAGTAGTACTTCCACTGCCGGGGCACTTCCATATCCTGTCTTTTTCATGCCAAACTTGTATGGGATAAGTCCGTTCCAAACAGTAGGACAAGACAATACAGGTGTACCAACAGTATCATTGTCACATCATACAGCAGGCCAACATATCCCAACAGTATCATGGCCACCTCATACAGCAGGCCAAGATATCCCCACAGTATCATGGCCACCTCATACAGCAGGCCAACATATCCCCACAGTATCATTGCCACCTCATACAGCAGGCCAAGATATCCCCACAGTATTATGGCCACCTCATACAGTAGGCCAACATATCCCCACAGTATCATTGCCAACTCATACAGCAGGCCAACATATCCCCACAGTATCACTACCCCCCATGTCCATACCATTACAAACCATTGAGGTGGATATTCCAACAGTGCCATTACCACCTGTGACATCAGACCATGAGCAGACGACACAAGTTAATTCTCCTCCTGAACAGTCAACAGATACTTATAATTCTATATTTCAGAGTGCAAACCTTTCTCCTAAAATTATAAGTGTTGTAGGGGCAGACAATACTGTTGCATCTCCATTAAAATCAACTACATCAGAAAAATCTGAAACATCGCATGTTTTCCTTGGAACTGTTCCTGGACAGGGAAGCAGTCCAATGTTGATTTCTGTGCCTAAAGACAGTGATATGACTGTGAAGCAGCTAATTCAGATGATGGGCGATAAATCTAGACAAACTACTGAAACCGTTATGGATCAAAATGAAATAGGACAAGATGAACCTACAACAGACGGAAATAAGTCTTTGCTTGAAGAATCTAAAGGAGATAAAAACATTGAAATAAATACAAATAGAAAAGATTCTGCTTCAGAAAATTGATGAAGTGTTGATAGACTTTGCAACTCAAAGTGGAACAAACAAGAAAAATGATCCATTCTGTTAAAAAGTTATTATTGATGAGTTATACTGTTGTTCAAAGAGATATTCATTATGAATAAGATTGTTAAAGAAAAGATAACCCCGGGATTATTGTTAAAATCATTCATAGATTATTCATGAATTATTATCCATCATGCCAACTCACAAAGTAATCACAGAAAAAAAATATTCCTTTTAATCTGAAATGAATCATTTTATTTATTTTCACCAAAAAAGTTCAAAATAAAGATGTAACTGTGCATATTAAAAAGGCCTTGTTCTCTCACCATTCCAATTGGTAAAATGTTTTACCCAGTTGCAGTTTAAATTCACCTCTATAAACTGATCAACTGGTATAGCATTTTAGCTCATTGCTGATGTGAGAGTTTAGGGGGGGGTAGGAGGGGTCCTGATCCTGAAATCCCGGGCTTAAAAACATCGAAACCCGATGTCCCGAATTTAAAAAAATTTAAATCCTGACATCCTGAAATTCGAAAAAAAGAATTCCCGGATCCCGAAAGGATCAATCCCGAAATCCCGAGCTTAAAAACAACCGATCCTGGAGTCCCGATAAAGGTCCTACCCCGTAATAGTCTGATCACTGTTGGTATTATTTCTGAACCAAAATTTTTAGGACAAATCAAGTGCTGTAAAATACAGGTACCTAAATACTGGGACTATTTTACTAACGGGACTGGAAACCGTTACACCAATCAGTGTAATAATATCAACATCACGGTCGTTAGAATGAGACTTTACTTGCGCTATTTATCGATACGCCATATTGTTTTGACAGTGACAGCGTGCCTTGATCTTATAATTTCGGTAATTTGTTCTTTTATTTTATAGTTATTCAAAATGATAATCCTTAATATAAACATGATTACTATAATGATAAAAGATATCTCGATCTTTGACAGTTGTTATTAATCACCAAATCCCGTCTTAAGTGTAAAAAATGACATATAAAAATTGAAATTTTCAGGATGAAAATAGCGTGGGGACGATGTGGAAAAAAGTATATGATTCATAAAATTTCTTATAACTGTTGATTGAAAAGAGATATGCAAGTTCGGTTTGTTGTCGAATCATATTTATAGGTTATACTTTGGATTTGCCTATTTTTATTGTCACTTTTTAAAATAAAAAGTGGAATATAAATATCTTTCTCATTACAACCGGAACCCACATGCACGGCTCGAATAAATTATACTGTTCCTATAAAATTGCCTACTCCTTTTTATGTGTGCAATATTTTTATTATAATCAGGGTTGATTTTGCTTAGTAATGGTCTTCTGGTGGCATTAGCATATGACTTCATGAAAATATGTACACTAGGTTCCACAATTAGAACTACAAAAGTAGGCCCGTATACAGCCATATTGAAATTTTGGTGTAAAACACGAAGTTCACAAAAGTTCAAAACAATGTGGCTATATTTTTATGAGACCCGGGTAATTTTTGTTATATGAATTAATTATGAACTAAAATTGTAAACATTGTTTTTATTGCACACTTATTGTTTTTATCAGGATTAATTATGATCTGTCTACCTTTGACACGTTGTTTTTTTAGCGGTCAAGTAAAGCGCCGGCATTTCCACAATATTTGGTTTATTTTCAACACTAATATATTGACTACTTATTAATACTTTTTCGTAAACAATATATATTTTTTGCATTTAAACTAAATAATTTAATAATTATTTTTTTGTTTCAAATCCACCAATTTTAACAGTATTCTATATAAGCTGACTTGTTTGCCGAAATCTATTGATTACTCTCATGTACCGAATGCTAATTTACTACGTGACACGATAAGCTGTCAATCAAAACAAAAAATCAATAATCCGCTATCGGGGCAATGAAATCTCAACAGATCGATCAGTTTCCAGTCCCGTCAGTATAATAGTCCCAGCTAAATATTACAATAATTTTAAAGTAAAGAAAAAGTACTAAATATTAAAAGGAAATATCCAGTACTACAGATTTTTAGTACAGAAATAGTACCTATGCAAAAGTAGCAGTGTAGTAATTACTGATCTGCTGTTATAAATGGAAACTACCGGTATTTTACTACAGCAGAAACTTAGATATATACAACCTTGGTTATGTCCCTTTAATAACAACATTTTTGTTCAAAGATTTCACTAATCTAACAAAAAAAAGTGTCATTTGGTCTCTGGTGGAGAGCTGTCTCATTGACAATCATACCATATCTTCTTATTTTTATATTGAAACAATGTTTAGAACAAATTACTTAAAGAATGTTATTGACATTAGAATGGGAAATCAAATGTTATTACAATGGAAAATGATTAATCAGTCATACTTTTTTTAGAAAAGTGTTCCTCATAATTACACCTAGCTATGTCTTAACACATATCAAAGGATTATGAGGGTAAGACTTATTTTTAGTTCACTGCACTTGCTTCATCACTGAAGCCATGAGCTTAAATGCTTTACAAGTTGATCAGTTTGTATAGAATTCAAACTGCAATTTTTATACGATTGCAAAAAAATTTTTGTGGTCGTATATTGGTATGACGTTGGCGTCGTTGTCGTCGTTGTCGTCTGGCGTCGTCCGGCTTCGTCCGAAGACACATTGGTTTTCGTACTCTAACTTTAGTTTAAGTGAATGGATCTCTATGAAATTTTACCACAAGGTTCAATTCCACAAAAGGAAGGTTGGGATTGATTTTGGGGGTTATGGTACCAACAGTAAAGGAATTAAGGGCCAAAAAGGGGCCAAAAATAAGCATTTTTGTAACTTCCAGACATAACTTGTGTGTTAGTGTATGGATCTCTCTGACATTGTACCACAAGGTTCCATATCACAAAAGGAATGCTGGGATTGATTTTGGGGGTAATTGCCTCATAATTTTAGGAATAAGGGGCCAAAAAAGGGGCAAAAAACAAGCATTTTTCTAGTTTCATGACAATAACTTGTGTGTAAGTGTATGGATCTTTCTGAAATTGTACTACAAGGTTCCATATCACAAAGGGAAAGCTGGAATTGAGTTTGGGGGTAATTGCCGAAATGTTTAGGAATTGGGGGCCAAAAAGGGGCCAAAAATAAGAATTTTTCTAGTTTCCAGACAATAACTTGTGTTCAAGTGTATGGATCTCTCTGAAATTGTACTGCAAGGTACCATACCACAAAGGGAAGGCTGGGATTGATGAAGGGGGTAATTGCCTCAATATTTTAGGAATTAGGGGCCAAAAAGGGGCAAAAAACAAGCATTTTTCTAGTTTCAGGACAATAACTTGTGTGTAAGTGTATGGATCTTTCTGAAATTGTACTACAAGGTTTCATATCACAAAGGGAAAGCTGGGTTTGAGTTTGGGGGTAATTGCCCTAAAGGTTTATGAATTTGGGGCCAAAAAGGGGCCAAAAAACACATTTTTCTAGTTTCAGGACAATAACTTGTGTGTAAGTGTATGGATCTCTCTGAAATTGTACTACAAGGTACCATACCACAAAGGGAAGGCTGGGATTGAGTTTGGGTGTGATGAATCATAAGGGGGTTCAAAAAATTGGGGGGGGGGATTTTTTTTTTTTTCCTTTTTTTTTTTCTTTTAAAATTTTTCATTTTAAGTTGGTTATTTCTGATTAATATATAAAAGCAAATAATAATGATAAGGTAGGATATACACACCAAACAGGATGTGTAAATTATCATATAATAAGTATTGTGCAATAGCAAGAAATTTTCAATTGCACAGTATTGCACAATAGCAAGAAATCTTCAATTGCACAGTATTGCGCAATAGCAAGAAATCTTCAATTGCACAGTATTGCGCAATAGCAAGAAATATCCAATAGCACAATATTGCGCAATAGCAAGAAATTGTCAATTGTACAGTATTGCGCAATAGCAAGAAATATTTAATTGCACAGTATTGTGCAAAAGAAGATACTTCGTATAAATTGCTTATTTCTTGACCAATTTCAATGGGGTTTTATTCTTGAATTCTTGGGGTTCTTTAATATGCTGAATCTAACCGTGTATTAAGTTTTTGGATTTTGGGCCCCGTTTTTAAATTGGTCCACATTGAGGTCCAAAGGGTCCAAAATTAAACTTCATCAAAAATTGAATTATTGGGGTACTTTGATACGCCAAATCTTACCGTGTATTTAGATTCTTAATTTTTGGTTCCGTTTTCAAATTGGTCTACATTAAGGTCCAAAGGGTCCAAAATTAAGCTTAGTTTGATTTTAACAAAAATGGAATTCTTAGGGTTCTTTGATATGCTGAATCTAAACATGTATTTAGATTTTTGATTATGGGCCCAGTTTTCAAGTTGGTCCAAGTTGGGGTCCAAAATTAAACTTTGTTTGATTTCAACAAAAATTGAATATATGGGGTTCTTTGATATGCTGAATCTAACCATGTATTTAGATTTTTGATATTTGGGCCCCGTTATCAACTTTGTCCACATTGAGGTCGAAAGGGTCCAAAATTAAACTTTGTTTGATTTCATCAAAAATTGAATTCTTTGGGTTCTTTGATATGCTGAATCTAACCATGTATTTAGATTTTGGATATTGGACCATAATAGGTGAATGTCCAATTTAAAATTTTTAAGTTCTTAGACCACATTCATTCTGTGTCAGAAACCTATACTGTGTCAAATATTTAATCACAATACAAATGCAAAGCTGTATCAAGCTTGAATGTTGTGTCCATACTTGCCCCAACTGTTCAGGGTTCGACCTCTGCGGTCGTATCAAGCTGCGCCCTGTGGAGCATTTTATTTAATACATTTCAGCAGTTAGCATTGTGAAGAAAAAGGTTATATCATACCCTGATTAATTATTAATGGTCATTATTACAAACTAAAATTATCTGGAATAAAAGTCTTGATAAATTGTAAAATGTTTTTAACTGGCATTTTTGACAAATTTGAGAAGTTACACAAAGGTATAACTTTTATGTTAGTACACCTTGATGGCACCCTCAACTAATGCTTACCTTTCTACTCCGGTTCATTGCAGAATCAGTAATCGTGATATATCATTGGTATTTAGCATAAAGTTGTCTAGGTCTACAGGAATCTCAATAGAGACCCTGTATTTTCTATCATGTGCCAATGACTTGAAGTTTTCATTTAATGTATTTTTATGAAGAAACATATATGTTAGACAGTTCTGTTGCATTTAATGACTTTGGAGTTTGTGCATTGTTCCATCAAGTTTCAGAATGAGGTGTGCTTATGGAAAAGTGCTCACAATTAACTATTAACAGGCTATTATTTGAACTTGGAATTATTTTTAATTATGGAATTTGCATAATTTCATGTGTTTGAAATTTTTGATAAATTCCATGTTTATTAAGTATTATAATGTTTTGAGCGGTGCATCACACTTTCCACACAATGTATTTTGTATAGATAGTGTTGTGTGCTGCACAGTACATTATAATACAGAATAAACATGGAACTCATTAAAAATTTCAAGCACAAGAAATAAAGCCTGTTTATTGTAATTAT